GCGCGGAAATAAAAGAACTACGCGCCGTAAAGAAGATGAAGAAGGATATAAGCCGGGACTTAGCATAGCCTGAAAAGGCGTGACTCGATTATAGTAGCGTCCGTAGTGTCCGTAGCAGCGTCTCCTACGCCGCTAGCTTTATAGTAGAAACTGCTACTATTAGCTACCCTCTTCGAACCTCTAGTATCCTCGATTCCGGTGCTATTATTTATATTTTTAACGATTCTTCCCGCTTTTCTGATTTTATACCCGTAACGCCGGGAGACTACGTGGTCGTAGGCAGTTTATCCCTGCCTATTAAAGGTTACGGTAACGTGACCGTGAGATTAAACGGACTAATAGGAGGCCTCGATTTCAGGCTATTAAACCTCACCTATTATAAGAATTTTACCTATAATTTAATCTCTAACTAACGCCTACGTCTTCGAGGATACTAATAGAATTAAAAGTCACTAAATAACTATATTCGGCGTTCCGATAGATCTATACTATACTAGCTAAGTCACCGTTTTAATTAAACCGTTATTAAATACGTGCCCTCTAACTAATCTGCGGCTGCTTTTCTAGGCTCTTCTTCCACCCGAAAAGCTATCTAAAAATCGACGATACACTATCTAAGCACTACGGAGGGTATCTTATAGTATCTACGATTAAGGCAGGCTGGCCCTAAACCGCTTAGACACCTAGAAGAGTAGACGTAGGGGGTTAAAATAAAGGGACTAATAACTACTAACTACGAGGCCTGCGAGCTAATAAAGATTAAACAGTATATTAGCAGGCGCCCTCGTACCGTACCTGCTTATATAGGGGAGCGGTAGGCGATTAATTTCACGGATTTTAATAGAACGTCCGACGGGGACTCGCGGTTCATATTTTTCACCGACCGTTATAGTGGTTTTACGGCCACCTACGTTATACAGAGTAAACTAGTAGTGGATATCCTTATAATAATTAAGAGATTTCTCGCCTAAGTAGACTATTAATTAGGCTTTAAGGTGCGCGTTTTCGAATCTAATAACGAGCTAACTTAATCCCACGATATTACTCAATTCCTGCGTGACGAGGGTATTCTTTTAGAGGTATCTGCTACCGATACTTAAGCGTAGAACAGGGGTGCTAAACGCGCTGCTGCTATGGTTATCTTAAAAGGTCGTGCGATGAATATCCATGTAAAACTACCGCCGTTTATATAGCCTAAGGCTATTCCTATAGCTGCGTATATCTATAACCGCATGCTATAAAGGCAGTATAATAAGGAATAGAAAACGCTATACGAGGTCCTCTTTAAAAGGAAGCCGATTTTATTATATCTTTAAGCTTACGACTATAAGGCGTACACGATAATAAAGGACGCCTAAAAGGCTACTAATGGGCTATTAAATCGTATCGCTCCTCGCGCCTATATCGACTACCTTATCGGCTACGATTCCACTAATATTTTCCGTATCTAGGTGCCTGGCCTACGCCGCTATAACCGCGTTATTCAAATACGCGATATAGATTTTAACGAACGCACCTTCTTTAATGGCGATATCGCCACCTTTAAGGATAACCTCTATTAATTAACCAAGGAGTAATTAGAAGACCTAATTAGTTAGATCGAGTAGGAGAGGGTTAGAGATTCATGGCTATTTACGGACGTATAAGCTAAGGACCCCCCCCTTTATATAACTGTTTATTTTGAATTATTAGATCCGGGGATAAATGCCCCCGGATCCCCTTCCTCGACGGCTTTACCGTTAAGGTTATAGTCCGTAATACCCGGCCGTAAGAGGGTAGAGGAGGCTATCTCGAGTTAATTAGGATAAGATTTAGGACACGAATAGTGTGATTTAGCCGGTATAGCGCCTAATTACCGTTTATATCCGCCCGATCTATTACTTCCTACTCTATTAGTAACCCCGCTATCGGTTATAGCACTAATAGTAGCCGTTATATTAGGAAACCGTAATACCTCTATAGCCGTAGGGTTCTAGGATAACGGAATACGGTGCTATAATACCCCTATAGCTACGGCTATAGAGCTCCTATTAAATAAAGAACCGTAACTAATTCGGTAAGGAGATAGCTAGAAAAGAGACTATTAGGTTATAGTATTTAATACTAGCCGTCACGCACCTAATATATATATATTAAATAGAATTCCGCTAACTAAATTATAGTTAAAAAGGTCTACGCCTATAGTACTATAGCGACGCTTAACGATACCCTGCGAATCCACGGCCTTAGCGGTAGCCACCGGAAGTATAACCCGGGAGGCTATATCGGGAAATATAACCCCGGCGGTTACTCTGGCGAGTGCTCCGGTGGTTACCCCGATGGCCGTAAAGATCCACCGTAAAGACCTCCCTCCTCCTCCGAAAAACCCTCGCGATATATCCTCGCACCCTTACGGCCACCTATTCCGATAGGTATAAGAAGACTACCTACGGAGCTATGAGGAGATAGGGTTGTGGATACGGGTGCCGGCGTCTGTAGTAGATAGATATTAGGTTCTTAATTCGATATAGGTAATAATATATAAGTTCGATAAGTATAGATTTCTATATAAATATAAGGTAAGGCTTATAGTGCGAGGAGATTAGTAGTATTAATCCTCGCTCGAGGAGATATACGTAGTAATACTAGTTAGACGGTTATTCCGCGCGATAATAGCTATCGCTGCCCGATTTAACCTTACGCTATTATAATTTAATATTATAAACGCGTTTATATATACGCCCCTCTCCCACGATATCTTTATATACCCGCCGCTAGGCTTTCTAGCCCCTAGGAGTCGTTTACACCTAAAAAAGGCGTTATATAGACTTAAGGAGTCTCTACTACTTTAGTAAAAGCACTTTTCGGCTATCCTTTTAGCGGACGGCTTTTAGATAGTGCCGTAAGAACCGTGTTATTTTCTACGCCGCGGTTTAATCCTGTTCTTCTACGTTAACGATATCGTTATTACTTATAAGAAATAATATAAGGCGTAGATAGAGTAGGCTATTAATAACCTATAACGCTATTATAACCTATAAGGTAGCGATCCTCTATAGTAGTTCCTTAGTATTAAGGTTATTCGTGACCGTATCGCCCGTAAAATCTGGCTATTATAACGCGACTACGCTATTAAGTTAGAACGTCTATTAAAGCTGAATAGTAAGTATAGTAGTAACTATTGCTTAACGCACCTAATTAAGGTTATAGAGCTGCTGCCCTATTTAGGAACCTCGACTAATATTAAAAGCTATTAATAGAAGATAGGATCTATACTATATATAGTAGTGATATCGCGGCCTAATATCGTGTTTATAGTATTTAGGCTATACCGGTTTAACGTTAATCTAGGGCCTATTCACTATAAGGCCGCCGATTATCCAATCCTCTATCTAATTAATAGCTAATCGTTTATATTAGAACTAGGGGGTAACGATACTATCGAAATCTACACTAACGCCTTATTTACCGATAATACTCTTAATCGAAAGAGTAGTTAAGCGTATATAATACGCTTATTTAGCGGTATAATAGCGTGGCGCGCTAATAAGCAGGATACGGTCACGATATTAATAACGGAGGCAGAGCTATTAGCGTTAGTATAAGGTATAAAAGAGGGTATCTTTATATAATGCCTATTACTTAGTATAGGAGTGGAATTTAATAATCCGGAATTAAGGATCTTATACGATAATAACTAAACAATTCGATTAGTTAATTAAGAGATTAGTATATTAATAACGCGCCTCCACTATATCGATATCTATAGCTACTAGTTATATTAAGTAAAGGAATAAGGGTAAATACTCGTAATATATGTTGCGAGCGCGGAAATAGTGGTAGACGGATTAATAAAGGCGCTATACGGCGAGAAATTTAAGATATTCAGGTCCTAGGTAGGCGTGATAGATATACGGGAACGGTTATAGCAGTAATAGCTAGAGGAAGTCCGGATAGAATATTTAGAGGACCTAAAGGATGAATTTAAGGGCGGCTATAGCGAATAGATTATATAGCTGGATTATCTACCGATTACGAATAGCTTTAATTGCCTAACTAACGTTTAGGGCGATTAGGGGGTGTGTCGAATAGATTATAGTCTTTTCGGTTACGTAATAGGCCGGATTACTAAGAGTATAATCCGGGTAGACGCTTATAGAATCTGCACTATATAAAATACGGTGGTAGCATTTCCCTGACGGTCTAAGATAGTTATAATTGTATATAATTACCTTAATTAATTTTGACCTATTTTATGACGATTTTGACTACGCTTTATCTGACATTATACGATGCCTGACCTCGGGTGCCAGCAAAACAACCCTGCACGACATCCTAAGGTAGGTACTTGAGTAGGACCCTCTCGTCTTCCTCCTTTTTTGTGGGTTAGGTAGGGTAGGTTAGGGAAGTACAGAGTACCTGGCCTAATAACCAAGATCCGAACCCACCTTTTCCTGATCTCGTCGTCTCGACCATCTCAGGGGTTGACGCTTCGTTTTCCGTTTTGCTTCAACTACATTACACACGGGGGTTCGGCAAGGAAGAACACTTCTTCATTCGATATTGATAGCGAGAAAGTACGTACTTTGCACGTCAATGCCGCCGTTTTTCGCTCTCATCTCAATCGTCCTCTCCGAACATCCCCTCTCGTGAGCGTTGGCGGTGGAGAGCTCTGAGCCTACAATATTACTACCCCCCTCTGTCGACAAGGCCTTCTATCCTTGGCTGGGCCTCCTCACTGTCTACTTAGCCCCGGGTTCCCCTGCTTCCCGGATTGCAATATTCGTCGGGGACCGAGTCAGCAAACTCCTCAAAACTTCTAGCATATCTGCCACCGTTCCTAACGTCGATATCCGATCCGGTCCCGCTCGTGACACCGAACACACTACCTAGACCGTCGCCGTATCTCGACGTCTCGCACCCGAATACTGTTGCCAACTAGTGGATTCAAAAAACCATCGCTTCGACATACCCCTACATCCGACCATACCTCCATAGTCACAGCGGGGAACAACGGCACCATGGAGAACCAGAACAATAACAATCGGATGTATCTCAACTTTGGGAACAATGATCGCCAGAATCCACCGAATGATCGCGCGAACTACCCAACGACACCCTCGACCTTCCCACAACCCGTCTTTCCCCCGCATTCTGGCCAGTCCGGTGGCCTTCAGCCTTCTCAGCAGGCCTACCAGACAGGCTACGCCCCCCAGGGTTACTTCATGCACAACCAGTATCCCGCGAACTACCCCGCCCAGCCTCAAGGGAACGATTTTGCTGCGGTGAATGTTTACCAGCAGAGGTCCAACACTCCGGGGACAAATGATCCGAACACCGGTCTCGCCCATCAGTTCTCTCATCAGAACCTCGGCGGCGCCGCCCGAGCCCAGGCCTATAACACCAGGGGTCCCTCTCCCGCCCAACGTCCCCGAACTGCTGGCGCCCCGGGACAGTCCTCGGGCTACGCTAGCTACCCAAGTGCGCCCATGCCTTCTTCCGCGCCGGTTCCTCCGGAGGATCTCTTCGCCCGTGCGCCTGAGCGGAATCCCGACAGGTATGGCTCCAATGCCAACAACAACCAGGTCAAGTGCTCCAAGCTGGCGGCCGACTTCTTCAAGGACAGCGTACGCCGGGCACGCGAGAGGAACCAGAGGTGCGTGCCTTTTCCCACCCCGATATCCTTCCGCCTTCCTGAGGATGATGGCGGGCATTGTTGCTGACTTGCATCCTTCTTTGTCCCGTGTACAGGCAAAGCGAAATGGAGGCCAAGCTCCAGGAACCCAATCAGTCGCCATCCAGACGAGAGCAGATTTGGTCGACAGCGGGCCGAAAGGAGGGCCAGTACCTGCGTTTCCTCCGAACCAAGGACCGGCCGGAAAACTACAAGACCATCAAGATCATCGGCAAGGGCGCCTTCGGCGAAGTCAAGCTCGTCCAGAAGAAACAGGACGGCAAGGTCTATGCCATGAAGTCTCTCATCAAGACCGAGATGTTCAAGAGAGACCAACTCGCCCACGTCCGGTCCGAGCGTGATATTCTCGCCGAATCTGACAGCCCCTGGGTCGTCAAGCTGTACACAACCTTCCAGGATACGTACTTCCTCTACATGTTGATGGAATTCTTACCGGGCGGCGACTTGATGACCATGCTCATCAAATATGAGATCTTCTCGGAGGACATTACCCGCTTTTACATCGCAGAAATCGTACTCGCCATCGAGGCTGTCCACAAGTTGGGGTTCATCCATCGGTATGTCTAATACGTCCCGTCTTCATCCCCTCCCTGTCTTTTATTATTATTATTATCATTATCCTTATCTTCATGATTCCCTTCTGTACTTACACGCATCTCCGTAGCGATATCAAACCGGACAATATTCTCCTTGACCGCGGCGGCCATGTCAAGCTCACCGACTTTGGTCTTTCCACCGGCTTCCAACGCCTGCATGACAACACCTACTATCAGCAGCTCATGCAAGGAAGGTCGAACCGCCCCAGGGACCGGAACTCGGTGGCTATAGACCAAATCAACCTCACTGTCAGCAACCGCTCGCAGATCAACGACTGGCGACGGTCAAGGCGTCTCATGGCCTATTCGACCGTCGGAACACCGGACTATATCGCCCCCGAAATCTTCACTGGCCAGGGCTACACCTACGACTGCGATTGGTGGTCCCTCGGAACCATCATGTTCGAGTGTCTTGTTGGGTGGCCCCCTTTCTGTGCCGAAGACAGCCACGACACGTACCGGAAGATTGTGAACTGGCGCCACACTCTTTATTTCCCTGACGACATCACACTGGGTGTAGAGGCAGAGAACCTGATCCGAAGGTAAGCCGTCTTCCAGTGGGCCGGTTTTCAGAACAAAATTTTAAATTTTTAAAAATACTAACTATTCCTCAGCCTCGTTTGCAACACCGAGAACCGACTGGGTCGCGGCGGCGCCCATGAGATCAAAGCGCACTCTTTCTTCCGAGGCGTCGATTTTGATAGTCTCCGCAGAATCCGGGCACCGTTCGAGCCCCGCCTCACTTCCAACATTGACACCACCTACTTCCCCATAGATGAGATCGACCAAACCGATAATGCTACTCTGCTCAAGGCTCAGGCGGCCCAGGCTCGCCAGGGCGGCCAGCCCATAGAGGAGACGCCGGAAATGAGCCTACCCTTCATTGGCTACACCTTTAAGAGGTTTGACAACAACTTCCGATAAAGGGGTTGAGTGGGTGTTGCTTTTGGGGGGGCAAGAGAAGCCTCTTCTTTCTTTTCTTTTTTTCTTCCTTTTTCCGTTGCACTTAGGGAATGCATAAGTGCATCCATAGTAGCATAGCATCTGCGTCACGCACATCTGCCGCCTGTTGTGCATCTTCCACTCTTTCGCGGAGCCAGCCTTTGCATCGCATTTTACACCAGTTTTCCCGCAAATCGCGAATGGCATAACAGATTTCATGGTTAAAGAGAAAAGAAAACAAAAAATGATAGAAACTGACAACTACATGGTCAAGAGAAGACTAATTGCCGCTTTCTACCCAGTTGTGTTTGCCTTGGTTTATGGAACTTGTTTGTCATATACACCTTGAGTGGATAGCTTCAGAACAGGGCATCCCCCCGAAGATGGACAGTGTCACATTCACATTGATAAGCATGCATGTGGTAAAGGGGTGCACGACGCTGGCGAGTTTGACTTTTTTCTTCTGCTTTTTTTTTTGTTTGCTCCGTCGCATTTCTGGATGATAACTTTGCGCTGATGGGGGTCCTCCCGATGGAAGGTTGAAGTGAACGATATAGAGCGCCAACAAGGTGCTAGCTACCTTAGACAGGGAAAGACAGGGAAAATCCCGAGATGAAGGCAATACGAAGAGCAGCTCCAGGATGCGGATGAAGGGTGCACAGGATGAAATGAAACACAACTCGGGCAATCAGACCAACCAACGGTCGACATCTAGGCCAGCGTACGGCGAGAGCTGAATCAACAGTGAATAACCGCACGTAGTAGAATAAAGACTAACGTATAGATTTGGATGTTGTTGGTTGCATTGGTCAAATCACAGCCTTGTAACCACAGCACACCGTCGCAGATGCCGTCTTGACGCATTATCTCCGAACTGGATCCTAAGCGTCTTCCTACCTGACCGGGATTCCGACAGGAGGTAGATCGAGCCTGGTTAAGAATATATAATCCGATTCCCTTGATGAAACTGGGCAGCCTTGGTTGCTCGATGGAGGCAATTAGTTGAAGTATTCGAATGAACAGGGAAGTACGACCGCAGATATGAGCATAGCATTGTGTATAGAATATGTCAACCTAGACAACAACCATCAAAACCGTCAACTCCAAGCGCCCCCAAGCGGAATTCCTGTTCTAAAGGGTGTCTCACTTCTCGAGACGTTGTCAACGCCCCTCCTGCTTCATACTGCCAGAGATAAAAGCAAGACGGAGCAAGTCTTCTGCTTGCCCGAATCTAGAATTTCAGAAAGATGGAATAAGATACGATGCATCCTTCTTTGTTTCTCATGTCCAGATACGCATCCTTCTGATGTTCTCCGTAGTTCTTTGTTTTCCCTTCTCTTCTCTCCCCCCCATCCTCTACCATCACCTCGAACTTAGCCCGGGCGCGGCAACGTATCGCTCTTCCCGTTCGGACATGAACATGACCTGGATCCAAAACTCCTTGGAGTCGGGGTCCCAGAAGGAGAACTGCTTCTCGTCGCGCTTGTCGAGCTCCCTGGCGGGGATCTTGAAGCCGCACGTCTCGTACGGCTCGGCGGCGACGAGCAAGTACTGGAAATTCCGGTCGGGCTCCTCGACGCGCTGGGTGAAGGCGTTCATGACCTGCCACTTGGGTTCCACGCCGGGGGGGATGTCCGGGTACTGGAGCTGGAAGAGGAGGCCCTGCTGGCGGGTGTGCGGGTCGCGGATCTTGGTGATCTTGTAGCCCGGGCGGCCGATCTTGATGAGGTTCTTCTTGGGGCCGCCGAAGCCGGCACCCATGACCCCCACGGGCAGGCCGGTGGCCGGGTCGATCTGCTGGCCGCGGGCCTTGCCTTCCTTTTCCTCGCGGGCGGCGCGCCGGGCGAGGTTCGTCTGGTGCTTCTTCCCCTGGGTGTGCGCCAGGTAGGAGCCGTCGTTTTGGTGCACGGTCAGGCAGAGGCGGCATTCGAAGGTGCCGACGTGGTTTTTGAAGAAGTAGGGGTCTTTGTCTAGGTCGATGGTCTCGAGGGCGAGCTTGCGGAGGCGCTCGCGGCGGTCGGCATTTGTGGCAGAGTAGGAGGCGACGCCGCCGCCGCCGAACTTGGAGCCGACGCGGTTTTGGTAGTCCATGATTATGTGCTGGGTGTAGTGGCGATGTTTTGGTTGATGGTTGACCCCCGGCAGACTTTGAATTCTTTCGGTTTCCTTTGAGGAGTAGTCGCGTAACAAAGGAAGCAAGGCCGAGATTGAGATGCGCTTCGCGGTCCAGAGAAGGTTGGGTGAATAGGCGAATCTGGGAGTAAAATCTGAGAAAAGTCGGAAATGGGATAGTGTGATAGGCAGCGTACTCCGTTAAGCTTCCAGTCGCAGCTGCTTGTCGGCGATGCAAGTTTAGGGACCTTATCCATCCCAGCACCGATAAGACGGAATCGGATAAAGAATAAGCCGTGCGTCCCTTGGCTTCAGGCTCACCGGGAGATCTGATCTGATTATCTACTTCGGTGTAACTCACCACGCCACCGAGAACACCCACGTTCGAATCGAGTCAGAGACCAAGCTGCCAACTCGGTACTCACTCTACAAAGAATTACCGAGCAGATAGGGCGGTTCTTACTTCGTATGTACGGAGTATTCCAGTGTTGAAACAATTCATGGAGCGTCCTTCACAGGGGTTCACATCGACGGCTCAGGGGCTATTCCAATTTCCAACGAACCAACCACCACGCAACAGCAACGCCAACAGCCCCATACAAGTTGTGAATCGAGATGGCAAAGTCTGAACTGATGGTACTGCATAAAACGTCTCAGATAGATTCCTATTCCAAAGTGACCCAACTTCCTTGCCGGGACCTTCCTCAGCACCAATACTCCTTAAGAACTAAAGTACAAAACACACAAAACCGTACCAAAGGAGTCGAGACCCCGTAACAGATGCGACCCTTTGGTGTAACACGTAACCGCACACGCGCCGTTGTCCGTGTTTCTTTCCTGTCCAGCCTCTTAGAGCCAAGGACGAATGACAATGATGTCGTGCTACAACTCCAATACATGCATTTGTCCAGCCAATGTGATACCCATGGAAGAGGGTGATTCTTGCATATGCTGCTTGCCAGCAAGCCCATGGTGTGTACATAAAAGCATGGACGAGTCAGCATGAAGCACCTGTTTGGTTCTTCACTTGACTCTCAAACAGATAAATAAAAGGAAAAAAAAAAAAAAACCTCCTGTCATAAAATGCTGTGTGGTCAGTGCTGTTCAAGAAGAATGGGTGGGTAATAATCCAGCCGGGTATCGTGTCGTGTGTGGTCGGACGAGAATGGCGATAATGACAGTGTGTGACGAATGCGGCCTCAAGCCGCTGCCGTGGTTGTATGTATACTCAGTTCCTTCCTGTGGAGTTAACGCCCGGGGACGACGGCAGGACCTGCGGTGCCTCGAGCCACCCTCGCGACGCGGCGTCCCGGATGCTGTCGAACCACACGGCGGCCATTTTCTCGAACCCTGCATCGCCGTCGCCGGGGCGCATGGTATCGACGAGGGCGTCGACCTCCGGACCTCCCGGTCCGTCCATGTCGGCCAGGACGACCTTGCGGGACAGCGCCAGCTGGTCCAGGACGAGGGAGCGAAACTGATCGTTGACCTTGCGGGCGCAGTCGTCCGTCTCGTTGTTCTTGTTGTCGCTGACGAGCAGGGTGCTGAGGACGACGCTGACGCGCGACGAGGCGCCCCGGATGTAGTTGATCAGTTCGAGCATGCGATCGACGGCGTGGTCTGGGCCCGCGTCCTGGAGGCAGTTGACGGTGCCGGCGTCAATCAGGACGAGGTTGGGCAGGTAGGCAGGCACCGACGCCTCGGCCTTCGCAGCAAGCTGGTCGATGCGAAGACCGGGCCAGCCCTCGACATCGTTGTCCCCCATGGTGCCGTGGCTGCGGGTGCCGACGTAGTCGACGATGTGGCCGTCCTCGGTTAACAGGTCGCGTAGGTACTGGCGGTAGCCGTTTCCGTCGGAGGAGCCTTCGCCGTAGGTGATGGAGGCACCGAGGGGCATGATGCGAAGCGTTACGCCCTCATCCCCAGAGAGTGCAGCCCGGCTTTCTCTGAAGCGGGGAGCAGGGGCGAGCGAGACGGTAGCAGGGGCGAGCGCGGCGGGGCGAACAAAGGCGTGTACGGGGGAGGGTCCACGTCTGTCAGGATCTTGATTTCCTTGTATCCCTGGCTGGCCGGGGTACTCCTCACGCCGCACTTCTCCCCGAATTTGCGGAACTTGGCGCTGAACTTGGGCTTCCTGGGAGGAGAACGGCGCTGCTTGGGCTAGAGGTGACAGGTAAGGGGGAGAGAAGGATCAAAGTTAGCACGGGGAGAGGCATCTCTCGACTACCGGGATGAGGGGCATACCTACAGAAATGAAGGCCCAAAGCATGGTTGCCCAGCAGAGGAGATAGATGGAGGGATGAACGGCGGCTGGTTGAGTGGGTGGCGCCATGGTGTCGGTATAAAGTGAAGTGTTATGAGAGTAGAGTGGAGTCCGGCCTAGGAGAAAACAGAGGATTGTATACGTTGCGCCTGGTGATGCAGCACGATCTTGGGATCCTCTAGACCGGAAGATTCAGGCGAACAGGTTCAGTAAGAACAGGGCTGATAGTCTAACGAAAGAGCCAAGCATGCGAGACGACCAAGAGAAACCGGTTTCTGGCTTTGTGAATGTTCGTCACTGCATGTGGTCTTGGTATGGGAGAGAAGGCGGAGGGGACGGGACAAGGCCTAGCAGACGGGAAGATGGGCGGCGGAATGTTTTATATCGGGATCGACGTAGCGAGGGAGGCGAACAGTATGTAGTACTCGGCCCACATGAAGTAGGTATGATCAGTTTCCCGATTTAAGCATTCCTGGGTGGAACTGGGTGACAGAGGAGACCAAGAGACCGACACCAGCATGCAGGTTGCCCCGGTCTAGAGATGTCAATGTCAAGGGTGGCCAAGGGTGGTCAAGGGTGGTTAGAGGTTGGGTGTATGCTTGTGGTGCTTGGCACTCAGCTTACACCAAAAGTAGGGCCAGACTCTCCACTTGGACGAACCACCTCCCTTCCGTCCAGGGAGGAAGGGTTGCCACTCGGAGGTTCTGCTATTATGTACGTGTAGTGCTTGGTAAACTGGGACGGAATCATCCGTACGTAGACTGCGGAGGGGAGAGACCTTCGAGGCTGAGTGAAACGGACCCATCTTTTGTTTCTGTGTCCCAGGGGAATGGGAAAGGGAGCACGGATACCCGTGAATGAAGTTTGAGGCACATTGGGTGTAAGTGTAAGCGAGTCTGGAGCCGTAGTGATACAGTAAAGATAATGACGAAGGAGGTTTTAGAATACTGGAGTCATGGGATGGTCGTCGTACGTTCCACTAATTACTGATCCCTCTGTGTTGGATCTTCCCATTCTCGATCCATATGATCGTCGTGGAACTGAGCACTCTGAGGTGGTGAGGTCTGTCTCAGACTGTCCTCGGAAAGGGTGTCGAAGTGCCTTACGTACCTGGAGCCAAGAAAGACTGCATAGTACGTGTAATTAGTAATAGACGGTAGGCAAGTATGGAGATGGGGGCAACAGCGGGGAAAGAGACTAAAAAGAGCGTGGCAAAAAAAAAAGTTCGGCGTCGCCTGTGATCCTGCTTGAAGAAGCTTATGGACAGGGGAGGCAGTCTTTCCAGAGAAAATTATTTGGGGAAAACGACGTTGATTGTTGACGGAAGAAGAGAGCTTCCCACGTGCTCCACGCACCAAAACGGCAAAGCCAAAGACAAACAGAACAGCACAGACCAGACGACGAAGGGAAGGCCGGCCGGTCTGCTGGTTGTGTTGGCAAGAGAGGAATGGGCTGGTGGGCGGGCTGGTGGACTGGTGGACTGGTGGATCGTGGATGGTACGCAGGATCGTACTCGCAAAGGAGGCGATTCTTTGTGACATGGGCAGCGATGAGCGAAAGAGCGATGATGTTGCTGTTTTAAGAAACAAAACATCATTCACTCCACAATCGTGAAATCAATGAACGAGATTGGGCTGTCGGAACCGGAAAAAGGGACTCGGAAATGTGAAACAGGGTTGCCACTCGGTAAAGCATAAGGTACGGAGAACGGAGCATGTGTAGCAGTTATGGTGAGCATGCTTGCTGGAGCAGGTGAAAGAAAGCTGGGGAGCAATTCTGTGGTGGTGTGCAGTAGGTAAAGGTGCTGTAAGCTGGCAGTCAGACACGTGCTTTTAGGTCAGCTGGGGCATCAAGCCCCCTAAATTGACCAACCACAGCAGAGATAAAATTGTCCATCAGCGGCCAGGCCGAAGTACCATTGTATCGCTCCGAGACAATGTCCCGCTGCTCCCGGCCTCCGACGGCTTCTTTCTTCGGCGTGTCCATTTTAACCCGATGTCTTCGATCTACTAGCATGGCCTCTCTTTTCGACTTCCACCATCTCCTTTCTACTACGAACTGCCGAACTGCCTACAATTGCCTCATTTTGACATGGCCCCTCCTTTTCGGGGCAACCAAAGGCTCTCTTTCTCACGGGATGTGAGTTGAAAGATGTCCTGTCCAAAATGCCCGAGTACGTTCTATTAAGAGTGCTGCTTGCTGCCCTGCCGCACCTTCGAATCAGGTCACCGAAGAAGATCTGGACAATAACATGACCGACCAGTTCTTCTTGGTGCTACCGTGCCTTGACTTGATGTGGCTCAACCTTGGCTTTCTTTTGTCCGCCTGTCTTCAACTGGAAGTCGTTGGTACGATAACGATAACATAACCGTTCACGTCGTGAATTGTCTCCGTGGAGCGACATAGTTTCCGGCAACCATGTAGTCTCTTTCCTAACAACAGTACTCTCTTAAACGGCTATACATACACCTACGCGCCGATACATACTCGGCACTACCACGACGCAGTTTGCTCCCGGGTACGAACGTCTAATCCCATTCTCCCATTCACCAGCAAGCTTCCCGTGAAATGTGTATCACTGCCGCGCTCAGTGTCGCACTTTGTGTGTCTCCATAGACTTCAGTCCAAGGACGGTCATATCATGCTTTGTCCTTCTCCTCGTACTGACAAGGTCACATCTTACACGGACAGAAGCAAGCGTCCAGAGAACCATCCTTACATTGGGGCCGCAGATCCAAAAGGGCATCTCGTTCGCCGCCAGAAAGTATCCCATGAAGCCAGTATCTCATCTTTTTTGGTAAGAGAGACCTATCCCCCCCCCTTCAGTCCTCTGCGTTACCCTGAAGCCTCTTACCCCGGAAGAGCAACGGGATGTCGTCCGTCACACCCTTGATCTCGTTGGCGCACCACTCCACGTAGGTCCCACTACACAGCACCCGCCCGAAACCCTCGGCCGGCACGTCCTCCCCTCCTCCGAACCGGGCACCTGCCCCCTCCCCGAAGAGGTAGAGGGGGTCGACACTGCCGATGGTGGGGCTGATCGTTCGGCCGGCCACGCTTCGCCAGAACAGGACCGATCCGCATTCGCCGCAGAACCCGCGTCGGCCGGATTCGCTGGCCGCGTACTCCTTGAGGGTTTCCGTGCCTGAGGTCCACTCCAGGGCGGAGACAGGGACCTGCTGGCTGACTAGGAAGAGGCCGCCCGTTTGCTTTCGGCACTGGGTGCACTGGCAGAGATAGTTGCTGGAATCGAAGTCGTGGTCGTCTGGGTAGGTGATCTTGTATCGGACGGAGCCGCAGAGGCAGCCGCCCGTAATGGATTTGGGGGTTGGGCCGAGACTGGACTTGGGCATTGTTGAAGAAGCAGGAGGTCTCAATACTTAGGCCACGCCTTGTGTGCCTTAGTGGTCTTTTGTGTTGAATGGGGGCCTTGGAGAGTGGGCATGGAGGGAGAGTATGAGGCGGATGCTTTCGGATATTTCGAATGCTTACTGTCATTAAGGAAAAAGGACAGCTCTTGAGAATATAGGGAAAGGATAATGGGCGACAGCAACTCCTGGCATCTTCGTTCTCTTGAGTTATGTTGATGCCATCATGACGTTGCGTTGAGGGGGAATAATGTTAGGGGGCTGTCAAGCACGCCCTTCGATATCTATTTCAAGGCAAATCAATAGCCAGGAATCCATAAGCTCGGTGAAACCCCTTCCGGCTGACTGCCTCCCGAGTGAGAACAGGGGCACAGAAGAACGTCTACAGGGCGTGGCGCTAAGATCTTTCTTTGTACGTCAATACGTTGGAACCTGTAGTTTGGTTTCCAACACGATAAACACGGTTAGTTAGTTGCAGCTTCCTTGAGTCGATTGTATGATTGACCGTCTCTGACGATACTCGATTGATAAACGGGACTACAGAACAAAGAAGAAGAAGAAGAAGCGAAGACTGACCATACAGAACAAGGGCGATATTATGATTAAAAAAGCGCAGAAAAAAAAAAGAGTTCCCTGGTAACCTCAGGGATTCAGGTATAATGACAAGAGTGGGATTCGAACCCACGCCTATTACTAGACTAGCACCTGAAGCTAGCGCCTTAGACCAACTCGGCCATCTTGCCATGTCTATGTTGTCGCAAGCCACTTTGATGAGTGTCGCAGTGAGTTCCGACTGTCGTGCGGTGGATGGCAGAATTGACCACCTCCCTACTACCTGATTAGCGCGTCGCAAGCGATTACGTCCATGCCTATACTATAGTAGCTCGGAAATTTGCTGTCTGCCAAATCGTACGTGTCCCCCTAAACTCGAGCACTGCCCATCACGAGAAAGGCAACCAAGAGCGAGACTCTAGGACGGGTAGACATAGGTATGCCAGCATGACAGTAGGGGAATCTTGTCAGTACCAACTCCCAGACATGCCCATTATTTTGGGACGACCGATCTCTGAGGACTGACTAGTGAATGTGATTTGTGTAGAGCGGTAGAGACAAAACTGGTCCATGGGCTTGGCTCTAAGGCTAGCTTCTAAGATTCTACACCGGTTCCCTCACGGGTATCGGCCAGAGGATGGCCATCGACGGCAAGTAAGTGCAGGTCAATTCGCACCGAAGGCAATCCCCGGCTGTGTTTTCTTAAGCTTCTCGGCCAGAACAGAAGGAAGGTTTCTTTCCGTTTCTCTACACGTAGAGAGTCAATCACCCGCAGAGCGAAGGTGGCGGGTGGGATGAATGACAAAGTCTCTTGCTTAAATGATGTACGAGTGTTTAAACCACTTAAGCAACTCGAAACGTCCAGATATTTGGAGGGAAAGAAGGACGAGAAAAGGAGGGTGAGATATCGAGGGTGGAAAGCAAAGTAAAAAGACAAAAAGGCCAAAAAAGAGAACCGTCCCGCACAGGACTCGAACCTGCAACCTTAGCCAAATAACTTCCACTGGAACCGGAAAGCTACGCGCTACCATTGCGCCAACGGGACATGTTTCTTACTTGGCGGGCCGTTAGCCATACTTGTATCGGATTATTCCAACAACAACGGCGTGTGGGGCAGTTGGCGGGGCATAGTGGTTGGTTGGTTGGCTGGTTAATAAAGTAAACAAAATCAAGAGTGAAGTGGGATAAATTCAGGTGAAATCACATCACGCACACCCGACTTGCACGTTTCCCACCATACTGTTCTAATCCCATTGGATCTCGGTGGAGCAAGCGAATTTCTCGCCGATACTTTTCAAACTTCATTTCCCCTCCCTCGTCATTCCTCTACTCGCTCCGAATCGCATTCGCCTGACCGCTTCTCTCATCTGTCATCTGACGTCGCAAGACGAGGAGGCGAGCAATGGCCTCGACGACCACTTCCAAGTCGGCCAACCTGTTCCAGGTCTACCTTCGCCTTCGCCCACCGCCGGCTGGGTCTGCGAATTCTGAAAGCTTTTTGACTGTGGAATCCGAGGAGGGTCGGCCTCCGACACATATTATCCTGAATCCGCCCAACGACCGGAAGCGTTCCACAGAGAAGTTCGCCTTCACCCAGGTGTTTGAGGAAGATGCCTCCCAGCTTGACGTATTCCAATGCACCGGCGTCGCGCCCTTGATTGAGGGAGTCTTGGCGCCTCATGGGGGCGAGGGTAGTGATGCCTTGCTGGCGACTCTGGGAGTCACGGGATCTGGCAAGGTACGTGATTAATCACGCGTTTCCCACGGCCTTGACGGGGAGAACAAGATAATGGGCATCGCGCCGGTCATGGCTAATCAGGCATACGCAGACGCATACCATCCTAGGATCGCGGACCCAGCGCGGCATGACACAGATGACTCTCGACGTCCTCTTCCGTTCCATCGGCTACAACATGCTGGATATGCGTGCCCAATTCGAGCTCGACTCCTCCCTTCGAACCTCCGACGTCTCCGACGGCTCCCTCATGTCTGCGCCGACTTTCCTCGAGACTATCTACTCCGATTTTGCCGGCCCATCCCGAGCAGGCTCCCGAGCGGCCACCCCCATGCTTGTAGGAACCCCTAGAGAAGTCCCCGCTACCCCTCCTGCACCTAGGTATTACCCATCTGGGCCAGGCCCCAAAAGCGTGCGCGTAGTTCCGCCCACGCCCACACTCCTTCAGCGGTGCCGGCCGTTACCCTCTGCTGCCCTTCTGCCCAAAACACCGCCTAAGCGGGCGGTTGACCCAGGAAAACACTTCATGACTATGACCAAGGCATATAAGAAGAAGAAGACCCCAGCTAAAACTCCAGCCAAGGCCGACCTTCACCATCCTCCCGCGACCCCGAGACGCGCTCTGCAACGCGCGTCCTCAGTTCCCCAACTACCCGATGTCAGGGGCGTCAACGTATCCTCCGACCCCTCTGCCGAATACGCCGTCGTCCTGTCCATGTACGAAGTCTACAACGACAAGATTTACGATCTACTCTCGCCCCCCATCCGATCGAACGCGACGAAAGAATACCGGCGGCGCCCCCTACTTTTCAAATCTACCGAACAGTGTACTGACAGGAAGGTGGTGGCCGGACTGCGGAAGATCGTGTGCCAGACCTTGCGAGAGGCCATCATGGTCCTTGAGGCGGGTCTGCACGAGCGGCAGGTAGCGGGGACTGGAAGTAACAGTGTGTCATCGCGGAGCCACGGTTTTTTCTGCATAGAGGTCAAGAAGCGGACGCGCAACCGGCGGTCCAGTTCCTGGACCACCAGTACTTTCACTATTGTCGACCTGGCAGGAAGCGAACGGGCTCGCGACGCGAAGACCCAAGGCAGTACATTGGCCGAAGCTGGCAAGATTAACGAGAGTCTCATGTATCTAGGGCAGTGCCTTCAGGCGCAGAGCGGCTCCGGTAACTCGAGCAAGGTACGCCTCATCCCCCCACTCCTCCCCCCTTCTGTTTTCCTGCATCGTGCTACGTATACTTGGAATGGTCACCAACTCTCGCCGCAGCCCAGCGTCATGCCTTTCCGCCAATGCAAAATGACGGAACTCCTTTTCAGCAACTCTTTCTCTACCACCTCGTCATCGTACACGGCGAGCGTAGTCCCTAGACGAAACGCCCAACGAGGCGTCATGATTGTCACGGCAGATCCCCATGGCGACGTCAATGCCACATCGCAAATCCTTCGATATAGCGCCCTGGCGCGAGAAGTCACAATACCACGCATCCCCAGCATCACCTCAACCCTACTCGCCGACACACCTCATTCCGGCCCACCCTCGAGCCACGTCTCACACCATCCAAGCTCACATACAAGACCCTATGCCCCCCAACACGCGGGGTCTCATCGTGACATCTCCGCGAGCAGCCACGGCGATGGTGATAGAGTCATCATGGAGCACGCGGCTCTCGAGATTGCACGGATGCAAGACGACATCAACACCCTGCACGCCGAGCTGGACCGGGAACGCGACGCCAGGGTCACGGCCGAAGCGCACCTCCTCAGCATGGAAGACCGCATGCTGGAGCTGGAGCAGATCATCCGGGAGGACTGCGCGGCCGAGTACGAAGCGCGATTCGACCTGGAGGTGGCGCGGTGGAAGGCCAGCATGGCGGTGCAGCAGGAGCACAGCGAGGAGCACTGGGACCGCAAGATGGAGTTGTTCGAGCGAGGCCTGGGCGGCGCTGCTTCCACGGACGAGGGAGACGGCTCGGCCGATGATGACGACTACGATAAGGAGAACCTCCTGGTCGAGAACCTGGAGGAGGAGAACGAGAGGCTGCGTCGAGAACTGGCGGTGCTGAAGCGCGAGCTTGGCGCGCGGAGCCCGACCCGGCGGATGCCGCTTCACGAACGGGATGATTACTCGGGAGGCCGGAGCAACACTGATGTATACGGCGGTTATGGTGGCGGAGGCGCGGCGCTGGGTAGTCTGGGACAGAAGATGGAGCAGCTCCGCGTTAGCAACGGCAGCACGGCTTCGAGTCCGGTGAATGCCAACTCCGCCGCCGCCAACACCACCACCATCACCACTGCTACTGCTACGGGGAGCCCCAAGAAGATGCGAAAGCTTGTCACGAAACGTTGGGATGATGCGGGGGATGACTTGTCATGATTACTTCCTTCATGTGCGTTTGCTTTCTACATACGGTATATACCCTTGACGTTAAGGTACTGAGTCTCTGGCTTCGTGTCATGGTGGGCTGAATTGATCTGTTGGCCTGATCTTATGGTTTAGGTGTTCTATATCTGAGAGAAGAATGCTCTGGAGTAAAATAGGAAGAGTGTCGGCCTGTTCACCAAGAAGACGGACCTTGTCTCGAAACTATGGCACGGAATTGAATACTGCCTGTATACTGCGTTCATAGTCGACTACCATGATAACTCGACGACCTAACTACCCCCTTTGTCTAACCTCATACCTGTCTCTTGTTTTCCTCGACAAGTATGCGGCTTGAGGAAATTGTGAGAGGCCGTGATAGTTCGGTCGGCAGGCGTCTTCGCCGCCTGTCGTACGTTCGAACTCGTGGAGAGCCAGAACGGAATGAGTTTGCCGTATATATCTCGCTGACGATGCGACTGATGTTGTCTCTGGCGTTACCTTGATCTTAGGGTGCCCGGGAGTCCTGTTGAGCATGAATAGGGCGTCGTCCCAGGGGCCATTCCATGATCTCCCCGTCTTGTCATCAGCCAGCATTTGACGGTTGTCTTGATACCCACGAGAGTACTTTGATCATCCGCCGTAAAGTACGGAAAATTATGTATGTATTTATCTAAGTGAAGTTCGTAGTACTTTACGGGGATATCAAACTATTAGGGAAAACTAGGGAAAATACGTGTGAATATGATACGTAGCAGAGGCGAATCGGGGCCACGTCGGCCCCGCAGTGGCGCCACTCTATCTAAGGAAGAGTATAGAGGTTTCCCCCCGGGGTTTCCCCTCTATAGCCACCTGGGAAGGACCGTATAGCCTAGCCAGGCTCCTATAGATTAGATAGCATAGCGGAGTAAGATAGATAATAATAATGGAAAACAATTAAGTAATACATAAAGTAAAAGTAGGCAGATATTACTAGCAGAATAGTTCTAGCCACTTAAGGCTTTAAAATAGGATGTCTGCCTTAGAGCTATTAGATCGATTAGAATAGAGTTATTTTACTAAAGCGCCGGGCTTATAACTATTAGAATATAAATAAGGTATAGAAAACTATATATATATATTTATCTAAGTAAAGTTCGTAGCACTTTATAAGGATCTCTAAGTATAATTAAAAAATAAAGGGAAATAAGTATAGATATATAGGAATAACGTACTCTATAAGTCTAATATAATATGGGTTGTCACACCTCGATAAGGTTGCTAAGGGCACCTGAAAGATATAAAGCTCCACTGGTTTTGCCCCACATATCCATACCACGTCCGCCGCGCTCTTGGAGCCCGTTGGCAGCATTTCCTTCGCGAATCGATCCATACCTATTTCCCAACCATCACCCTAGCAGCTCACATCCCTCACAGTCCCTTTATCTGCGCCATTGTCATTTGACAGTAAGTTTTTTCTGTTTGTCTATTTTTGTCATTGCCCGGAAAACATCGACTTTAGTGCGCAATCGATAATTATCTTGTTTTCTAAGCCACATGCCACTCACTGTCATCCCGGCTCCTGGCACCCTGACGCACAGTCACCCGAGTACACATAATAACCGAACGTGCGCGACTAATTCCTCTTTCTTCCCCTCTATTTTTACAGGAACATCCCCGAGGAACACGCGCGAGAACCAACTCAGCCGAAAGTCACCGGTAATCATGGCAGACGTCAGCACGGAGGAGAAGAAGCCCGTCGAGGAGCAGCAGCAGCAGCAGCAGCAGCAGCAGCATGACACCGTGGCTAGCTCCGCGGCGGAAACCACAGATGCGGCGGCCGCCAGTAACAACGCCGAGGACGAAGGCCACGACGAGGTGGGAAAAAAATAACATCCTTGCAGGCGCCTCGGCGCAAGCACATAGCAAGAGGAGGCCAATCGCAACTGACCGTCAGGGCGTGTAGGAAGAGATCTCGGCTATGAAGCGCCGCGTCGCCGAGATGGAAGAGGAGGCTGCCAAGCTGCGCGAGATGCAGGCGACTCTGGAGGACCGGAACGCCGAGATGGCGGAGAACAGGGAAGATGTGGATAGCCGCAGCATCTTCGTCGGCAACGTCGACTACTCGGCCTCGCCGGAGGAGATTCAAGCGCACTTCCAGAGCTGCGGATCCATCAACCGCGTCACGATCCTATTGGACAAGTTTACCGGACAGCCGAAGGGGTAAGTCGCGTTTTAGGGGGCCGGGGGGGGGCCAGAAGGGAAGAGAGGGCCGGTTGGAGGAGGGGAGAGCTTCCGGGAGAGCTTCCGGGAGAGAAACGGGACACTGATTATGATCATCACAGATACGCATATGTCGAGTTTACCGAGCCGAGCCTAGTGGCGCAAGCGCTTGTGCTCAACGAGAGCGTTTTCAAGGGTCGCCACATCAAGGTGGTACCGAAACGAACGAACATACCCGGGATGTCTCGTGGGCGGGGCCGGGGTGGGCGAGGCCGTGGATTCGGCCGGGGTTTCAGCCCACGCGGTCAGTTCGGAGGGTATCGGGGCGGCTTCCGGGGTCGTGGGGGTCGAGGCTTCACTCCCTACTAGTTCGACTGCATGCCGGCGACGACCGTCCTTGACGTTGTCGTCGACGCGACCTCGACGGTCCTTCCCGTTACTGTTCGCGCGCGGTCGTCCGGAGCATTGTCCTTGACTGATACGAGTGGGAGGACTCTAGAGCAGAGATGTTGGCCCCCGATTTCGAAACACTCCCTTGTCGGGCAGAAGAGAAGAAAGGAGACAAAAAAATGGAAAGGACGAAATGGAACATACATAATACGGCGGAATCGGGTCTCTGGCGTGCGGTCGGTTGAACAAGCGCCCCGTTTGGCATGGCGTTGGGGGATTTCGGTCGTCCTTGATCACTTCAGTCCCCCCCCCCTTGCATATTCAGGATTTGAGGGAGGAGGGCCTTCCTCGGCCATGTCAGGAATAAAGGGAAAACAAAAAGAAGACAACCCCTGGGAGCTACGTATGGACCTTGGTCAAGGATGGTTCCTTGTCCATTTCAGCCGCTTTTCTTTCATTATTTCGTTACTTGTTTTCCAATGCACTGTTCATGGGAACATGGGGTTAAAGGACTCTTAGATGGAAGCACAAACGAAAAGTAAACATATTCGATGCAGTCAGGTCCTTGCGAGGACAAGAGAGAGGATGTGTGCGTACCTAGGTAGGGTGATATTGCACATGTAGGGGCCGACAGTCCACGACAACTTTCTCCCGCTCTGCAGGGGCGGGGATGGCGGTTAAAATGGGAATTGGGCCAGTTGGGACATGTCATGTGCGGTTGGTTGTATTATCCCCCTTCCCTTCCCTGTAGAATTGCCAGGCGCAAAGACGAAATGAAATGACACGAGGGGAAAAGAGATGAGAAAGACGTCCATAAGTGGACTCGAGCGATATACCTGTACGTGTAGATCGGCGGGGACGAGTCTCCTTCAGTACCTAGGTAGGAACTGCATAATGCCAGAGACGAAGCGCCGATGAACCACGGGATAATTACCCATGTTGGGAGACGGGAATAATTACCTTATTATTATGGACGTACTTTGTAGGTATCCGTACTTCCCTCCCAGACAGACACACACACCCACGAGACATTTGGCAGTGCCATGTGCTTCGTGAGGCTTCATAGGTGCTTTGCGATGCTTGCTAATTGACGACCAGCGACGTTTCCTTTGTGTCAAGCTACGTATTCCGGATTACGTAGGCACATAGTAATGGATCCGAAAGCAGTGGAGGTGCGCCTGACGGCTACTAATAAATTACACTACACGTATACGTAGGTAGTTATGGTGGCGCGGGGGCGGAACGTCACGTCACCTCAGCTTCACTCATTCCCACCTATCCGTTAAGTTGCCACCTGCGCAGCCCCTAATTACCTAGACACCCTTTTTTACTGTACCGCGTACACGATACATTAGACACGACGCTTAAAACGTTTGATATTCGACCAGTATCCGTCGAGCGCGCTTCTTCGGGTCTGGCTATTGGTTCTCCGTCGAGCCTTGACAGGTGCCTCTAAAAAAAGACATCGCGTGCATCGCATCCATCTCATTGCATGCATCCGATTACATCAGGGTCATACCACCGTACGGAAGTACGGATACGTCCGCGGCATCTTTATTGGTGTAGGACGTGTTGTAGATTTCCAGCCCCTTTGCGAAAAAGCGGTTTAAGGCCTAAGGTAAGCTAACTTAGCTAAGGTACCTAAGGTGAGGTAGGATGAGGTACGGAGTACTAGGGCAGGATAACTCGGCAATTCCTGTAGGAAGTAATTCCTCCGTCGGTGTGGTGACTGGTGAAGCATGTACGAAGTACGAAAGTAGAGTCATTCATTCATTTTCGTACCGCTTGGCTGTGTTGGTTAAGTACGAAAGTACAGGCCAATCTTCGTAAAGTTGACAACGGCAGGGACGAGGGGCCTAATACATAGCCATTTTAATTTCGAAGTATCCGTACTTCAACCAGGAGTATCATTTTATGCGGGGCTGTCCCCCTCCTCCATCTTGTCAGAAACCATTCCATCATTGAGAGGAAGCAGTTACATCTGAGCTTGTACATATACGTACTATCCATTTCTCGCCTTGTACTCCGTCCACTTCGGGGGGCGACCGGGGCGTCCTGACAAACCAACCAGAGACTCCAGGGACCCAGAATCCTTGAATCCCAAACCCAAGACACCAAAACCTACCTAGAAAACGACACAGCCTCAACTCTGCCATTTGCCATCTCTCTCTTCTTACTCTGTACTCTCGTCAATATCTGCACCGCGAGCCATTCCATCGATATTCGACCAGAATCGACTCGCCCCGTGCGACGGAAGGGGTCCCGCGTAACGATCAACAGCATCATCTTATCTAGGTATTCACGCCTACCTCCCGACCTACATACATATCGCCCCCCCCCCCCCCTTCCCCTCCCTACCTTACCCATATACCATCTTTCGTACATACCTGTCGCACATCTTTCTGTTTCTATTCCATACTTGATTCTTTCCCTCCCCGCTTCTCTTCGTCGGAGCCCACCCTCATTTTTCCATTCGATTCGCAAAGTGCCTCCGCCTTTACGGAGCTCGTTGCCGCTCGACCGGTGACCTTCGTGCCTTGGATTTGCGATCATGAGCGGCTCTCGCAACACCAGCGGCGGGGCCTCAGGGTACGTTTTGTCGTCTGGCGAACTTCCTTCGTCCCTAGATCTCGAGATTCTTTTGATAATTAATGGCTGACACGACCCCCTGGTCTTTGTTTGCTAGAACCCCCAACCTTCGAGTAACGAGTGCGTATTCCTCCTATGACATATTCCCGTCGGCCCGTCGCCATATGTCGACCGCCCCTCCCGTCCCATCTTGTTGTATTCTTCGTCGAATGACAGGGGATCAGATGAGTCGATCAATATGGTCGAAACATCTTCAACTAACGATTCGTTCCAGTCATCGCAGCAGATGGCCTGTATAAAAGAGATGTTTTCCGTACGTGTCGCCTCTTGTCCTCGAACCCCCCTCTTCCGTTCCATTCGGCTGATCGTAGCTACCCAGGGTTTCCCGATCCTTTCGCAGTCATAACCGCCAACGGCGATCAGACCAAAACAACCACCGCCCAGAAGCGGACCCTTAATCCATACTGGAATGAGAGCTACGATTTGTGCGTACTCACCTCTCTACGCTTGGGAAATGACTACACAACGACGAGTAACAGGCTGACCATCATTCAGATGCGTGAACGAGGATACCATATTGGCGGTACAAGTATTTGACCAGAAAAAGTTCAAAAAGAAGGATCAGGGTTTTTTAGGTGTCATCAATGTTCGCGTCGGCGACGTGATTGAACTTTCTCCTGATGCAGACGGTAAGCTCTATCTGACCCTATCTCCGCCTCTGCGCCCCTTTCCCGACGACCCATTTCGTTGTACGAGGTCAATTCCCGGGTTGCCCGTTTTCCTTCTCTTCTCTCTAACAGTCCCCCCCCCCCCGCAGATCAGATGATTACTCGAGACCTGAAGAAATCAACCGATAATCTTGTCGTCCATGGAAAGCTCATCATCAACCTCTCCACCAACCTATCTAGCCCGGCTCGGAACCAGTCCTCCGCTCGGCCGAATCTCCCCGCCGCCTCTTCCAACGCCTCCGTTCTTTCCGCCTCGATAGACAACAACAGACCGGCCTCCGCCTTGAGCACCCAACCGAACGGAACTCTCGCTCCCGGCTCGGCCGTCAATATCCCGCACCGGCCCGCAGCCGCCATGCCTACCGGTACGAGCACTACCCCGGCCAGCAACGCTGCTGGCACGGCGCGACCACAGAACCAGCAGCTGAGCCCCTTCGAGGACGCCCAGGGCCGATTACCCGCTGGGTGGGAACGCCGCGAGGACGGTCTCGGCCGGACGTACTACGTCGACCACAATACCAGGACGACAAGCTGGAATAGGCCGTCGGCATCGGGGGCGGCGGAGCAGAGAAGCGATCGCGAAGCAGCCACCCAGGTCGAACGCCAACGGCACCAGAACCGTACTCTGCCAGAGGATCGCACCGGCGCGAATTCTCCGACGTTCCAAGCCCAGCAAGCCGCAGCGCAGAGTGCGAACAACTCGACCATGATGCACACCGGCGCTACGACCCCGGGAACCGGCGAGTTGCCGCCAGGATGGGAGCAGAGGTGGACGCCCGAGGGCCGTCCTTACTTCGTGGACCACAACACCCGGACAACTACCTGGGTGGACCCTCGTCGCCAGCAGTACATCAGGATGTACGGTGGTCAGAACAATCAGAGCGGTACCGTTCAGCAATCCGTGACGCAGCTGGGCCCCCTCCCCAGCGGATGGGAGATGCGGCTCACTAACACGGCGCGCGTCTACTTCGTCGATCACAACACCAAGACCACGACATGGGACGACCCCAGGCTGCCGTCGTCGCTCGACCAGAACGTGCCGCAGTACAAGAGAGACTTTAGGAGAAAGCTGATCTACTTCCGGTCCCAGCCTGCCATGCGCATCCTCTCGGGCCAATGCCACATCAAGGTCCGGCGGTCACACATCTTCGAGGACTCCTTCGCCGAGATCTCACGCCAATCGGCCAACGACCTGAAAAAGCGCTTGATGATCAAGTTCGACGGCGAGGACGGTCTTGACTACGGCGGTCTGTCCCGGGAATTCTTCTTCCTTCTCTCCCACGAGATGTTCAACCCGTTCTACTGCCTCTTCGAATATTCCGCACATGACAACTACACCCTCCAGATCAACCCCCACTCCGGCATCAATCCCGAGCACCTCAACTATTTCAAGTTTATTGGACGGGTGGTCGGCCTGGCCATATTCCACCGACGCTTCCTGGACGCCTTCTTCATCGGCGCGCTCTACAAGATGATGCTAGCGAAGCCGGTGGCCCTGCCGGACATGGAGGGCGTCGATGCGGATTTCCACCGGTCACTGCAGTGGATGCTGGACAATGACATCTCCGGGGGCATTCTCGAGCAGACGTTCTCCACGGAAGACGAGCGCTTTGGTGTCATCCATGTCGAGGATCTCAAGCCCGGCGGCCGCGACATCGAAGTGACCAACGAAAACAAGAAGGAGTATGTCGACCTGATGGTCAAGTGGAGGATTGAGAAGCGGGTGGAGGAGCAGTTCAAGGCCTTCAAGGAAGGCTTCAACGAACTCATCCCGCAAGACCTCATCAACGTGTTCGACGAGAGGGAGCTGGAGTTGCTCATTGGTGGTATCGCGGAGATCGACGTGGACGACTGGAAGAAGCACACGGATTATCGCGGCTATACCGAGTCGGATGAGGTGATCCAGTTCTTCTGGCAGACGATCCGCTCATGGGACGGGGAACAGAAGTCCCGCCTTCTCCAGTTCGCTACTGGTACCTCTCGAATCCCTGTTAATGGCTTTAAGGATCTCCAAGGAAGTGACGGGCCCAGGAGATTCACCATTGAGAAGACAGGGGATGTTAACAACCTGCCCAAGGCGCACACATGGTATGTCTTGTCCTTCGTCCTTTTCCCCTTTTCTCTCGAGATGCATGCGACAGACGACGATGCTAACTTGGACTACCTCAGTTTCAATCGTCTGGACCTACCTCCTTACAAGTCACTCGAACATTTGCAACAGAAACTCACGATTGCGGTGGAGGAAACAATGGGATTCGGTCAGGAGTAACGTCATGTGGAGAAAAGGCATTACCAATGTAAGAAGAGAAGATGCGGAAGCCGAGAAGCCATCATCTCACCAGAGTGGCTCTCTTGTTTTTTCCTTAAAACGTTTCAGCCAACGTCTTGTCTATCACGGTCTGTCGTGCATCTCCGCGGGCCACTGCTGGATGGGATGAAAACTACTGTCCGTGGTAAGTAATGTTTCATGTCGGAAATCGGGAGGCTATCTTCTGTTTATACTACAGCACGCATCATCCTCTTCGTGTACGGCATTCTCTTTCTTCCGCCTCTTATTCTGTTCTTTAGGGGGGGTTCTTTTTTACTTCTTTTTCTTTTTCTGGGTCATTCTTTTGATGTCGGTCATGTTCAACGACACGTGGGACATGATAGCGGAACTTATACAGAGCGGTTTTTTTTTCTCACCTTGGGATATTACATGTGTCAAATTTTCTCCCCTGCTATGAGTGCAAGAAAATGAAGAAGTAAGAGACGGAGGGAGAGAGGGCACAAGAGAGAGGAGGTATACATCTGAAAAGCAAGCAGGCGGTAAGAAATGATGAAAGATGAGAGGTTTTTACTTGGCCCCTTGGACTCATTATTTGATGAACGAGGCTGAAGCTTTGGGTCATGAAGCAACAGAACTCGGCCGATACTGTGAACAAATTTGTTATAGGGGAAAGCTACAGATGACAGAAGACACCCTGGGCACGTTATTCTCATTCCCATCCCTTTCTTCGCCTTGTCGTGTTCACAGCATCGCAAGCTTAGAAAGTGCGATTCCAGAGGCATGGCACCTTGTCCGGATACGTTTGTCTCTCTCTCTCTCTTTGCCACCTAACGTTCATTCTATATGTACATCCGTTTCGTCCTCTGACCGCCTCTCCTGTGCCTTCAGCACGTCCCGCCGAGAAAAGTGGAAAAGAAAAGAAAACAAAGGGAAGAAAGATTTGTTTCGTGGCGGCTGAAAGAACATGGATATCTCGTGATTGTGAGGAGACTCCTAGCCTGTCAATCCAGAGCCACGGCAGGAGGAGAGGAACCCAGTTCTTGTTTTCCTACCCTGGCAATCCGGTGCTCCAAAGGGGGAATACACTTCCCATCCGCCAGCCTTCAAAGTCGGCGTGGTTGGTTGGTTGGATGGTTGGTTGGTCCTTTAATTCCTCCTACCATCTTATCCCTCACACTTCCCAAGCGACACAACCACACCCACCCAGCACTGGCCCAAATCCCAAGACCGCTTCCGCTCTCGACATGAAGGAGGGCCACTTCCCTTTTTGAGTTGTTTGTACCCTCCCTTTCGTCTCATCCACTGCCATGCTTCCCCTCTCCTGCCCCCAGATCCATTTTACTTGCGGTACCACATGCGGGTGATCTTGGTATTCCGCATCTTCCTCTGCAGCTGGAAAATGCCGTACATGAGGGCCTCGGAGGTCGGCGGGCAGCCGGGGACGTAGACGTCGACGGGGACGATGCGGTCGCAGCCGCGGACGACGGAGTAGCTGTAGTGGTAGTAGCCGCCGCCGTTGGCGCAGGAGCCCATGGAGATGACCCAGCGGGGCTCGGGCATCTGGTCGTACACCTGGCGCAGGGCGGGGGCCATCTTGTTGGTGAGGGTGCCGGCCACGATCATCACGTCCGACTGGCGCGGCGAGGCGCGGAAGATGATGCCCAGGCGGTCCTGGTCGTAGCGCGGGGTCGAGAGGTGCATCATCTCCACGGCGCAGCAGGCGAGGCCGAAGGTCATGGGCCAGAGCGAGGACTGGCGGGCCCAGTTTACTATCACGTCGAGGGTGGTGCTGCAGGGGACAACCCATCGTTAGTTCATGTCATGATTGTGTTTTCCTCTCCTTTCTTGCAGTGGTTTTTTTCTTCTTCTTTTTTTTTCCTTCCATTTTATTTCGTTCTCTTTTGGATCCTTGCAGCTCGACCCTCCTTTCATGGTGTCTGGAGAAAAATAAATTGAAAATGGGTGGCGGGAAACGTACAGAGCATATTGAACCACGCTCTTGGTACCCTCCTGGCTGGGGAGAGGCACTTCCCTGCGCGGCAGGACGCTGGTCCCCTGGGGCGTGAGAGCGCTAGCGGCATCCTTGCGGGAAGATGTCGAGATGGGAGCAGCGGCAATGGCGCGAGGCGCGATCCGGACGAGCGAGGAAGCCGCGGGCTTGGCTGTAGGACGGAGACGCATCTTCGTTAGCCTGTTATTTCTGCAGTCCCTCCTTCCTCATGATCCCTTTCATCCCCTTCGTTTTCTTTTTTCCTCCTTTTTTCTCTCTCTCTTCCAATTCGAGTGGCAATGGGCCTTGCCGGCAAACACGGTCGGTGGACGTTGGAACCTACCACGCAGAGCCATCGAGGCTGCTGGCCTCAATGAATGAAGCATTGTGAAGAAAATGTGCTCTCGATTTGAGAGGAGAGATCGAAAAGGAGTGGAGAGGGGTCGCGTCGAGACGGTTCGTAGCTGCGCTTCGCTGCGAGGGGTTGAGGGGGGGATTATTATGTCCGAAGTCTCGCCTCGAGGTCAGAGAAAGAAGGCAATCGGCTTTGGTTGATGTTGACCCTTCCGCTGGTTTTCGCCTCCTTCGCTACTAATTGCAATGACTGGGCAATGATTGGCTGATTCATGCCGAATGGCTCGTGCGCACAATGTATTATTACATAAGCTGGCTTGACGGGGACGAGAACCTGAAGATGTTGAGTACGGTACTCCGTAAGGTACCGAAGAGTAAGGTACGTACCCTTACGGAGTAAATTACGCGGTACCTAAGGTACCTTAGTGATATTCATAAAATGTCGCGCAGCACGGACGCCCCAGTCCTTCCCCGATTATTGTACCTTGATGTTCGTACCCTGTACTTGTTTCGCTGAGATCGCAGCCCTCTAGGCAAAACCATGCTATATCCGCTATGAGGTAACATAGGCGATAGCAGGTAACCGCAACACGGCGTGGCGTCAAGAAAGCGACACGGACTCCGGAGCAAAGCTTATGTCACTCTCAACTCCGATTCCTACCACGTTATTACAACGGAGACATTGTTTTCTCATATCTTGATATATTATAAGATTTCTGACTTGCCAAGGGTATACGCAAATCGACTCGGCAGATAAACTCATGTATTTCTGTTCATATCACCATTCCAATCCAGTTCCGCGTAAGACGGGCGTCCAGCGGCACCTTGCCTCCGTGCGATTTCTCGGTTCAACTCCGCGGCCACGTCCTCGCCGCATCCCCGCCGTCGAAACCCTCCCCCCGGTCTCTTCTGTATCTAGACAGAGACGCGACTCGGCTGCCACCGCTCAAGACGACGGTGTTTCGCGGATCCGTCATGATCCGGGCATCACGAACCACACCAAGGAACAAGGGATACGCGAACGTGACGACGCACAGCGCCACAATCACGACGAAGCCCAGCTGCACCGTCCCTCCATGTTGGGTGATGGCCCACACAACAAAAGGGAAAAATCCTGCCCCGGATCCGCCCATTGTGATGAACGCCGCCGCGCGTTTAGTTCGAAGACCCTGACCTCGCAGGCCGATGGCGAAAATGAGGGGCCAGCACGGCCCTTCCGCGAAGTAGAAAAGAATGACGGGGATGACCAGCATATTGGGGTCCTGCGGGTGCAGGACGACGACGAGGAGGGCGAAGAGGAACGAGGCGGCGACGCTAATGGCGAGAAGGGTACGGGGCCTGGGGAAACGCGAGTTCTTCACCGCCATGTACGTGAGGAAGGCAGCGAGGAAGCGAGACAGCGCAAAGGCGGCGTGCGCCACAAGACGATAGTCCGCTATGGAGAGCGCGAGGCCCGGAAGCTGGTCTGTGTCCTCTGCGGTGAGCGGGCTCGAGTATGCTACGCCGGCGACTCGGTGGGGGTCGAGAAGCGGTCGGAAGAAGATAGAGTTAGACTCCTGGCACGCCGTGTATGTATATTGAGCCGTCACGGCAAGGACGAGACAAACGGTTCGGAGCTGGAGGCCGCCGAACGCGGTACGCTTCTCCGGGTCAACGGGCAGGCGGTTGGCAGCTTCTTGAAGTTCCGCGTCCCCCACTTCGGGGAGGCGCACGTAGTAGAAGAACAGGGCGAGGGCGGCGCAGAAAAGGGTGATGGCGAGGTACGTCCACTGGATCCTCAGGAGCGATAGTGACTCGATGGCAGCCTCGTCGTCGAGTTCGTCGAAGAAGACCTTTTGCGCCATCAGGACGCTGACGACGCTGCCCACGGCTTGGACCGCCTGGGCGAGACACAGCCGGCTCTCGCCGTATGGTGCCGGCCCACACAGGACCATGAAGGCGTTGGCGCCCGTCTCGAGGGTGGAGAGGCCCACGCCGACGACGAAGTTGCTGAGTAGGAAGCCACCCCACGATTCCATGACGGCCGAAGGCCAAAAGATAATGGTCCCCACGCCATAGAAGCACAGGCCCACGATGAAGGTGGCCTTGAATCCGCCCACGCTCCGACTGGTGTCGTCCTTATCCCTCGCTCGGTGCACCCTGTGGTGTTCGTCCCGTCGCAGTATCCATTCACCCACGAGCAAGGGCCCGCAGAAGTAGCCGAAGCCGAAGTAGGCAGTCGTGAGACCCAGTCTTTGCGCGTCCGTCATCTCGGAGACGGCCGCAACGGCATTATTGAGGGTGTTGAGGAGGCCGTACGAGATGCCCCAAAGGAAGAAGAGAACCGTGACGACAAGGCAGTGCCGAAAGGAATCGCGTGCGTTGCACTTGATCATGCTTTTCGGGTGTTTCAAATCGACGAAGCCAAAGTAAATCGAGTTGTCCTGTGCTTGTGGCCCAACCCTCATAGCCGCCGGCATGGTTTGAGCGTTCCGGAGTCCAGTCGCATTGTTACTAGTGGTGCGGCTTAGCCTGCTGGGCATGGTGATAAACTCGAGAGCTGACATGGCTTCGTCTGCGTTTGCCTCCGCCTCTGTGTCGGTACACGTTCCTCCTCCTCCTCCTCCTCTTTCACGCCCACCGGCGGCCCGGGCAGGGACCGGCTCATGGATCCCAATGTCGTCACTGCCACTGCCACTGCCACCCCCAAGCCTACTAGGGACATCGGACGAGCCCTCCTTGCGGCCGCTCGAACTACGCCGAGTACCGTCCGGGTCGATGAGCATGGCCGGGAGGATCCGAACCATCAGTGGCTTCAGGGTTGGGATACAGGCGCAGATCATGGCGACATTGACCTCGACAGCACTCCACATGAAGGACAAGGACGAGTTCCAGGCGAAATTGTGCGTACCGCCAAACGAGGACTTTCGGTCGGTCGAGGGGGAAGCGGGGGCGGATATGGCCTGCTGAAGGTAATATATGCGTACAACATCGACAACAGTGACGAAGATGCCGAGTGAGAAAGTGAAGACCAGGATGTACTTTTGCCTGGGAGGCAATCTCATGCTGGTAAGGACAGGAATAGGAAGCGCCACGATGACGAGGTTGGTGATGATGTTAACAGGGGCAGCGCAGATGAACAGGGTCAGGAGTGGGATACACCGCACTGGCTCGGTCCAAACTTGCCAGGCGGCATTGATAGGGCTGCACTGGAATATGTTCACCAGAGTAAGGACGGCCCCGGCGAGGTTTACCACGGCGAGTGTGGCCCACGAAGCGAAGCGTAAAACCCTCTGCGTGTTCTTGGAAAGACGGAGGTAGAAGACGAGGATGCTGGACTTGGTTGCCATGAGGGCCGGATTCTGTGTGACGATTGTCGGAGTCAGCCAGGGGTGGAGGGAGGGAGGGATGAAAAGAATACACTGGAGGACTAACATAGAGTACAGAAAAGACATATTCGCATCGTCTCAGGGCCCCGAGGTCGCCCGCATCGATGTCATCGTCGTACTTGCCCAGGCCTTTTTGCGTGCCATATGCGATAGTGAATGACAGACCGAAGGCAAGTATCCAACCCAAGCCCATGATCCTGTCGTCCCAGCTGATTCTCTTGACAATGGCAGAGCGGCAAAAGAGCCTAGCAGCCACAAAGACGGTCGCGAGGGCGAGGGTCGCGACGGTGACGGCGAAGACGGCCGGGCCACGGTCAGGGACGTGGCGGGATTCACCATCGGTTGCTGACATGGCGAAGAGAGGGCAGAGGGGGGAGAGAGCCGAGTCTGCTTTCATGTGGCGGCCACGGCCACCACAATGCGGAGATCTCGTGAACGGCGCTGACAGTGTAGGTACGGCTCAGGGGAACGGTTGGAAACCGGTGATTGTCTTGATCCATCGCTCCCCCGGAAGTGGCTGGACATGAGAGGCGACTACCGGGCAGGTTGACGAGGTTGGCGAGGTTGACGAGGTTGACGAGGGTAAAGTGAGCGGGAAGACGGGAGAAAGCAGCGGGGCGGTGACGTCGAGCAGGTATGAACGGTACCTAGGCCAAAGTAGATCCTTCAGTCGTAAGCAGACACCCCTCTTCCCCTGTATGGGGATTTGATAGTCAAAAACCGGTGATCTTCTTACGGTTCAAATATGAGTTCAAAGAAAACGTTCCCTACCTTAGTCTGGAGGGTGGGCGCTCGCAACGAGATACGTGATTTCGCAGGGCCAATGAGTAACTGTTAAGGTGAATCTCTACTCCAGCCAGATAGGAAACACGAATTCAAGAGGTCGAGGACTGCGGGGGTCGTACATCTCTATGTTAACCCGATCAAGGGTGAGACAAGATTAAGGGGGAAAGGTAACACAAGACAGGGCGACGAACGCCGAAGCCGAAGAAGCGAGATGGGGGGGCATTCGAGGTCCAGGGATTGGGGATCAGTAACAGGAATCCAAAAAACTATGGCGTAGAGGAGGGAGAAGGTGGCTGGTCAAGAGGAGAAAGGGTGTGTTGTGTTGTGTACATTAAGGTACGTTGTACTCGGTACTCAGTACGGTACGGAGTAAGGGCTGCACTTGGGGAGTACGAAGTGGCCACAGTACCTACCTAGGTAGGTACTCAGTAAAAGAAGCCGGTACGAACATCGTGCCAACAAAGGTGGGCAGAAACATTGCAATGGCTTGACTTGGGCTGTCAGCAATGACGAGTCGGGATGGAGAAGGAGCTAGGAAATAGGTCCTGCCAAGTGAGGTGCGTGGCTCCTGAAACTGACATCATCGGTACGTGGATTAATCAATAGGTACCTAGGCAATTACTCCGCAAACTTAGACGAAGCGGAGCGGGGAGGACAAAAAGGTGTAAGGTGGGGAACTAATAACAGTTGGGCAAGTCCAGCTACCACCTACGTGTAATTATATTTTGTTTTGTGTAACTTCGTAATGGGGGGGTAAAATAAGACGAAGAAAACCGGGGGACAAGTGTGGGAAGAGACTAAGGTAGGACAAACGACGACTTACATGAGTCCCTACCCGGGAGTTTAGGCCGGACGCCGGGCGCCAGCACTAGCACCAGCACCGCTATTTTCCGTCAGGAGACGACCAAGTGAATAATCGCGGTCCCCTGACCAAAGACCTAGCGGTCCAGGTACTTTAACTGAATGTATTTTGTTTCTTCGGCTCGCAGTACGTTACGTTACTCTTATATTAGGATTCGAAAAGCAGACAGGATAAGAGTGTGATATACCGGGGAACAAAGGAAGAAGAATAAAAGTCCAGAGTTAAGATGAAGCCGTGCACGGAAGCAAGCGAAGCCACTAATAATTCACTAACAAAAGTGGACGTCATTACCCCACTTTCTCTTCCATCCCAGCGGTTCGGTTTGGAAACCACAGAAGCCACTGAAGATGTCGTAAAGCCGAGTTCGGCCCGAATACGAACGCTCGTATGTAGAGAAAGACAGCACTCGGTAGCCCGCCACCTCCATTCCGACTCGACAACGTCTCTCGTCTATCCATGCATACCTATATTTTACGCATATGCCATCTTTCCTGGAAACAGAATAGTAAGGACACGAGTAACCGTATGGAGTACTTGACATGTAAACGCAAAGAACAGCCCAGCTGAGCTTCCCTCGAACACGGTAGGCAAGTCCTTCGCCTTACCCATATTGAAGAAACAGCTTCATATGATCGGTTCCAGGTTGCGCCTTGATAGCTGCCCCTACTGAGCTGATAGCATAAGCCCAAGTCCGTTTGTATAGCTGGTGGTTGCTATCTTACTGCACTTCTTCCATACATCACCATCTTAACTTAACACGGAGAAAGCGAGGAAGCTTTCACAAAATAGATAACAGCACCCTTGGTATCAATACATCAGTGCAAAAATAGCCATCCGAAGCAAAAAAACACCCGCTTGCGTATATATCAAAAGAAGAAAAGAAGAAGAAAAAGACCCTTTTCCTGTGAACGGTCCGCTTCCGACTTTGGGATAATCGAGTCATCATGCCCCTCATGTCCTCTGCGAGATGTCAATCCGCCGGGGAAAAGCTGAAATGAACCGGAAACTGCCAGCATCGAGATATCCAATCATTGACCTGAACCGGCGTTCCCACTGAAGAAAAAATCAAGCCCGTTCCCGCGGGGGAGCTGCTGCTGGTTCTCCGCAAGCTGCTCCAGCAAGCTGAGGAACGGATCCTTTTCCTCCGCCGAGCCCGTCCCCGTGCTGCCACCCGTGCTGCCACCCGTGCTTTTCGCTCCCGGGCTGGTCGCCGCCCCGTGGGCTCCCTTGGCGCCCGTAACGGTACCGGAAGCCGCCGGAACCTTGTCGCTTGCGTTGCCGTTGCCGTTGCCGTTGCCGCTGCCGGTTCCGCCTCCATGCCACGCTGTCGGACTGCCGAACGTGTTCGTCGGTACGGCTCCAAAGATGGAATCGAAGTTACCCGTACCGTCGCTGGTGCCCGCTCCCCCCTGCGTGTTGAAGCTGAACTGCGGCGAGAATGGTCCGGGTCCGTTGGAAATCGAAGACATGGTCGATTGCTGTAATTGTTGTTGTCTTTGTTGGTGCTGGTGCTGGTGACCTTGTTGCTGATGATGTAGAGGAATGGCAAAGCCCAGCGCAGTTGCCGTACCGACACCGACACTATTCGTCGGCGCGCTATTGTAGTGGTCACCGAAGTTCGGAAGGGTCGCATGGTTGTGGGCCTGCTGAAGAGAGTTCGGGTGGCCTGGCCGTCCGGAATTCTGGTGCAGTACCATGCCAGCTCCCTGATGTGGAGGGAATGATTGTTGTAGATGGGATGGAGTTGGGAGTCCCGGGGACGGCGTTGGCATGGCGGCAGCGGCCAGAGACGTGGGTATGTTGGGGTCCTGTCGTATTTGGCCGGAAGACGACATGCTCTTACGCTTTAGGCTGGGACGTGTCCCTTCGTTCGAGTTGCGCGGGGCGTATAGATCGTGACCAACGTACGAGTCTGCCGTGAAGTCGACGACGGCGTCCGCAAGACCAAGGTTGGCAGCGTCAAAGTTGAAATCCTGCCCGATCAGACCCGCATTGACATAGCGGTCAAAGAAGTCTTCGAGATGAAACGACGGTGAATAGCGCGCCGAGTTCATGGTCATGTCCCTGATCAGCTCCGTGTGGGCATTGTAGATAGCCTGTAGCGTCTCTCGCTGGTGCTGCACGCTCGCCCACGCATACCTCAGCTCACTGAGCTGCTGCATCTCCCGGGACAAGAAATCGGCCGCCGAGCTAAACACCCCGAACCCCCCGTCACCTTCGATTTTGTAGTGAACCCCGTGGATGTGAACTGTCCCGGCGGTGCAGATGCAGTAGCCTACGAACGCCGGCCACTCGATGGTCCCCGCTTGCTTGCCGAGTTCCACAAGTTCGGCAATCGCGTTGGCATGCAGGAAGCACATGTTGGTCGCTTCGATTTGCCAGGAATGATGCTGCCCAGTTCCCGACAGTTCTGAAAGGTCGACGGGCAAGAAAGGTCGGTATACGAGGCAGTGGATGAGGTGGTACACAAGTTTGCTGAGAACGAGAGTCGTTGAGTCCGGATGTCCGAAGAGCGCGTCGAGGCTCGAGAAGACATCTTCCGTCCCCGAAGCCCAGATATCCAGGTCGTGCCGGATCTTGGAGAGGTTCGAGAGCGAGTGCCAGGGGAAGTGCGAGTCGCCCTTGACGCCCCCTGCGGCCAGGTACCGGTTCGTGATGCCCAGGATCCGCGCAATGTCAATAAGCATGCTGGTGCTCCCTTGCGATTTCTTCCCACTCCCTTCAAGATACTGCAAGTTCGATGCCGCCTGGAAGAACTCCCCCTCGATGGGAAGAGCGGACCGGTTCGGTGACCAGCAGGGAAGCCGCAGAAGAATGGACCTGTCGCCTAGCAAGGACGGCCGTTTAGAACCGCAGGCCATGAATCTGTCGAGGAGATAACATGTCCAGAACAACATCCTCCTCATTTCTCGCTCCACCGGGGTCACACGAGTATGACTGTCCACTTCTCGATGAGTCTCAAGGGCGATTGACATTCCCACGGCATTACCTACGAGACTAGTCAGTAACGGGCGCACCTCTTTGTGAAAGGGAAAGAACAGAGCGAGAGGAAACCGATGTTTCTTTTCTTTCCTACTCTTTTTCTTTCGTATGGTGAAATGGTCTTACTCATGAGCATATAGGCCTTTTTACCCCTCCCCGAGGCAGTGAAAGCAAGTACCAAAAGCAATAAAGCCTGCAATGCATCGATCGATGGCTCATCTGTGTCGATCTCGGCTCTCGATCGCGCGGCATAATCTTCGCTCAGTTTAACAGCAGCCTGATGGCCGCTGGGATGAGGTGTGTGTCTAGAAAAGCGAGTCAGTACTGGGAGCCACGATGATAAGACACGGGATCCATGCCTCGCAGCGACGGCACAAATCGCACCCAGCAAGTAGCCAGGCAGCTGATTCAGTTGCAATCGTTGCCGCGCAGATGATTCATCGAGAATATGGAAAGGTTTGGCGTGAAAGCGGGAGAAGTAGGTATCGAGAAGAGCGTCCTGCTGAACGGCCGGAGGCGACGGTTCGCTTCGGAAGAGGTCGAACAGTCAGCAAAGGCCAGGGCCTCACTTGGGTAGAAGAAGCACACGTCAGTATCTCTCCTTACCTGGTTAGGGTGGGCGAATACATGGCCGACCCGTCCCTTTCAGAGGTCCTTGACAAGGCTATGGCCAGTCGTTTAACCCTTGGCTCTTCACCGTCTCCCGGTTGGTCAGTGGCAGCGGCGGCACCACCTGATGCTGATGAGGGCTCCCCAGAGTGAGTAGTAGGTGCTGCTTGTTCGGTCGACTTCTCAGTGGCGGTTTTCTCTTTCAGCTTGGCCTCGAGGCCATCCACCCTCTTCAGTAACGCCTCCAAAACATCTGTCTTTGGTCCACGTTTCTTGGGTACCGCATCTAGCCCCCCCGGGGGACAATTAGCAAATGGTGCCGTCCTCGAGTCGCCAGTGAGTACCTGCACATGATGCTTGTACCCGTTGCTCCCCCATAGGAAAACAGTTTCGGGCTTACCGTAGATGCAAGGACACTGGAAAACCTGACAGGCCTCGCAGGCAGGGCGCAAGCGGTTGCACTTGATCTATGCAGAAAAAATTACCTGGATTAGAACTCCTGCATGGTTTCGACAAGTTTCATGGTGTGATCTCGGTTGCGGCCCAAGGATGCCGGCGGCCCTCACCTTGCGCTTGCGACATGACTTGCAGTTCATGGACTCCCGAGGTTCGTTGCTCATGCGCCTGGTCGGCAGCCGCTCGATGCCAACTTGAGGACGAGACATGGCGACGGCCTGGGGAGGCCCCTGCGGTAAAGGGTTCATGGAAAGGGGTCAGAAGGGCGTCGCGACGACGACCGTGCGCGGGGAACAGCAGAAGTCGGTCATTCGAGGAGCCCCTCGAGAGGCGGGCGACGGGTCGCCCCGATGTTGTTTGGTATAACTCAATATCGAACTGAATGGCTGCAGGACATGTCGAAGGTTTGGAGGTAGGCTGGGGGGCTGGATGGCGTGGTTTGAGCGGAATCCGGATGTTCAGATCGAGACGAGCGGTTGTTGTGAGTGACGGTGAATGGAACAAAAGAGGACGGATGATCAGCGGTAATGATGGCGAGAAGGAATTCCGCGACAGCAAGAGCAGCGAGTGAATGGCAATTCCGGCGTAGGTGAGAGGACGTTTCGAAAGGGGGTGTGTGTCTTCGTCTTCTAGGTAGTCTACATGTCGATATGGAGATGCAGCGACAAAAACAATTAGAACAAGCCAAGCTCGAGTGATCGATCCCCCTATGATGGAGACTACGACGCCATCATAATCGCCGTGAGAATGTGGAGTGCCAGAGGAAGCTGGAGACAGAATGGTGATGGGGGATTTGGGTGACCGGGGTTAGGGGTTAGGGGCGCCGAAGGGATGGAAAGGTGGCCGAGGTTTCTTCTGGAGGAAAGGAAAGTTGAAGTTCCATTCTACGACGTTTGTCGAATGCATGAACAAAGGTAGCAGTAGCCGCCAGCAAGGTGCGTACCTTGCGGAACTGGGGTCGACGCGTGAGGGGGTCAAAAGCCTGTCTCTTCGTACTTCGGTTCATGCTTGGTAGACACACGCGGTAATTGGGTACCTTATTAGGGGCTACCTACGAAGTAGTATATTAAAAACACGCCTGCTTTGACTCCGAGCTCCTACTACGGGATAGGATGGTGCAAGGGGGGGACTCGTTGTGGAGCCCCGGTCGTAACTTACCTATTAGGAACGGAAAGGGGGGGGGGGGGGGGGGGGGGGAAGGGGGGGGGAAGGAGGCCCGTCCTGTTTCTTTCTCCGCATCTTCTTTGCGGATAGAGGAGAAGCTTTCCGGCTTTCCAGATTGTGCAGCTGGGGTACGTATCCGTATCCGTACATGTCGGTACCTTACGTTGTACCCTACGTTGTACCCGCCCTTACATCAAGGAGTGAGGTTGGACACGACGTCCATCTCGGCCTCGACTTACCGAGCGCACCCCGAACGGCCAGAACGGCGGCCCCCAGCTTTGTCGCCGAGACGTCATGCGGGAGTGCGTTTGCCCGGCTTTGCCGCTCTCTTACTCGTCACTCTCGTATCGTTCCAGAACCCTGGATAATCAACTAGAGGCAGGCGAGTGTTCACAAGCCTGACCTCCGTCCGCCTCTTAAATCGCTTCATGATTGCACAGCAATCATGAGTCTCGTCCTTCACTGGCTCCTTTTGACGGGGCGAGAAGAGGGACCATCCCGGAGACAAAACTCCCGACGGAGCTACTCATCCCGCTTCTTCTGGAGACCCTGAAACTCGCCCTCAAACCTCACAGGGTACGACTGATATCGAGAACCTCATTATTCGTCTCTACCTCCTCGCCTGCCTGGAACAGAACAGCCCGACTTCTTAGGCGGAGATTCGATTTGGGTCAACCACACGCGACAGCCTGTGCCCGGACTGTACGTACACCCACGTCAACCCAGCAAAGTTTCCACATATCTACATGTACGGAGAATGCCCCCTCGCAAACGAACAAGTCTCGAGTCGTGTGTGTACCTAGATAATGGGATAGACACCGCCCCATAGGTTCCATAATCCATGCCAAACTGCGAGAGGAAAAGCCAACCTCGTAGCTAAAAGAAACGTAGATCCACAAGCAGTGTGAGAAAACGAGGAAGAAAAGAATCGCGGTACCCAACATGCTGTCGTAAACCACTCTCTCGGAATAACGCCGTGTATGTATGCATGCATGCAAAAAGATTCTGTGGCCTCGAGGAGTTATGACTCCTAGCTCAAGGCCCCATAACACCTCTTCTACGCTCGACAAGGGTGCTGGAAGAATAGAGGGGGGTACAAATGCTATGCCGGAGTGGACATGTGTTGTAGACCGAACCCAATCAATATCCGGCGCGTTTCTCGGCGATTTCCTGGCACGAGCTTTTTCAAGCTCTCCTGAGTGTCATCAACATACGCGCATCTCTTCGTTCGCGGCTCAGGACTTGCATGATGGTTGAAAAAAGACCAAAGTTCCATCGACGCTGGACTTGTGTGTTATTCTGCCAATGCAGCCCGTTGCTATGAGCGAGCCGAAAGCATGGCATGGCATATCCCCAAAATCGAATTTCCCCGCTTTATGGGCGTGATTTGCGAGGAAAATCAAGAAAAAGAAATCAGGCACGCGGGCCCCCTTTTCCGAGCATCGTCGCACCGAGGCCCCGTGCTCAATCAAAACAGACTCCGGCCACTTGCCAGCCTGACAAAGCTGTAGGGTACGTTCTGCCCAACTAACAGTCTCAATGTCTCTACCGTCGTGAAAGCCGCCGTGTCCGCCGAGCTGTAGGCCGAGAAACCAATCTGCTCAGCCACGATGCTGGGATCGCCCCCCTTCCGCGCGCTGGCAGTGTCTGCAAGATCTAGGAACACCTTCCTCGTATTGTTGGAGGAGCTCCCACGCCCCGTAGCTCCGAACACTCGAACCAACATCCCGACCAAGTTGCTCTTTTCAGGACCCAACGCCGAGACGATGACGAACGGCGCGGCGTCATCCCCCACCATGCGTGCGCGTTGCAGGCTTTCCAGGCTGTTGAATGGTTCAATGGCAGGTCCATTCTTGGCAAGCACCGGCGGGGTCTTGAAACCAACGGTGTAGATTTTGGAAATGTTCAAAGCTCTCAATGCGAATATGACGGAAGCCGCGTCATCCCCCGAGGATGCCAAAGCCACGGCAGATCGGCCAAAGTAAGCAGAGGGCGCTAGGTCCCGAGTCAACGCACTCAGAATGCCCTTCCAGCTTGCGTTATCCAGGACAAGAGACGTGTTGGGTGGCAGGTTGGAGATTGCCGAGCTGAGCCCGGCCGTGGTGTTGGTGCCGTGGTTGGGTGGGCTTGGTGATATTGACGCGGGACCCGATGGGGGGGAAAGTGATGATGCTGTCCTGACAACAATGGTGTCGACTGTCCCAATAACGCGGGCGGCCTCGGTGAGCTCAGGACCCCTGCCGTTGTTCAGCGATGCGAAGAAAGCACTGTGCTTCAAAAGGCTGCTCCATGATACCGGAGGGCTCAAGTAAGCACCGCCAAAGTTCTTCTGGTTACACCATGCTTCCACGCTAGCCACGTTATTCGGTTGCCGTTCTACGACGGCAAATTGATGGGGCAGACCCAGTTCGTTGAAACATTTTTCAAAGAAAGGCGCTTGCGGTATGGAGCTTCGAAATAATGGGCTCGTGATTCCCCAGATGGTCTTCTTGGGCAGCTGGCCCAGCAGGGAAAGGGCCGTATTGATCTCCGAGGCACTCATCTGACCCGGTGCGGCGACAATAGGGAGTAGAGGGTGTGTGATAGGGGTGAAGACTTTGTTGAGCGTCCTGGAGAACTGACCGGTCTCCTCCATGTTGACGCCGGAGAAGGGTGGGGAGTCGGGGTACTCAGCCCTCATCTTTGACCGGAAATACTCGAGCTCGAAGTTCTCATGATGGTCGTTGATAATCGCGATCATCTTGACTATGTCCGCGTACTTGCTGGATTCGACGTACACTTGTTGGGCTTCAGGCGAGGGCCAGCGGAAGGTACCAGAGAAGTCATGAAAAGCGGACATGATCCTGCTGTTGCCTCTCACCTCGAAAAGTCGTTTCCTAATCTCCTCAGGCAGCCAGAGCTCGACATCGATGTATTCGACTCCCCACTGGATGGCTCGATAGAGGTATTCATAGTACAAATCGGGATCTCCCATGGGGAACCGGCCGTTCTCCCTTGTGCACCTCGTCGTGAATATGAGAGGCAGCTCGGTTCGTTGCCGTAAAAGCATGACCTGTCGGCCGACATAGCTGAGACTGGGAACGGCCGAGTAAGTCCCGTCGCCAGTGGGCTCTTTCAATAAGTCCACCCGAAGTTCCACTGCATCTGCGCCAACGGTCAAAATGTCGAGGTTAGGTAACGCTGCGCTAACGTCAGGAAAGGTTGTCGATATGAAGTACGTCCGAGGTTTCGCCATCAATGTCTCGTGGTGGTTAATCTGCCCCAGGGTGAAGGAGATGAACCGCGACAAATCGCGCCGAAAAAAGGGGGCCTTCGTGTACAAGAACTCATAATCGCACTGCTCCGACAGGTACACATCGGGCGGCATTCCGAGGTCGACACAGTGGGCATTGATGGCCACCACTAGATCCTTGTTCCGAGCGGCAATGTCATTTTTCGCGGCTCCGGCTTGAATGCCAATGACCAGGCCTTTGTCTGCAGTGCTGACTTCACTGAAGCCAGATTTCAGACCTAGAGGCTTCCCAAGGACCTCGGCAAAGGTGGAAACAATTCCATCCTGACCGTCCCCGTATATAATGACAACGATCCGCGGGTCTCCCCTTTGAGGCTCACTGCCAAACTTGCTCGCTGTCCGAGAGAGCTCCGGTGAAGGACTAGAGTCGACATCCATATCGCCATCCCTAGTCCCATTGGTGCTTCGTGGCCGCGCGGGGGTCGGCCCAGCGGACAGTTGCTGAACCGTTGCCATGATAGAAGACCCGGACGCCCCAGCTCCCAGTTGTACTCTTCCGTACGACGACGTCGTTGATTGTGTGTGCCGAGGAGAGGGTGGGGGAGTCGCAAACTAGCCCAGCCTTCAAGGCAATAACACCAGAAGTCGAGCAATGCGGATGGTTAATAAATGATTGTTGAGGGGACTAGGCCGGATTCCCATTCCAAAAACAACCGGCTGTTGGCGTGGAATATTGTGAGTGGACAAGCGAGTGGCATCCGTGGTCTTGGGAAGAGGGATGGCCTCAGACAAACGTGAGGTGTTAATCTTGGGGCACAAAGGGCGGTCTCCGTCAGTTTCCAATCCACTGTTGAATCGCCTCATGGCAATTCAAGAGCTAATGCTGGTCCTTCGTGTATAGGTAGCCAGAAAGAATGGCTTGATCCAAATATCAACGTAGTCTGTGTCCAGTCCTGCCAGACAATCAGAGGGTGGCTCTATGGGCGGCACGACTGCGGAAAGAGTTCAAGAAGCAAACAGAGCAGCACAAGGCGAGGGCGAGTTATCTGGTGACATTCCCAAGCCGAAGAGTCGTGGCGGAAGGTGTGGGAGGAAGATGGATCGGCAGCTGAGAGTGTAGAAGAGATGAAGCTTGGGCAAGCGTAAGGGCACTCCTACAGGTATTCTGGGGTTGATAAGGGGTGGGTGCTGGCGCGGTAGGGCGTTTGATTCGAAAGGAGAATTATGCCGAATTTCGTTGGTGGAAGAGTAGACGAAGGACGAAGGAAGAATTGCTGACGGCTCGACGGTGGGAATTTTCCGCATGGAAGACGGCCCAGTGTGATTGTGCGCAAAAGAAGCTGCAAGGACGGAGACGGCTAGTCCATGGGAGTGGAACTATCGGCAGGGTCCTCTAGATTCGTTCATGGCCGGGTCGGCGTCGGAGGTAGGTATCGTAGGTATCGTAGGTATCGTAGGTATCGTACGTGGGGTAAGGTATCTTAAAGTAGAAGACTTAGAAGATTCGTCTTGAAGCACGGAGCAACGCACGGCAACGCGGAGTCACTGACTGGGGATAGGTGCAACATTAGCACTCTGATCAAACGACAAAAAAGACTTACAGGACTCGGTCGTGGTAATATCAAGTATACCTACATACATAGGCAGTCAGACCGTCGGAGAAGCCACAGTGTGCTTTCTAGGTCCAGGAGCCCGTCTCGTTCGGGTCAAAATAACAGATAGCCTGCTTCGCCGGTGGTACGCAGTGCTGCTCCGTTACTGCTTCCAAATAAACCCGACGGATCAGTGACTGTTTATCGTGGATGGATGGCGACCCATGTGATATGATTGATTCAGAGAGACGGAGTCGCCAGATGCCACCAAGAATGGGCGGGACGCTGTTGTCCGCGAGGGATGCAGCGCAAAACGCAGCAAAGAGAGTTGAAGATCCCCAATCATTACGGGTATTGGACACGCCAAACTGGCGTGTCAGGGTCAATAGCTGCTTCAGTGTTCCATCGGAACCGAGTGGGGCAGGCACGGGCGGGGCGCATGCTCAAGCTCTGGGAGGAGATGACGGCAGTTGAGCTTCAAACAAACTTGCAGTCAAAAGTTTGGACTACACGTACGGGGGCCGGTTGGGGGGTTCCAAACGTCTCGCATGCGGGGAAATGTTGGGGGTCAGGAGGACATGGTGGGAGGAGGCACAACGGGACGAACACCGTCTGGGGCGCTTATGAAATGGGTTCCAAAAAGTTTTGCCGTCGAGAGGAGAACGTCTTGCATGGGAGCTTGATATTCCACCAATCATGTTTGATCATTGGAATATCTGTACTTTCTCTTCTTCACCACTTACTATGTACAGTAAGGTTACTTCGCAAGGTTGACCGAATCTGATCTTCCAACAGGGCTTGCCCCTTCCACCTTTTAAATTGCATGGGATTCTCTGGGTTCTCATCCCACACCATTTGCACCCCCGTTAACCCGTTAACCCGTTAACCCCTTGTCAGAACATAAATAAAGGTACGTAAATTATATATGTTCTTATCTAAGTGAAGCTTATAGTACTTCGGGGAATATCTAACTATTAGGAAAAATAAGAGGAAATACGTTTGGATATATAGGAACATGGTACTCTATACGTCTAATATAATATAGTTTGTCACACCTCGATACGGTGGCTGTGGGCGTCTGACAGTTAGGGAGGATTTCCTTTGTTTAGCAATGTTATTCGCTGTATTTAGCTACAACTAGGCTATAGCCCACAGGGCGACAGGTGCCGCGCCATAGTTTTAGGGCTGCATGCGCGTCATGGAAAAAAAATGAAAATGAAAAAGCCGTACTATATAGAGGAATACATTATGACCCGTACAAGACTGCAGTAGATCATCTCTAGACAGTCCGAACCCCCATGGCTCTTCCTCATAATTTTCCTATTTTGTGCCGGTCGTATAGAGTGTGTACATGGAATCTGCAACTAAGATTGTCTGCTAATTGGTCCTTAAGAGTTAATAACCCACTGTCCTAGTAGAAGGCCCGAAGAGACGTCGTCGAGGTGAGAGGAGGACAGTCTGGAAAAGGCAAACATGGCAAACTGATCAAGGGAAAATATGGCAGCCCAGTAAGATGCATTCATCATCGTTTACGTTCGGGCACAGTCTTAATAATGGCTAATTAATGCTTATGCACGACAACACACCCAATCAGTCATGATAAATCTTGGCCTTTAAATTCACACCTCAGGACACGAACAAGCTTGGGTCCCTGTTCCGGTTCCCCTTGACGTGCTATCTGAATTGGAGTTTGCCTCTTGATTTCCATACGGAATCGGGATCATCATCTGCACTATCAGATCACCTTTCAAGAGAAGGGCTACCTTTCTCCAATGTCCTCCCTTTCCAGAAAAGCCCTTCTCGTTTCTGTTTCACCGTCTTCCGGGTGGACTTGGACTTGGGGGCTCGCCCAGCCGGTAGCAGCCTGCAAAGCAACCGCGGCAATGGTCAAGGCGGCAGCGGCCTGCCACGTCCCTCGCGACGCAGCCGCGTAACATTCCACGGCGATTTGGCGTTCGGCATCCTCCAGACCGCCATTGTATACCAGCGCCGGGCTTCCAATGAGTCTAGTGATCAGCTGACGACGGTCCTCGGTCAGTCGGTCGCCGTCCAGTTGCAAGAATTCATTAATAAGACCGCTTCGAAGCAGCCTATAGAAGATGCCGCCCCCGATAGCCGTTCCGAAGCTCCCACCAAACCCGCGGAACGTGTTCAGGAGACTGGTAGAGATGAAGTGTTCTGTAGGACTAGTCAGGTGAAGGAGGTGCGCCAGAGTGTAGTTGAGGGAACCGCCTGTTGCTAGACCACTGAGGAATACGACGAGGACGAAGGACCATGCCGGAGCCGTGGTGGTGCCGACCAGAGAAAGAGCGTAGAGTGTGACACCGGAAAGGCCAAGTCCGATGATGGAGGGGAGCCAAAAGTCCCCGTTACGGCGAACATGAAGCCAGCCCACAATAAGACCTCCGACACCGAAGCCCAGGTTGGTTGGGATCAGTATGGAGCCGGCAATTGCGGGGGCGTAATTCCTGACCGCTAGGACGAAAATTGGGGTGTAATAGAGTAGTGTCCACCTTGAGGCCATGAATATGAGTTCTGAGATGAGATGTTAGTGGTTCTTCCTTGTACCTTTTTTTTTCGCGGATACTTTCTGATTGCAAGCGAAGAGAGATGGCAGAGGGGAGAAAAGAAGGAGAAAGGAAAGAACAAGCGCCAGAGACTGAAAATTCTCCAGGGGCCGACTTACGGGCGATGCAGGAGAAGAGGATCCCGCGTGATGATAGGATGGAGAGAGGTATGATCGGATCAGCGGCAACAAAGACTTCGATCAGGATAAAAACAAACAGGCTAAAGACGGAGAGAATGATGGGCGTCCATCTGACGTCTCCTGAGAGACCATACAAGAACAGCACGATAGTGAGAACCTAGAGAGTGTGTCAATACTGCGCTGCAGAATCAATGGCGATATCCATCTGACTGACCATAATGGAAGCGCCAAGATAGTCTATACGCGCCAATTTTTCCTTGAGGCTGGACTGGAAAGATCCGTCGTCATTTTTGGGTTGTTTCGGACTCAGTGTTCTCGGGACACTGAAGTAAAGACCGAGCGATGCTACGAGGGCGACAGGCGACTGGACGCCGAATATGGGTCGCTAGAGGCGAGGTCAGCGCGTTATACCTCCGAGGCACAAATCAAGACGCCAAGACGCCCTTACCCATCCGATAGCAGGTAGAAGTGCACCGTATACAACGGCACCAGTTGCGAGACCAATGGTGAAACCGCAGTTCAGCAGACCGACAAAGATGCCGCGCCTCTTCTTACTGACGAGTTCGAGAACAAGAACGACTGACAGAGTCATGACGGCGGCGGCGCCTACGCCAGTCAGGACGCGGCCGAGGATGAAGACGGCAAAGGAGCGAGCTAGCGATGTGACGAGGCCACCAGCAGCAAAGAATAGGCCAATAGGCAGAACAAGAGTACGGGGAGAGAATATAGTGGCTAATCGGCCGGACAGCGGGGACAGGGCGGAAGTGGCAATAAGATAAGAGGTGGTGAACCACATAGCGTCTTCATAGGACTCAAGGTCTTCAGCGATGGCGCCTTGAACGATGGTGACGCCGGACATGTTCGATGCTGCGGGAAGTTAGCTGGGGAAAGGAGCGTAAATTGCTAAGGCTGGGGGTTTGCGTACCCTGAAGGAATATAAGAGTCCATAAGCTGAGGATGATGGCAACGGCGCGAGGAGTGCCGACTGAGTGTTTGGGATCCCCTGAATCGGCGCCCGAGTCGCGTCTCTTGGAAGATGGGGCATGGGAAAGCGTCTCGGAGCTGGTATCGGAATTCAATAGAGTGGTAGTTTCCGTTGGGACAGCATCGGTGTCCTCGGAATGGTGATCCGAGGCATCACGCCTCGCTCCGTTCTCGACATCCGGGAACATGGTGTGGACCGCAAAAGGTGGAAGCAAAAGAGATAGAGAGAAAGACAAAGGGAAATTGGGAAGGAATCACGAGATGAATACAGACATTTCTCAGTGAATGTCGCAAACTACAATTGAGGTGAAATCGTCTAATTACCAAGATGTATATATAGAAGGAAAAGGCGCCATGGAGACGAACAGCGACAGATGAGCACGAAGCACGGATAGCTGAGCTTATCCATCATGGACGTTTCATTTCGAAGCACAATGAACCCGGAAGGCCGGAAGGCCGGTACCTTAGGGACGATTGGTAAGCAAGCGATTGGAGAGGTACAACGTACGTACATATCTTTGGAGACCAGACCCTTGGGATGACGTCGGGAATCAAAATCATTATCTCCACACTTTAAGGGGCCAATGTGTATGGGTTTGCTTATGTAACCTGCTTTTGGCTAAGGTACCTAACGAGGAAAGGCACCCACAGTCCAACGGCTACGACGTCCCCGACAACTTGAATTCTTGTATGAACGGTGCCACCTTACCACCCACGATGACTTTCATTTATGACCTCAATTCATACCCAGGCTTCTCTTAGAGTCTTTAAAAACTCACTCGGCATGCATAAGAGCACAGCAGATATGGCAACATGTTGGAAAAGCCCCATTGGCGGACCAGTCTGGTACGTTTGAATCCAACAAAGATCCATATTGCACGACACGCTCCAAGCATCCAATACCCAACAGTATTCATGAAGTTACCTTCACCTTAAGGAACTGGATCAAGGTACTTTACCTACCTTATCTGGTAGCCGTAGGATGCGAGAGAGAATCCAATGGGAAATTCTAGATCTTGCCGCTCATTCGCCATCTTGGGTCGTGGTTTCCTCCTCGTGGCGAGCTACCTACCTTTAGTTTGGCCGTATCTCTACGTACCTAGGTGTAAGTCCGCCTCCTTATTTTGGGTACGTATTACCTCACGTCGGGGCAGCCTTAGAACCGTGATGGCATTATTAGATACCTAAGGTAGGTACATAATGTATTGGGCCTGTATCTCTTTTACCAAGTACCCAGTATGTATCCGGTCCTTTGGCTTCGTTTCCCAGACCTCCCAGAAACACATCGTCGAAACTATGAACTGGACTGAAGGAGGCTTGCAGCGGCATTCGCGCGGCAGGGGCTTCAACCCCTTAATTCCCAAGCAGAAAGAGTTCTTCGCCCGTGCTAGGCTGAAATTGCAGGAACACGCTGCTGGCAGCTCAACATCGGTCTCCTCCATTCCCCCAAACCGCCTGGATTCCGGACATCAACAAAGGCAGAAAACTACCCGGGAGCGCTCGTCAAGCATTCACTCGCGGTCAAGTCACTCAAGCCATGGTCTCCCTAAGAAAATCCGCAAAGACTACCGAGCCGTGTCTCGTTCCTCTCATTCCTCTCGATCCTCACGACTCGCCGCCCAAGGGAAAGCCTCGTTGTCCCAAAATACTCAGAACCGCCTCGCAAAGAACCCGAATTCCTCATCACCAACCCCGGCACTTTCGGCCGCAGGCAAGGATCCCATTCCTAGGTCTCCCAATGCAGCCATAAATGACCTTGATTCGAAACGCCGAGACCTCCTCCTCCGCGGTGACTGGGTCAGCATCGGCTTGCAGAAATCACTTCCCATCAAATTCCCACTACACCCAAGTTCCCCCAAAAATCCGAAATGGGGCTTCGGTCGTCGAGACGTCCGTTCTGGGGAACCCATGCAGTCATATGGTGCTTCGCGGATCCGGCACAAGAAGCTAGCTACAGATAGTTCCACCGACGCATCGCGGCCAGCTAATCAGATGCGCATCAAAATCGGAAGTCAAGATATTCACCTAGGAACATCTAATGAGACTCGAAGCCTGAGGGGCCCTCGAAAGAGATCACCAAGTCAATGGGCCAGTGGGAACAGAGGCTCACCCAAGTCCTCGCCCTACTTTCACGGCCGTACCTTCCGAGAGGCTTATGTCTCCCACCCGTCGGAATCCAAATACTCGCTCCACAGCTTACGCAGTGATGGTCATTTATCTTCTCCCAGACGGCGGCCTCTGCGGAATTCGCTCCAATCGACAAGTTCGCCCTGGACAGGTTCAAGCCATATCGAACCTGAGGCTGTCGAGGATGGCCATAGGGCCAGCCATGTTGAAAGGAGCTTATTTCAACCCCCTGAGCCCCAGAACCAGATCTTTCCTGAGACGTCTTCTCCTCTCGTCCACCACCCGAAACCCCGGCGTATTGCCCGAATCCTTCAATATCAGGAGTCTCAGTCACCGAGCTCGGATGGCGGCCAGGCTAGCGTACGAGCACAAGTAGGCCAGGGCCACCATTTCGGCATCACATCATCGGAAGGTGGCCAGAACGATCAATGGCGTTCGTTTATAACATCCCCTCGCCGGCAATCTGACATCTCAGCTCTCCAGGCATCGGGAGACTCGCCCTCCACACACCCGAAGATAAGCCCAGGGATAAGCATGGAACAGCCTCCGAGACAAACGCCTCGCGAAATTCCGTCTCGTATATATGAATACATGCACACGAACGGATCAATGGAAAAGTCAGGTTCTGTAGGTCCAGCCTGGGGCTCGCCCGAAACCGTATTTAGCGACTGGCCTCCTATTGAGGAGGAAGCTGTCAACTCCATGTCCTTCCATTCCTCACCTTCGTATGTGGACCCCGATTGCAGTGAATCAGGTTTACGTGGGGAACATGATGGGTTCGAGCACAGGAGGACTGATAACTCCGAGTTTGTCGGTTCTCACACACACCAAGGTGTACACTATGACCACTTAGCCGATGCTACCAAGGAAGACAACACGCAACGAGGTGGGTACAGGGTATCGGCCGGAGAGGTGGACGAGCCGAACCATCTAGACTCCCAAGACACCGGCAGGGATGTTTCTGCGACACCCTCTTCTCCATCTGCGCCTATGGCTAAGCTTGCAGAGTCAACACATCTACAGCCAGATGCCAACGAGGACGTCGCTTGGATGACATTTCTCAACTCGGAGGTCGACGACAGCGACGAAGTACTGCAGAATGCCTTCGATGAAGCCACATACGAGACAAGCCGTGCAATCCAACCATGCGACGATTCCGAGGAAATAGATGGCGACCGAGCCATTGCCGCCGTTGATGGCCATGTTGAGACTGTCGCAACGTGTGGATCATCGACATATTCAGAGCAGTCTATAGTCGAAACCAGCCCAGTACGATCTGGTCTGACGGTGGCAATCCCGTCCACAATAGCGTCAGACCAGACCGTCGAAGGTCCTAGCTGCCTACCCACCATCTTCGAAGGCTTAGAGTCTTGTGGATCTAGTGACTCAACTGAAGTCCAGTCAGAGCTCCCGGCAGCCGATACGGCACTACATGACAATGCTTCGATAGTGGCGCAGCCGTCGGAGCCGGCAGTCAGCGAGGTGACTTCGTTCAGATTTAGATTTGCACAACCAGAGCGGTTTGTAGGCCGCCTCGCCAAGTCCCCGCATCCTCCGGCAGCAAGTCCTTTGGTGCAGCTCAGCGTGCATGCGCCACCTCGAGGACGAGGGCGTCCTAGAAAGAAGGCAAAGGCCGGGAGAACCAACATTCGGGCCCTACCTGATTACAATAGCGACCCCATTGATGACTGAGTAAGGTAAATAAAGGGTCTAGGTTTCCTCGCGTAACTTCACCGACCTGTAAGTATTTCCATCGTCTACATTGCAGTCTTGATCGTACGGGGGCTCGCAAGCCGGAGACCTTTGCTTGATTGTCACGACCAGAAAGATATCAAGAGTTCGTCGCCACCATCTAAGGTGTGCAATATATATGAAAAATTGGGATCCTGGCCCTAGCTTAAGACAATATACAAAGATGATGAAACCATGGAAAAATCTATGTTGATCGCTGTGAAATAGGACAAAAAACCAGCGTCTCATAAATACCATATAGCCATTCCAGCCAGAGACCAGCTGTTGCTCTGGGAAGCCTGTCCCACCATTCCAACCCAGACGTCTCCAACACAAAAGAAAATGTCTCTTAACGCCTCAGCCTGGAGGAAGAGTATGCGATCTATATACATGGGCGATTGCTGTCACCGGAGAATTCATAGCCTGTTCTCCCTGCTCTAAGCTCCTCGCGGGGTGTTAGGTCGCCACCGCTTCTCAAAAGTCCGATCCTCGAAGGGAAACCGGAAGAACTTGGGACCCTTCCGTTCAGGCGTCACCGCCGGGGCTTCTGCCTCGGGCAAGGGGGGCTCCTCGGCAGCGGCGCCCTCGGTGGGAACAGCAATCTCTGGAACCACAACGCTCTCGGTAACGATACTCTCAATTGGGAGGGCGCCGTCGGTGACGATGCTTTCAGTCGGGAAGACGCTCTCAGACACGACCAGGCGGCTCTCGCTTACGGCCAAACTCTCGCTGGCGGTGATGCCCTCTGTCGGCGCCGCCCCGCAGACGTCGACGACCTGGGTGATGATCTGAGTCTTCGTCTCGGTCACGACGACGGTGACGGGGTTGGCGCAGGCAGGGCAGTCGGGCGGCGCAAGACCATTGGGCTGAGTGGGGGCCGCCGCTTCGGGGACTGTCATGGTGATGATGCCGACCTGGCCGCCCACCGTGACTGTGACGACGCTGGTCTTAGGAGCAGCCGGCGCTTGGCCCTGGGGTGCCGTCGGAGCGTCGGGAGTGGGGTGGATGGTGATGGTGGCGGTGCTCAACTGCGGAACGCCGGGAAGAGTCGGATGGGGAGGGAGAGTCACGGTGACAACGGAGGTGATAGGAGCTTGAGGCTCTTCGGGGGTCGGATGAACGGTAACCACAACGGTGCTGATCTGAGGCACACCGGGCTCGGCCGGATTGGGCGGCAGAGTGACCGTCACGACGGACGTGATGGCGTCAGGGTGGTCCTCAATGTCCTCATCCCCAACCACAGGCTCGGGCGTGGGCGTAGGGGTGGGAGTAACAGTAACGGTGATGATGCTGACACCGCCAGTACCGATGGTGGCAACCTCGTCGTCGGGTAGGACAGTAGTAGTGATGACCTCACCTCCGGCGTCGATGATCTGGGAAGTGACGGCCGGAGAATCTGTCTCCACAGCCTCGGGAGGGAGGATGACGGTCTGGGTAACCGTGGTGGGCACAGGGAGGCTTAGGGTCGCGGTGACAGCGGCTTGACGGCAGAGGGTCAATTGGGACTGGCATTGGGTCACCTGAAGACCGAACCCCACGACAGTCAAGCACTGGCTGAACTGAATGTTACAGGCGGCCAGACAGGCGTCCTGGAAGCGGCCGAAGTTGAAGTCGCCGACCAAGAAGCCACCTGGGAATGGTGCTGGTCGGACGGCGGGGCAGAGGCCGCCCAAGGCCGGAGGGAAGATGAAGAAAGTGACCTGCTTGACAATGACGATGACGGGCTTTTGAATGACAGCTGGATCGGACGGGACGGCGATGACGGTAGATGTCGGCTCCTCCACATCCAGAACAGACGAGGTCAAAAAGTCGAGTTCAATAGACGAGCTGGGCAGTTCGAACTCAACGCTGGAAGTCTCCTCGAGAAAGCCATCGATCGACGAGGTAGGGATGTCCAGTTCAACGGAAGAGGTTGAAAGAGCATCAAACTGGACGCTGGAAGTTTCTCCGGTGAAATCAAAAAGAGACGAGGTAGAAAAGTCCAGTTCGAGTGAAGAAGTCAGGGATTCGAACTCGATATTCGAAGTCTCCTCCGCAAAAAAAGGGGCAGAAGAGGTGGGGATGTCGAGCTCGAGCGAAGAGGTAGAGAAGTCGAGTTCGATGCTGGAAGTTTCCTCCGCGACATCGGCAACCGAGGAAGTCGGGATCTCGAAGTCGGATGCAGAGGCGATCACATCGAACTCAACGCTCGAGGTATCCTCCTCCGCCGAAACCACAGACGAAGTAGGCAGTTCGAGTTCGACAGATGATATATCCTCGACAACCCCGAGGACTGAAGAGGCCGGTATCTCGAACTCGGCGCTCGAAGTCGCCTCTACTGGCTCGGCGTCGGCGGCGCTCGTCACGTCGATAACGCTGGTCAGGCCGTCAACCAGATCTGACGTCGGAGGGAGTGGAACAGAGGACACGATTTCCACCGCCTCGGTCGGCTGTTCGTCGATAGCGTTGTCAACAACCGTCGGAGAGGCGAAATCTAGACTTTCTGCAGGCGGCTGTGCGACATCTTCGACGGGTAAAAGAACGGCGCCTTGTGGGGGTAATTGCTGGATCGCCCGGGCGAAGGCCGTGCCAGAGAAGAGGATAGGGAGAGTGAACAGCTTGGCGTTAAGCATGGTGGCTGATGTACAGAGAATGACTGGTGAAGAGAAGAAAGCTGGTGTATGGTCTAAAAAGAAAGAAATAAAGAATGGGATATAAAAAAAGGCTCAAAGGAGCAAAAGTGGCCAAGCACTGTAAGAAGGGAAAGAAAAAGGGGAGGACGAAGAGAAAGGAAACGAACGAAATCAAGCGAATCTCGACAGGGCGACAAGATACTGGTTGTCTATGACTAGTTCTTCAAGTGAAGAGGAGGGGGAACGAGTGATTATATAGGTATGGACGAGTTCCGGGCAGTGATAGACCAGATCAGGAAACATGAAGCCATCTAATGTGGTCATGTCGAGCCCCTCCCTGGGCACAATATTCAGCCTCGTTGTAGAGCGAAAAGGGTACATTTACCGGTCTTGGGCCTCATGGTGAGACGTTTCACGACCAGAAGGCCACAGGAGCAGCTAAGGGGGGACAAGTTCAGCAAAAAGAAACGTTTAGGCTAGACTAACACGGTAAGATGGGGCGATCATAGTGGGGGTCGTGGGAACGAAGTTGAAAATAAGGTTGAGCGCAAGGGTGGAAGTGACAGGGGGGTCGGACAGGAGGTGAACGTCGGGGCGATCCTCAGGGGTAGTAGTTATGGACCATGTTTAGGTGTGAAGCCTGCGTCACGATAGGCGCTGGGGATGGTGCGGATCGTGCAAATCATGCGATGTATGGAGTATTCGTACGTTGTATTACGGAGTGCTGTAGGAGGTCCTCGCAGTGTAAGGCGAAGGTCCGCATGGTGGCTCCGATGCATATTGAAGAGCAAAAAGCTGAATGGACGATCCCGTTGTGATCCCATATATCGAATGGTTTGAGTAGACGTCTGCAGATTTCTCTTGCGAAGGACGCCGTCTGGTTCTTCCCCCAGTCCACTGCGGCCTTTCGAGTGAAGGCTAGCCAGACCAGGGAGAAGACAGTAAACATCACCTACTACGACGTAAATCGTGAAGTACGGAGTAGCAAGGGGTGATTTCACCTCGAGGGCTCTTTGGGGGATCCAGGGCAGTAAAGTCGGACAACAGGAAACCCATATGCTAAGGGAGTGCCTATCTTCTGGGGAGGTCGGGTGACTCGCGAGTTGAGCCCCCTCATGGTTTGAAACGAGTCCACGACGGATAGACTCGTCGAGAAGCTTGGCCAAGGCCAAAAAAAGAACTATAGCGTGTGCGGTCCAAACTGCCGTTCAAGGATAATGGAGCTATTTTCGGCAGCAGACGGTTCGTTCCAACTTTACTTGGAGCGAACGATTATTTGTCCGGTAGAAATAAAAGCGGAGAACCAAAACCCTCAAAATGTTCGCGTGAAGAGAAAAGAGGTTGAGGTTGGGATCAACCTGATCGTGAGGTTGAAGTGAAGTTTGGAGATGGAGATGGAGATGGAGATGGAGATGGCGAAGATGATCTGGTACTCCGCACTCCGTACTCTTTTCGTTTGAGGCTCAAACCGTTTTGAGGGGTACACTACAACGAAACCCTGATTCTGACCAATCAAAGGCTCGTGTCGCTCCAATATCTGGTGACATAATCATCGTTCGGGATTGTTGCGTGCTTCGATTGTGTTTTGAGTTGGAGCTCGGGCCATTTCGAAATCCGTCCACGTCTTCGCCGCCGTTTCAAATGAGTACCTTGTCTCTGTATAACTGTTCCAGTTCAAGGTACCTTGGTATACGTACCTAGTAGTATGGAGTATTGCCTTGAGTATTAACCTCCTTTCCTCTGACTCGGTTCTGTTCTTCTTCTTCCTCTTCTTTGCTTCGAGTTCTTTCCTAAACGGGATGATGCTATTTCTAGGTACATGGGTGACGAGACGAGACGAGACAAGACGACGCCAAGAAATAACTGTCATCCAACTCCAGTTCAGGCAAGCAACGCATAGACGTGATGCATCGTATCCTGCGGTCAAGCAGATACCTATGCCTAAGTGGCCTTACAATACATAAAGACACAGCGAGAGGACTTGCGTCCATTGGGGGAGGAGCTTATCCCACACGGCTCTGAAATTACCGTAAAGTCTATCATATTTTTATTTCAATTTTCGTAATATATTTCCTATTTATATTTACGTAGTAATAGTATAGTAAAGGGGGCAAAAACCTCTTAGGCGCCGTAGACCGTAGTAACATAAAAGGGAACATTCAAAAGATACCAACGTTAGATTTACGGGTGATTCGCACGGAACTTTTGTCAAAGTGACGTTGTAATATGCCGGAAAAGATATACATCAAGGGAGTAGCGGTACCGAACTATTAGTGCGGTCAGTACGAGTATATACCTTACTATAAGGAAATATACACTGCAAAAAGGCCGTACAGTGGCCCGGGCGGAAGTATTTCCTGAAGAAACGGAAAAAGATTATAACCGCCAAATAAAGTGGTCCAGCTTCAGCATAGATATAGATTTCAAAAGGCTAAGTGTTTCGGCACTTTTGCGGGACTAGCCAATTTCGCCCAGTTCCTTCTCGTCCCACAGTGCATTCCATACAAGGTCCGAACCAGTTTAGCTTGAAGTTATACCGAACCTTTTACTTACTCACCGTATATACACCCACACGAGGGTCTAGCGGTCTAGCGTGGCGCCGTTAAACCCCGCTTAGGAAATGGAAGTCCGAAGCATGACGCACGACGTTCAATGCACTCCGTACTCGGTATAGGTCGAATGCAGCAACTGCAGGCCAACTCAACTCCCCGAGTCACCGGACAACGAAGACGTATTCTATTTTGCCCCCAAACGTCCAAATATACCTTAGCCCACCACCTCATTGTCCGTTGGTTCGACCACCTGAACACGCCTCCTGTGTCCGTACCTGCTGACAGGTTCTCTCTACCTTACCTTATTCCTATCAATGTACCTTGCTGAGATGCTGCGCAACGACGCCCATCCATAATCCTGTGCCGATCCTACAGTTAAACCAACGCCCGACGCCTCCCCTGGTCCAGCCTGGTCCAGCCTGGTCCATCCGCTCCCCTCATTCCATGTCCACCTCGACGATCATCAATCGTCCATCTCCTCCGCCAACATAATCATCCTCCAGCTCGGCTCAGAACTTCCAGCAATCGTCTTTGCCATGGACTCTGAGGGGATGACACCGCATTGAACCATTCGATTACCCGTTGCGCCTTTGCTTGCCCCTTTGTCTTTTTGCCTCTTCCATCTTACATCACTCGCGGCCCATCACCCGTCTTCTAAGTAATTCCCAGCTCCAAAAAGGCACCGTCTTTTGTTACTGGGTAAGTGTCATCTGCCGTCTGCCGATCTCGGCGAGTTGCGCAATCAAAGATGGTGGTCATTGTCGACTTGGAGAACGAGGAAGTTGCCCAGACATTCCACGAGCACAACGCGCATCTTCTTCCACATGGCGTCGCGCCGTCTGGAAAGCCAGACGACTACCACGGCCCATCTCCGCCAATCGAGAGGTTTTTCTGTAGGAACGTCGTAACTCGCGCATTTGGACAGTATCCGTAAGTCGACTTCTGCTCGGAAGGAAAACATTTCGGGACTTTCCCACATGGCTATTCCCGAGCAATGAATGACACGAGTAAATCACAGCATAGTCAAGTCCGTCGTCCAACACATCGACCTCAACACCCTCGATAGTCTCGCCCGAACGTCGTATCTCATCCACCAAAGCCTCATACAGTGCCGGTCTAGCTTGCTCCGTGCAACCCTCCGCTGCGTTAACGACGATATCCCCGTCGACCCGGACTCAACACTGCAATACCGTGCCCGTGCTGGTTATCATTACTTCGGCCAGGGCTCCGTCATCTTATCCGGGAATGATATTCAGGGCCGGGCCCCTTACAACGGCAAGAGTGGACAATGTGCTCGAGACCTGGTGAATGAGTGTCGGAAATGCGATGTCCCAGTTTGCAGAGTATGCCCTTTCCCATATATACGCGCCGCCTCGCAGGCGTTTTTCCTTGGGAGAGAGGCAGCACGGAAGGAAAATCATGTGTGGCTCGTGTGAGACGGAAAGACTGACAAAAAGCCGTAGAACTGCACTATCAAACGCCCGAGTCAAAGTAGCTTGATCGACCGACATCGAAGACTGTGTCAGACTTGCGCCGATGCGCCCTTATCGTCTCTGCTCAACCTACCCACAGACCCAACCAGCCCGCTTTCATCCGACCTAATCCAGCGCGAGCTCTGCCAGTGTGATCAGAAGGTTGGTGTCTGGCTTTGCCAGCCCTGCGGTCGGGGTATCCGTACCTCTGACTCCGATTACAGTCGGTGCGTAACCCCCTGCCCACTATCGCCATTCAAGTCCCCTACTGACATGGACATTTACCACGAACCAGAATCTGGCGTTGGCGCAATCAGTACGGCGAAGTTCTCGGAGGGCTCGGTACCGGTATCGGCGAAGGTGACCGCGGCGTCATCTGTGGCCGGGAAGGGCATTGTCTTGCGGCCAAGGAAGTCGAGCAAGAAACGGACTGTGATGCCGCCGATGCCCGCGAAGGTTCTCCCTTAAGCATGGCGTCGTCCTCAGACAACGCTCCCGCCTGGCCAGCGACATCCCTCTATTATCTCAGCGGCGGCGGGAATGCCAACGGGGTCCACTCGCACCTGGTCGATGAACGGCGGACGCCGTCGCCTATGCAGCTCGGTCCGGGGTACGAGCGACACGAGATTGTCGGCATCGGCGGCGTTGTGAAGAGGAAGCTGGTGCGCCTGGTGCGCGTCGGTGCCTGCGTACCCGAATGGGAAGACGAACGATTGCGGTCGGAGTTCTTGCGCCGAAATCGGTCGGGTCAAGTTCGCAGCTTCTGTGGCTGGTGCTGCCGCGTCATCCCGGGCAAGTCGGATCTCGCGCAGATTGTATCCACCGGGACGTGATATGAAAGGCATGTTAGGGCGACCTCGGTTTTCTCGATCCTATGGGACACAAAAAAAAATGCATCCGACTTGTCTGACATGGGACGGCTTGGAATAACAGCAGGGTATACATAAAATGTGGTATACTACACGAGATGTACATGGGATTTATAAGATACATTTGATGTGATGACACTCCCTCCCGCCCCCTCTCGACATCCTGCCAGTCTCCTGTCCCCCACCATGCCGGTGCTCAACTATACCCAACTACTCGTCCCCCCAGTATCTCTACTGCATCCATAGTATCGTACAGCCTCGAGCCAGAGACATTGCGCCCTTTCTTGTTGCAAAAAACCCAGGATGGTGACGTATTAACAAAACGAAGAGCCTGGAATGCGGACGTGGGCTGATTCGAAGTCGCTCTCAAGCTCGGCGAGAACCCCCGCCGTCTTTTGTGTCGCTGGAGAGTGCAAGTGCAATGTGTTCAAAATCGAAACTCCCAACCTCAGAGCTCACCCCGGAACAGCATATCCTTCCGCTTAGCCCGTTCGACGCGTGCCTTGGTCCGGATGGCACCCCACCGTCTCTTGACCGCCTCGAGCTTGCGTTCCAGGTTCTCCTTGTGATCGCGCGGCGCGGGGGTGCAGATGGTGATGAACACCTCGGAGCAGTCGAACTTCTTCGCCAGGCGGTTGACGCTCCACCGCGCGGGGTCCTCGGCGCGCAGGCGGCGGATCTCGGCCACGTCTTCCCGCGTCAGGTGGTAACGCGGGTTGTTGCGGGAGGGGAAGTCCAGGGCTGGAGGGAGCCCGGCGTCCGCGTCCGCGGTGGTGGTGGTGGTGGTGGTGGAAGAAGAGGAGGGCACGGTTCCTGGTGCAGCGTAGGGCGAGGCGAAGAGGGCGGCGAGGTCGGCGTGTTTCCGGCGGGGATCGGACTTGGGAAGGAATTTCTGTGGTGTGTGGTGGACGGAGGGTTCGGCGGCCGGAGGGTTGAAAATGATGGTGTTGGAATTGCCGGCGGGAGAGGTGGTGAAGGCAGGGTGTGGTGCGATGTTGAGGGCGCGTTTGGTGCGGGAGAAGGTCTGATGGGAGCGGCGGGTGACGGTCGTGCCGTGGGCCGAGAGATTGGCAAGGAAGGATGCCGCTGGGCGGGCGAGGGCGCGGGCTTCCATTTTATCTCTTCTCTTGCTTTCACTTCTTGTCGATTTCTTAGTTTTTCCACCCTTTAACAATTGCACTCTAGACGCTCCCCTGGAACTCGAGCTCGCGTGGGCTTTGGGATGCCACTTGTGGTCTGCCAATTGTGCCTGGCCGGGGGTTTGCTAAAAAGTGAGATGCCTTCCGAGAATATTAGTGGCCTCACGGGGCATGTGGTGAATGTGTTCCGTCGACGTAGTCCCGTAGTCGTCGTCCAATTCGGAGTTGGGCTGGCGAGCTCGTGAAAAGTCCAGAAATTCGTCAATGCTGCTGAAGTTTTTCCCATCCCCAGACCATGCTTCTATGATTACATAATAGACCACGTGATTATTCTGGGGCAATTCCTTTCAAGGTCCGTTTGCCAGCTGGCACTCAAGCGAATGGGAACTTGGTTTTCAGTTAATTACACCAGGGCGACTCAAGTTGTCCCACGCCAAAGAACCAGGAATTCGTTGAGTCTGAATTTAGGAATAAGTGTACTGTGTAGAGTCTAACACGGGCTCTTGTAGATCTGCTCTCGGACAACTCTATTTTCCAAGGCCGTTAGGCGTTTAGGGTTCACCAGTTTGCACGAGTTGCTGACCGGTGTTCACCGGACAGGGGGAGATGTGGCTTCCTGGTTTTGAAGGAGAGAGACATGGTGCGATCGGTGGGGCATGTACTCCGAATTAAATAACCGAGTATAGGGGCTTCCTAGTTCGAGATCCATTGACCAAGATTTGACTTGATTGTTTCGTAACGAGACGTCAAGCCACCACACAAAACCATCTGACACTTCGACAGACAGGGCCCATCCACCACGTGACAGGAAGCGTCATTAAGCCCTTGCCAGTCTGAGGCTCTAAGCCAGGTGATTTCTATGTACCAAGGATATAGATCCGCGTCAAATCGAGTTCCAGGAAGGCATAAAAATGGTACGAAGTAATATAACAGGTCTGTGGTCACTTGCAACTTGTTTTTCCCTTGCGGTGCGAAATGTGACTACGTACGAAGTATCCGTACTCCGTTGGCATGTACCGTGGATGGGACGGGAACCAAGGACATGAACACCCGATAACCCCACTTTCGTATACGAGTACCGACTTGGCCAGTGGCAGCGAAATATTTATGGAACCTTTATAAGCTGACACAAGAGGAGAAAGTACGTACTGTACTTCATACCGGCTAGAGGAACATGTATCCGTAGATTGGGGCCTTATTAGTTGGTTTTGGTTCGAGACGGGCAGGTACGGTTTCTCCAACAGGTTTCTTCAACCTTGATTCGAAAACCCAAAACCTGTCCCTGCTCCTTCCTCCTTCTCCTCCTCCCTCCGTCCTCCATCCACCCTACCCTACGTCACCCCGTGTCTGCGTTCCAGTTGGAATAGAAACCGCATCACCTTGGAGAACAGACCTCAGTTTGGTCCAAGACAAACGAGTCCCGTAGCAGACATGCCGCAGCCATCAGCATCAGGGAAATCCCTCCAACAGGAGAAGATCCCTGCCGTCCCGTCCCTGGCGGAGGGATCTGACAATACTACACCTCGGGCTTCAGACCGCCCTGAGACGGACAAGAACCACAAGGCTTCCACATCCGGGGAGAAGAAGCGCTCGTTATTTGGGTTTGGCAAGAAAAAGGAAGAGCCCGCCACCTCCAAAACTGCTGGGACACCTTCTACTATAACCAGCTCGACAACGACTGCTACCACGACTGCTACCCCGACCGCTGCGCCGCAAAAGGACGCATCCAAGATGCCGCCTCCACCAGCACCTACAACGACCTCACGGCCTACCACCTCGCCGGCCCCCTCCGATCAACCCTTTATACATCCGTCGTCCCCCTGCCGCGGCGGCTTCTCCGGCTCGCCCAGATTGTCCTCCCCCGCTGGTTCTCAAATCTTTGAGCGAGATGTCGATACAGTGTCCCTGAAGCCGCAGTCGCCAGCCATCCCCTCTCATATCCAGGCGGAAAACCATATTCCGCCAGTCCTTGACGCCTCCTCCGAAGCCATCACGGACGACCACCTCGACCCCGATAGTGTCGAGATAGTGACCCACGCCCAGCACATGCCAGCAGCGGCCAGCGTAGCTGGTGGTCACCCGAACGCCGCCCTGTCATACGAACAGTTGGCCGCCTCATGGGCCGAGGAACTGGGGCCTCTCGCCGAACGCGAGCAAGACAACGTCTCCACATATGGATCCCTCGACAATACCGACGTTCGCCGGCTGAGCTTCATCTCGTTTGCCGACGTCGTGCAGGCCGAACAGGCCGAGCATGCCAATACACCAGGTGCCTCCCGCGAATCCATGCATATCCCAGGCCTTACCTCTTTGTCGGCAAATCGGTCGCCCTCTCCCATCCGCTCCCCCGTCTCGTCTCAGGGCGGACCGGGTACGTCGCCCCCTACTAGCCATCCGGGGTCCGTCAAGGGGCTTGACCTGTCGCCCAGCCGCAAGCCCATGGGAGGCACCGGAAGCCCCATATCGTCCTACCACTCCAATAATGGCGACCTCAACATTGAAACCATGACGCAGGCGCTGCGGCGGACGGGAAGCAAGGACTTCAACCCTCTGCGCAGCTTGCCCATAAGTCCAATCGATGGCCCTGCCCGCTAGCCTAGCTTTGCAAAGGCTCGTTGATCCACGACAGTAAATAAACACTATTCTCATATTCTCAGCCACACATCGGTCTTCGAACAAGGCGAACAAACGCGGATGGTTGGCGGGAATACAAAGCAATGATTTGAACATTCGAAGATACCAGCGGCGACGTCTTTTTGATTTTTTGTTTTCCCTCTTTTCTTCTTCTTTTATGGGTTTCTTTGCGACTTTTGGCTACGACGTCGCCTTCAACAGTGGTAGTCCCCCAACCTTTCTTCTCTCTTCTTTTTATTATATATATATTACCTCTCGCAGTCTTTCTTGGTCGCCTCTGCTATGGAATACAGTACCCTTCACGCAACGACATGGTTGATGCGGCGGCGGGAGAGCAGGATTGGGTTATGGATAAGGAATCAGGGGAAGGTCACGTATTTTCGGATTGTTTTGGAGTTGGGCAAGATGCAGTACGGGAGTGATTGCTGCGTTTCATGTTTTCCGTTCCCTGTAACCAAACCCTGACGGCTTGACGAGGTAGTTGTGTTCAGGGCAGCGGTAGGACAAGACACCTCGACTCAGAAGTCGAGAATCAAAGAATACTCGTGGCATCATTTTTGGGGTTCACTTTGTGCTGATATGCCCGCTGGCTGCTAATTGGTTACTCGAGCCAGCTGACGGGTTGGCTTCAGCGAGATATAACCAGGCGCCGAGGTAGGCCTGTCTGCCTTTGGTTCCGTAGATGGCTTGTCGCAGGATTAGCGTGATCACACAGCTTGCAGAGGATAATTCACTGACAACGGACGATAGCGTGCATCTTGTACAGAGAATAGACAGGAGAAAACCAGTGGGAAATCGGGGGCCCTTGAAGGTATTTCTAGTCTATGCCGTATCTTCAGGTCCAGTGGTCAGTTGTGCGTCCGAGGAAGGTACGATATCGTATGTATTATTACTCTGTAGATCCCGGCATATGTGGTTGTTGTATAACCGTAACCATGTCAAAATATGGCCTACGAAGTATTAAAATGACTTGAGACAAGTATCCCGTACATGCCTCCCTTTTTTCCTTTTTTCGTATAGCGCAGACAAGGCCAAGCTTGCGTCAGCCGAGTGCATCTCGGTGCAATAGACAAAGGACCTTCCGGTCGTCTATTGCAGTGGGAAGTGCAAGTCTGGGGGACCTTATGGGATTGGGATAGACGTTGATATGATGTTCAGCGATTGCCGGGTTGAGCGGCGGAAGATGCCCGATGAGTGGATCCACACGGGACGGAACGCGGCCGAAGGTCAAGGTGTAATTACGTGGTACGTGTAGCTATCACATATGTGTGTCCAGGGCAACTCGTTCACAATGTTGTTATCCAGTGCTGATGAAACCTCCGGGTAATCACCGGTCGTGGCAATGTCGACTCGCCTGGGAGCCGTTGTGCGCGTTATGGCGCCAGGAGGCACGAGGCTTGATACTGGCAGGGAGACCCCGGAGAGACGACACATGTTGACCTGGTGACACCGCAGCATTTCAGCATCCAATCCACTTTCAGGTCTCGCCGAGGTCCCTGCAGTTGGAGTTGACGTTTCTTTTTCTATGATGGCTACGAGTCATAATTCTCATCGTGGAGTTGAAGGAATGGAGGGCTAGGTTTTCCTCTCCGAGGCGGCGTGAGGAACGTACCTGGACGAAATGACCTAATAAAGTGCGGAATGTGTCCGATTTAGAGTAACCGACTAAGGTACCTAGGTAGTTAGACTATTTGGGTTGCTAATAGGTAAACTAGGGAGATCTTACGATATAGAGTTTGATGATTTAATGCTGAGTAGGTAGCTTATTAATAAAGTAGTAAAGTAATAATCAAGTTAATGGAATCAGAATCACGTCAGACATGAAGACATGCCGATGTGCGTTGATACAGATCATGTCATGTATGTCAAGTGATAAAGTGACGATCGTTTAATTCGGTGCGGCGCATGGCGGTTAAAGATGCTAAAAAGTGTCGACGCCGTACCTCGGTTCACAGTTTGTTTTGTACCTATTCGTACGTTGTACGCCATATTCGTCGGCGGGTCAGACTCCGTGACTCCGTGACTCCGTGACAGGCTGCGATTGGTCGAGTATTCTCTTACATAAGGTAATTACATAATCGACTCCGAGCTTTCGGGAACGGCCCCTCACCTCAGCCATCCTCATCCCATCATCTTCATTCGCACTTTCAGCTTCATCCACCCGTCCATCCATCTGTCCGCCTATCCAGTCCACGCACGAAGCCCCATCATCCCCACCTCATCTCCAGGATCGCAGCTCCATGGTTGCATCCCCCAGTCTCCCTACCCACTCTCCCGCACCCAACAGAACCACCACCCACCCACACGCTGGCGACTACCGTGCCTGTCTGTATTCTACGAAATATTAGTCGATTGAAATTGTTCAATTGGCTCGTTTCTGATTTCCATCTCCTGTCCATCCGTCGTCGGTCAACAGTCATCCTGGGAGACTAAGCAGGAACAAGCACAGAGCTTCACGGTGCACGATCGAGCAGCTCGTTGCCTGTCAACTCCAATTGCAAAGTGCGAACGAAGTAGGTGACGCCATCTCGATTATTACAACGTACCTGCGTGCCTGCCTCACCGCGAGAGGTCCGAGCGACGGGAGAGCAACGCCGCCCGATTTTGGAGAAAGTCTTGGGCTCCCCCGATTTCACCGGTTCCACCCAATTCAGACCAGGGATCGCCCTGTTGGTTGATTTGACCTTTTTTCTTCTTTTTTTCTTCTTTTATCCATACTGCCTGCCTGCCCGCCCACAGGACGCTTTTCGGCTGGAGATTCGAGAAAAACACCAGACCAGGGGCAGGTCATCAGGGCAAGCTTGGGTGCTTCTTCACCTTTGCCTTCACCTTTGCCTTCGCCTTCGCCTTCGCCTTCGCCTTCTTCTCTTCCTATCCATGTCCACAACCCACACGCATGCCCCGTCCTTCATTACATATTTTCTTCCCCTAGTCGTATTCCCAGTCCCCTCTCTCACACTTTCGTACACCGTATCGTCCCTCACCGTACGTTGTACCCTGAGCCGCTATACACACAAGTCATCGACTTCAATTCTTTCCGGCTTCGGTGGCGTGAACAAGACCTTATTATACGGTATCTACGAGTCTGCAGGGTGTCCACTTCCTGTCAGGGTCCAGATTGCCAACCAACCCTGGCCCTCCGTCGACACCGTCGTCTGCCCTTCACCGAATTTGGTATCTGAGACTCCGAAGCGGGGCTTGGGACCATCACCACCATCACCATCCTCCGCCCGCCCGCCCATCTCCTCTATCTACCTCTCAGGCTCTCCCCTCCCTCTACCTCTCTACCTCTCTACCTCTCTACCTCTCTACCTCTCTACCTCTCTACCTCTCTACCTCTCTACCTCTCTACCTCTCTACCTCTCTACCTCTCTACCTCTCTACCTCTCTACCTCTCAGGCTCTCCCCTCCCTCTACCTCTCTACCTCTCTACCTCTCTACCTCTCTACCTCTCTACCTCTCTACCTCTCTACCTCTCTACCTCTCTACCTCTCTACCTCTCTACCGTGAACCTCACCCCCCAACTTCTACTAAACGCTTTTTACCGGTTGCTGCATTGCGAGATCGCTGGATACCTTCTTCAACCCTTATCTCGTCTCTCGACTATGCCAAGGATTTGGCGATCCTATGCGGAGGTCACTAACAATCTCAGCTCAGAGCAGCTCTCGTCTCGAACCACCAGTTTGCGTACGTGTTCGTTTCTGAACAGGACGAGTGACCGCTGACGCGGGTGCTGGAGCGCGGACTACTCTCACCCGCATTCAAGGACCCCCCCCCCCTCTCTGAGATCGTAACACCCATCTCGACGCATCCCGCAATACCGCAATCACCCCTCAAACATCGCGCATCACGCACCACGTCGCATCACGCTGGTGTATATCTCCCCGACGATGGGATGATCCAACCTGTGCTACTCCTGTTCTGCCCTCGCACTTGCCCTTGCCATTGGCCGCCTTCTGAGCATCAACATCCCCTGCCGCTGCCGCTGCCGCTGCCGCCGCCTCCACCTCCGCCGTGATGGACCGTCGACCCTCGCAGACCAGTGGTCCCCAGACACTCAACACCACACCGCCTCTCGACTGGCCACGAAGTCCGACTTCCGACCCGCAGTCGCCCCAGTCACGAGGAGGCCTCGAGCGCATTTCCGCTAATAACCTTCACTCCGCCTTTCGTTCGACCATCTCGGAGCACACCACCATCCGTGCCGTGACTCCAGACTTGCCCGACCGCGACCCCATCTCCCCCTCCACCGCCGCCGCCTACCCCGTCCCCTACGCACCTGTTCAAGAGCCCGCCTCTGCCTCCTCCAGTCTCGCCCGGACCATGAGCTCCACTTCATCCCAGACCTCTCCCAGGTCCATTGCCCGCCCTGGCGACTTCGCGCGGCGCCAGGGCGTCGTGTTCAACGACTTGTCTTTCGGCGCCTCTTACGATAGCACGTCCTCGAGCCCCCCGCTCAGACAAACTAGCGGCACACTACGCCCCCGGACACACACCATGGACGGCGCCTTCCGCCAGCAGTTCGTCTCCGCAGCCGTATCCGCATCCGCCGCCGCCGCCGCCTCATCCGCCGCATCGCCCGAAGGCCGTCACCGGGTCGGCTCCTTCTCCTCTTCCAGCTCTCAGCCCCTCTTCGACGAGGCACGCCACCCCCCGCCGATACCCATCGACTCGGTAAGCTACTCGTCCCTGGCCCAGACGAGGTCTTCCGACCTCCACTCCGCGAGCACCGCAGCAGCCCCCAAAGAGAAAAAGCCGTCCAGTTCAACAAGGCGCCTCGTCAAGCGCCAGGCCTCTCGACCGACGTCCCCCCAGCCCACTGTTCCCGCCGTGGACTCGCTGCCGATTCCCATCCCGACCGACGATGCCAACAAAATGCTGCTTTTGATGAAGACGTTGTGCGGCCGGATGCGAGGCGAGATTGAGTACCAGAACGACGGGACTGGTGCCTGGCATAGCGGCGTGGGATACATCGACGAAGAGAGGGGCGCCCTGATGGTTGATACAGGTCACAATGGCCCTTTCCACCCCATATTGATCCCCGATCTGCGGGGGTGTCGAGTGTCGCCTGTCGATCTGTCCGACCCCGAGAAGCGCTGCCTAGCCATCGTATCCGCATCTTCTGCCCCCAACCAGACACCGGCCGAGTTGCTCTTGTATCCGCTGGTCGCCGTCGAGCGTGATTTGTGGTTAGCCGCCCTGCTCTGTTGGCAACAGCTCCGACCACCTAAGATTAGGCTCTCGAATGTCAACGGAAGCAGGTCGCCGACCATTGGGGCGATGCGGCCGGTAGCGAGAAGGCGCGAGTCCGGCGTCCTTCCCCCCAGGCAAACTCCTACTCTGATCAAGCTGGGCCAGGTCAGGCTATGGGACAAGGGCCTGGCCACGTCTCCCCGTGCCATCGTTAAGAGGCCGTCCACACGAGATTTGCGGTCCCCGGCAACGTCCTGGAGGTTAGTGTCGTGCTTACTGCACGACAACGGCGAGATCAGGTTGACGACACATGATGGCGATGGTGTCATTGCCGTTGTCGAGCTGTCCCAGCTGTCCCGGTGCGCCATCCAACAGCTTGATGTGTCGGTACTAGACGAACAGCACTGCCTTGCCATCTTTCCCCGCTACTCTTCTGTCTCCACCCAGCTGTCCATCTTCCGACCGGTGTACATAGCTCTCGAGAATCGCGTACTCCTCGAGGTTTGGTACGTCCTTCTCCGGGCATTCGCTCTGCCGGAGATCTATCACCTGGGTCCGCCGGGAGAAGACCAGCAGGTGGTGGAAGTCCTCGACCTCGAGGCAGACCTGCCCGGAGAGATATTCCGGTTGGAGAAGACCATCAGCATGCGCGTCACCGAGGCCAAGCTGAAACCGAGGAACGGGCTACAGGAGGCCCCCGCCCAGAACGAACGTCTCGCCAGGGTCGAGGCCGACCCGCTCGTGGGGAGCTATCTAGCCGAGGTTATCCTCGACGGCGAGGTTCGCGCGAGGACGCCTGTGAGACGTGCAACGAAAAACCCTTACTGGCGAGAGGAATACCACTTCGCCGATTTCCCCTCGGAGATGCCCTTCTTGTCTATTCTCCTCAAACGGGTAGATGGGAATCCCGATGCGCTTCACCCGCAGGGCCACCTGGGCTCGGGTTCTTCGAGGTCTGCTACCTCCGTGTCTGAAGCGCCCTACGGGTCGGTGGACATCACCATGGATCAAGTAGAGCAGGGTAAGGATTTCGAAGGCTGGCTCGAGGTCTACGACGAACGGCAGCAGGTGGTCGGGACCATGCTAGTCAAGATCCACCACGACGAGCTCGTCGTCCTTCACTCCAAGGAGTACAAGGGTCTCTCGAGCCTGTTGCACAACTTCCCTTCGGGCCTAACGGCCCAAATCGCCCATGCTCTGCCGGGGCAGTTAAGGAGGTTGTCCGAGTTGTTTCTCAACATCTTTCAGGTGTCGGGACAGGCCAACGACTGGCTGCAGACCCTGATCGAGGACGAGATAGACGGAGTCGGAAGCCAAGCGCAGATCAAAAAGTTTCGCTTCAGCCGCCGTCTGAAGTCCAACGAGTCGCTCGAGTCCACCAGCGACCAGGAGCAGCTCCGCAAGGCGGGCAAATCCCTGGCCGGCGAAGCGAACCTGCTGTTTAGAGGGAACACGCTGTTGACGCATGCGCTCGAGTTCCACATGCGACGTGCGGGCAAGGAGTACCTTGACCATATGCTGCAGGCCAAGATGAACGAAATCAACGAGCTCAACCCGAATTGCGAAGTTGACCCCAACAGGCTACGTCCGGGAGAGGATCTCAGCCAGAATTGGAACCGGCTCATCCAGATGGTCAACGAGGTGTGGCATTGTATCAGCCGGGAACCCGGCAAGTGCCCGCCTGAACTGCGGGCTGTCTTGAAATACGTTCGGTCGGTGGCAGAGGATCGGTACGGCGACTGGCTTCGGACCGTGGCGTACACGAGCGTGTCGAGCTTCCTTTTCCTTCGCTTCATCTGCCCTGCGATTCTGAGCCCCAAGCTCTTTGGTCTCCTGCGGGACCACCCACAACCGCGTGCGCAGCGGACGTTCACACTCATCGCCAAGGCCCTGCAGGCGCTCGGCAACATTTCGACTTTCGGCAAGAAAGAGGAATGGATGGAACCCATGAACAAGTTCCTCGCAGCGCAGCGGCAGGCGGTCAAGGATTACATGGACGCCATCTGCGCCATTCCTACCGAACGGGCCCAGGCCGCGCTTGCGCCGTCGTACTCTACCCCGATGACCGTCCTCGGGCGGCTCGCCCCCACAGCTCGCGAAGGTTTCCCGGCTCTGCCCCATCTCATCGACGAGGCGCGCAACTGCGCTGCGCTCGTCAAGCTTTGGACGGACATTAATCCGTTCAACGGGTCGGTCTCCGCCCGTTCTTCCCCTACGAGCGGCGGGGAAGATGACATTCTCATTTTCAACGACATGTGTATCGCTCTTCAGAAGCGTGCCGACAGTTGCTATGCCAAGATGGAAGCACAGTGCGGTCCCGATGTCGTCTCGCACCAGTCCGTCTCCGACCTTGCAGAAACCCTCGATAAGACCACCCTTGACGCCATCAACGAGTCGTACGGGAGCGTCCCGCCATCCTCATCCTCGGACCGCCACACCTACAACGACGGCGGAATGGCACGACCCCCAGGCTCTGCGGGCAGCGACGTGGCAGCGGCGGAACTCTCTCAGATATCGGCACAGCGCAGCCGCGAATACCGCAGGGGTAGAGAGACGGTCTCGGCGCGGCATGTGTCTGGTTATTCGGAAACGACGACGTCGTCGTCCTCGTTACCTCTATCCACCGGCGGGGGGAACACATTGAAGCGCAACGGTGGCGGTGGTGGAGGTGGAGGTGGCGGCGGGCGATCGACGAGGACGATTCTCTCGGGCATTATGAAGCCGTTCGCCAGGGGCGAGTCGCCGGAGAGCGCGTCACCCCGTACGAGGACGGGGAAAAGCACTGAAAGGCCATGGGACCAGGAGGCTTAGGAGCGGGCGCATCTTGTCTCGTGGCTCCGTTTCCCCACCTGCCTACCAAATATAAGGTCTATCCGAGAGCGCCGGACTTCTATTTCCGCCGTGCGGACAACAGCCGCACTGTCATCATATACGTGCCGAAGGAAGGCTGCGCTATTACTCTCATTATTCTCGGCATCTCTCTTGATATATGTCAAGGCGGAGAAAAAGGAAGTCAAGGTACGCGGGGATTATGGCACTGTATTCTCACTATTGGCTCTATGGTCTATGGTCGAGGGAGAGGCTTTTACTCCAGTACATGTTTAAGCTGTGCAGTATCTAGGGGAGGAAGAAACGGCGGAATAAAGAAAGGGGGTTATGAAGAAAAGCTCAAAAGCTATCCCCGCCTGCCATTGGTATAGGGGAAGAAGAGGGGTCTCTGCAATATCTTAAAAGCGGCAAGGCACCCGAGAGGCGGTCTCCCAGTGGTGAATGATATCTCTTGGTGTCTCTTGTGTGTTAGTACGACAGGGAGGGATGAGAGAGTCCTATTTCATCTCTTCTTCTCGATATACCGAGGTGAACAGATATAACGAGGTGAACGTACATATACATCTACCCTTGTACATAACGTTACACCCTGTTTTGATGAAAGCAAACCCTCAGCTCATGATCTTTTTGACGAGTCTCATGTGAACATTCCCTGTGTCATATCGCCTCGTTGATTCATTATGGGAAAGTATTCGTCTCCCTTGTGCTGTTTATCATACATGGCCTTGGTAGTCCTCTTGTTTAATACCTTCCCACACACGCCTGTCCGACCAAGTCCAAAATGCATCCACAGGGTCACTCTACCATTCCATGACCGAATACACCGGAAGACATTATTGTGTCGTTCTTCTTTTATTTATTTATGTTTCTTTTTTATTTTTATTTTTATTTTCCTCTTCAACTTTCTTCTTTCCCACTGTCCTGAGAACATCTCTTAGGTGAAGAACTTCTTAAAAGCGGCCTTTTCCTTGGCAATGCGGGCGTCTTCCCTCTTCTTGACAGCGTTGAGCTCGTTGAGAATCGCACCGTCGGACGGCACGAGCTTGTGGGCAGCATTCAAGTCGGAGAGGGCAGTTTCGTCGTCCTTCAGGCGGACGTAGGCGAAACCGCGACGGTAGAGCGCCTTGGCGCGGTCGGCGTCCTTGATCTCGACGCCCTTCCGGTCGGCCGCGGCGAGGGCGGCTTCGGCGGCGCGGACGGCGTCGTCCCAAGCCTCGAGCTTGACGTTGAGGAGAGCCGAGTTGTTGTTGAGATTGAAGCGGAGGGCGTCGAGCTGGGCCTGGAGCGGGCCGCGTTCGGCCTCGGGGAGGGCGTCGAGCTCGGGCTCCTCGTTGAGGTAGCGGAGACCTTTCTGGTACTTGTCTAGGCCTAGGGACAGGTCGCCGGCCTTAAAGGCGCGGTTGCCGAAATCCTTGCAGGCGGTGGCGATGGTGAGGACGTCTTTGGCCTCGGGGGGGTTGGCGCAGTCTTCGGGGAAGTCCTCGTATGTGTCTCCCAGGGCATCGGGAGCCTTGGTGTCGGCGGCGAGAGCTTCGTCGGCCGACAGGACACCGCAGTCGGCGATGACGGCGTCTTTGTTGGGCTTGTCGCCGGCCTGGGCGGGGAGGTTCTCGATCTTGCGGACCACCGACTTTCCGTTGAGAACCTCGCCGAAGACGACGTGCTTGTTGTCGAGGTGTGGTGTGGGAACCGTGGTGATGAAGAACTGGGAGCCGTTTGTGTCTGCAGCAGAAAGACTTGGTCAGTTTATGGAGCCTTTGCTATGTGTGCATCGGGTATGTACAGGAGGAAGAAGAAAAAAAGGGAAAAAAGGGGGAAAAGGGGGAAAAGGGAAAAAAGACGCCGATAAAGGTTGGAACAGCAATGTTGGAGGAAGAGGGGAAGAGGGGAAGACGCACTCGGGCCTGCATTGGCCATGGAAAGGAGAAAAGGACGGTCGTGCTTCATGGGGAAGGCTTCGTCCTCGAACTTGGCGCCGTAGATGGACTCGCCGCCAGTACCGTCGCCATTGGTAAAATCACCACCCTGGATCATGAACTGCTTGATCACACGGTGGAAGATGGACCCTTTGTAGTGGAGGGGCTTGCCGGCCTTGCCAATTCCCTTCTCACCCGTGCAAAGGGCACGGAAGTTCTCGGCTGTCTTGGGTACAAGATCATCATAGAGCTCCATGGTGATGCGACCGGCGGGTTTGCCGCCAATCTCCATGTCGAAAAAGACGCGAGTGCGCTGCTTTTCGGTCATGGTGTCTTTTTCGGGATGCGATGCTTAGGAGAGTGGGTGTTATTGTTATGGTGAGAACAAGAGACCCAATTAGACTTGGGACGAAGATCAAGTTCGAAGGTAAGATTCCAGTATGAAGCTTGCAAAGATGGGTAGAACGCGGATTGGGTATGATCTGGAGAGGAGAGAAAACTGGTGAGAGAATAGAGCGAAGTAAATGAAGTGAAGTACTTGCTCCGTTCCATGGTGAAGGAGCTCTCTGACCTCTTTTCTCTGTCTGGAAGGTGGGGTTTGTGGAAGCTTCTAGCTTACGTGGGGCACTCGTTTGGGGGACTCTCCCTAACACTGTGAAAGCAGGCACGCATCTACCGCACCTGGCTTTTGTTCGCAATTACTATCTGTAGGTAGGGCCGACCAATATCTCAGTGGGATCCGATGTACCTTTTTGTCCCCGACAACAGTCCGTGCCATGTCGAGGGCCGCATCTCTTATGATCATCAGGATAAGTCCATATTTATCTCCTTCTCGTTAGTATCTGCAAGCCCCGTTTTGCTCGTATATAATACAGCGAGATCTAATCTATTCAGATATACTATTACATAACGCAGTATAGAAGCAAGATGAAGTAGAGTGTAAAAGCTGCTATGTGCGGTTGGGTTTTGTATTGGGGCCCTCTTTGGGCCCTGCCACAAGCTCCAGGGTGACCTGCATTGCGACTGTTAGCATACCTATATACAAAGTGGGAAATTGTCATGGGAAATTCAGGGCGTCCTCATACCGGCCCATCATTGACCAAGGCCACCTCCATCATGGCCTGGAACTTGCCGTTCTTCACACGGTCTGTCATATAACCCTCTTGGACCTTCTCAAAGAAGTGATGGTAAAGCCCGTTTGCTTCCTCTCCCCCCATGGCGCCGTGGAAGTCGGGCTTATTGCCCTTGGAAGTCTTTGCTAGTAGTGTGAACTGGGAGACTGCATGATAATGAGTTTAGGCCATACTAAGACGCTCGGATAGCATCACGGACACAATTACAACTGTACATACCGCAGAGAACCTCTCCGTTGATGTCTTGGACGTTCTTCTTCCACTATCATCGGACAGTCAGATATGTGTGATGGTGGGGTGCAGAGAAGGGAGAGCATTTATTTACACGGGCCCCTGCCTCATCGTCCCATAGCTTCATCTTGAGCACCTTGGATGCTAGGGATTCAGCCTCCTTCTCGGTGTCTCCTGGCGCAACGGCAGCGAAGACGAGAAGGCCTTTCCCAATGGATGACACCACCTCTTTGTCGACGGTGACCGAGGCCGACAAGACACGTTGTAAGATAGCTACCCCGACCAGTCAGTAAAGCCACATGATGCAAAGATAGATGCATAGGCATATGAAAAGAGACACGAAGTTACCTTTCATAGTGCCGGTCTATAAGAGGGAGACGGCAAAGTAAATCGAGACGCCCTACTTCGTTGTCCCCAGATGAGACCAAACATGCAAAGGAAATAGTAAGAATCGGCAGCCAGCCAGAAAACACAGTCGATCTATGATCCTCATAGACAGACACAAAACTGGGCCTCTAAAAGGCGCATAATGCTGCAATGCTGACCACCTTACCTTACCCTTACTTCCAGGTTGGCAGAGAATGAGTGCGAGATGCGAGATGCGAGGTACCATGATACCTTCACCAAAGATCCTCCAGGCAAAGAACCGGGTTTATTAGTGCGAACACGTCCGTGCTGTTTCAACTCTCTGATAGGACAAGTAATGGAACTAACTATGGGTCTCGATACGGCAAGTCGTACCAGTACCTGCACCTTCCATAATACCTTCTATGCGATATCGTCGGCAAGAGTTTTCGCTATGGATGCCTTGTATAAATCAGAAAACCCATAGGCAAACCGCACTTTCCTTTAAAGCAAACACTGTTCCGTTTGCCTGGCTCTTTTTTTCCTGTCCTTGTCCTTTCCAACACCGTCCGGACACTGTTTGACTCGCCTTACCGCTCAGCCCAGTTTAACGGTCTCGGTGTACCGGATACCTTCTCATCCTATTGGCTGAGCTCAGCGCCATCCAGTTGGCGAACACTGTACACTACTTTCCCTACTAGCAGTCGCATTCACCACCACCACTACCACCACTACCACCACTACCACCACGCACTTTCCTTCCGTTCTTACCGAACCTCCGTGTCAGCAGAACATCTTGGAGAGGACCACGAATACGTCAGCGCCGTAATTATATGAGGGCACAACTCCTACGACCGACCGATCGAGTTCCCGCCAGCGACGACATCCCATCCCACTCTATCCGAACGAGGGCCAACCCGTACATGCGTTCTTCACCATGGCGGCGAGAAAACTCCAACAGGAAGTCGACAAGTGCTTCAAGAAGGTGGCAGAAGGTGTTTCAGAGTTCGAGGCCATCTACGAGAAGATAGAGCAATCCAACAATGTGTCACAGAAAGAGAAGCTCGAGGACAACCTCAAGCGGGAGATCAAGAAGCTGCAGAGGCTGCGAGACCAAATCAAGACTTGGGCTGCTAGCAACGACATCAAGGATAAAGGCCCGCTACTCGACCATCGAAAGTTGATTGAGACGGTTCGACTCGCCCCTCCCCCCAGTTGTTTCACTTTGTCCTTCTTATCCCTTCCCCCTTTTCATTTTCCCCATTCCTCCCGTGCTCTGGCGTCGTTCACTGAGGGCGCCTTGGCTAACGGACCATTTCAATCCGCCCCCACACTATTTAGCAAATGGAGAGGTTCAAGGCAGTGGAAAAGGCCATGAAGACAAAAGCGTACTCGAAAGAAGGGCTAGCGTCTTCAGCGAAGCTCGACCCCGCAGAACAAGCCAGGGCGGAGGCGTCCGAATTCCTCAGCTCACAAGTCGACGAGCTGGAGCAGCAAATCGAGACGCTCGAGGCGGAATCCGAACAGCTACAGGCGACCATGAAAAGGGGCAAGAGCCACGGCGCCAAGGCCGATCGTGTGGCCGAGATCGACCGCTTGATCGAACGGCATAAGTGGCATCAAGGCAAGCTCGAGCTCATCAGGCGGTCGCTGGAGAACGGCGGTATCGAGGCGGAGCAGGTCACCGAGCTCGAAGAGAACATCCGATACTACGTGACGGACAACATGAACGACGACTTCGTCGAGGACGAAGAAATGTACGACGAGTTGAATCTCGACGAGGAAGAAGGCGTATACGGAATGGCGCTGGAAGACAAGGGGTCTTCCCAGGACAACGCATCCCTGGCGGAGGATGCGGCAGCCGACGGAGACTCCAGTTCCAGGCCCGTCGGCAAGGCGAAACAAATCGCAGCCGAGGCGGCGCGGAGACCCAGCTCGCAGACCAAATCGCCTCTCCCCGCGCTGGCCACCCTACACACGCCCCTGACCACCATCACCAACCAAGCCGGCGGCCCGGTCATGAAACCCGCGTCACTTCCGGCGCGGCCTGCGGAAGGGCTCAAGTACGCATCGGCGGCGGCGGCGGCGGCGGCCAACGACAAGATCGGCATCTCGCCCCTACCGCCTCCGCCAGGCGCAGCACCGGTACCGACCTCCACGCCCGGAGCACCAGCAGCAGCGGCAGCAGCGGCGGCACAAGCCAGGACCAGTGCGGCCAACTCGCCAGCCATCTCTTTCGTGCAGCCAGTGGCGGCGAGGGAAGCAGAAACAAAGGCCACCACCCCATCACCGTCGAACGGTCTTGGCGAAGCACAGACAGGAGGGGCAAGGGTGACGAGTACGACGACGATGCCGATAACGACGACGACGACAGCAGCAGCAGCAGCAGCAAAGGCCGAGAAGTCGAAGGCGGCGGCAGCCAAGTCTCAGGCCCTGGCCCAGGCACCGGCCCAGGCGACAGCGACGGAGTCGGCAGAACCACCTCGGGCCAGAGGGCAGCGCAAGTCTGCGACGGACGAGTCCCCAGGGCCCAAGTCGGCGACGGCCCTCGGCGCAGCGACCAACGGCGTGTCGAACGGCATCAAACCCATCGAGGAGGAGCAGGAGGAGGAATCGATCTACCATCTGCCTTCGTCATTGCAGGACCTCGTGGAGTCGTTCGAAGCGACGCACAAGAAGACGGCGGATCCGCACAGCGCGGGCACGTTGCGCATGCTCCAGGCGAGCCAGGCGACGTGCCCCGACCTACTGGACTCGGACGTGCCGCGGACGTACCGGCCGGACGTGCGGGTGCCGCCGGCGGGTACCGGGTTCCCCCAGGAGCCTCTGGCGATATTCGACGACCCGCGGCTCTACTCGCGGATCGACCCGGACACGCTCTTCTACGTGTTCTACTACAAGCAAGGCACGGCACAGCAGTACCTGGCGGCCAAGGCGCTGAAGGACCAGAGCTGGCGGTTTCATAAGCAGTACCAGACGTGGTTCCAGAGGCACGAGGAGCCGAAGAACATTACGGAGGAGTTTGAGCAAGGGACCTACCGCTTCTTCGATTACGAGTCTACTTGGTTCGTTGTTCTCTTTACCCCTTTTCTTCTGCTACTGTTGGCTAACGGATGGAATGATATAGGATGAACCGAAGAAAGGCAGACTTCAAGTTTGCTTACAAGTTCCTTGAGGACGATGTATGAGTACACACACATACACCCTGAACATGACTACCTTTTTTTCTTGGGATGAAAGGGGGGGTTTCGTACGACATGGGTTACATATGTTACGGTATTGTATGCGAGGAATTGCTCTGGGTTTTTGAGAAATCCTGCCTCGCTGGAGTTAAGACACTTTTTTTTCTTCTTCTTTCCTTTTCCCGTCTGGCCTCTGGGAAATGATCTTAGGTAAAGGGGGGAGATCAAGGACGTACTGGACGGCAGGGTCGTCTCCTTAATGGTCGGGGTAGGGCCTAGACATGCAGCCAGGGGTTTCCTTCCCCCTTTTGAATCTGAATGTCGACTGACCAGACGGTTGCCGGGCTCCGCGGTGAGCTCGGGAGCTCTGGGGGGTTGCTCCTTTTCCTCTTTCCCGCCTTGGATTGTTTTGCTTGGACGGTGTTTGGTGTTTGACTGACCAGTCCCACACTTTCTCACGTTGCTGACGGGGTTCGATCAACTTTGTTACGAACGAGGTAGGTCACGAGGCATTGGTGCTGTCTCTCTTTCGTGGGAAGGGAGGTTTTTTTTTTTTTTTTCGCATTGTTTGCAAGTGCAGGACTACTACAGGCCTGTTGAAGTGGTTCGTGCAATGTAGCCAACGGTCGACGGTGATACGTGCCTTGCCCAGCTTTACGCACAAGGTCCCTGGGCTGAGCTGCGAAGAACATCATCCCGCCAGGAACTAGTAAGGTAAGGTACCGTAGGTAACAGATGTCCCGGTGTCCCTACCCTACCGTCCTACATACTCGGTGTCCACGTATCCTTCCACGTGCTCCAGGTTGCACGTAGCCAGGGCCGGCTCACGGGGTCGTTCGTTGGGTTGGTCCGCCCGCCCACTTGCAACGGGACTGATTGCGCGCAACCAGGAACACCATGATGGGGTGACGCATGGGAAGCCGAAAAGGTAGAAAGTAAGTCCGCTTGCCAAACGGAGTGACGAGGAGGATAGGGATGGATGGATGGATGCCTGATACCCAATCCTCTGGGGTGGAGAGGGGGCAGATGGTTGGATAGAGGAGAAGGAGGTTAGGGGATAACTCCCCATGATACCTAATATAATACGAGGGCAAGACAACGACACATCATGACGATTTCTAGACCGGAAAAGAAGAATGCAACATACCACTCGCTTGGCCTTGATGGCCCGTACACTAAATTCCCACATTGTGCCTGGCGCCAAGCGTAAAACAAACGTTCATGGTAAGATCCCCACGTTCCTCAGGCTGCTCAGGTGCCTCGCGTTTTCCTTTCTTTACACCGAACACAGGGCTCGCTCGTCTAGTCATCATCCTCGCGGGGCATCGCTACGGCCCGATCCATTTCTTACCTACCTACCTAAGGTATGCTACTAACTGTTTGCTTCAGCATGTTATGTTTCGGTTCCCTACGTACCTTGTAGGGCTCAGGTCAGATGTCTCCTCCGACCGGGGAAACGTTCCGCAAGGCGGTGAGCAACAAGTGCCCACGTAGGTAGGGGAGTGAAAAGAAGGGCAAGGCAGAGAGAGGGACTTATAAGCTGTTCACCACTCCGTACCGTACTTACCTACCTTTAGGTACCTTGTACATACGTACCTGATTGTCGTAAGGCAGAGGAGGCAAGGTAGGTACCGTTGTACAGTTGTACGGTGGTGGATGATTCGACGATGTGCCCTCCCCACCGACGAAAATGGCGGTGTTGCGGTTTCACGATACCCACGTCAGATAGCGTCAGATATCTCAGGTACACACACAACTATAGGTACCTGATCTTGGGCACCTATCGTATAGCCGAGAAAGTCTCGTACAAGTATCGGTACTCCTCCATATGGCCTTGTCATAGGTCAGGCACTAACAATTCTTTTCAGTCCTGGATCGCTAAGGTAAGGTAGTGTACAGTGATTATTCACTCTGATCCTCCATCCAGAGCAAGCTGCACAGAATATGTCGCGTCACGAATGAACCGTCAAACGACTTGTAGGACAACAAGCAAAAAGGACGCCGATGAAGATAGGTTGGGCAGTGCTAAACCAGCAGTCCCTTCTTGTTTTCCCGCTTTCCCTTTTCCCCCGGGTCTGCGCAATAATTCAATGTACCAGCCTCGACCTCGATGGGACAAGATTCATTGGACATCTTTTCTCTCTTTTTTTTCTTGCTTGGCCTTGGCCTTCTGACGAAAAGGCGAACGGAGAGCAGAACAGCAGGCTATGTTCTTAATAACCTTGGGTTGGTTGACCGCTACACATCGATACCGCCCAAACGGCGATGACACGCCTCGCCGTTCCAAATAACGTGGCAGTGCCTTTTTTTTTTTTTTTTTTTCTTACAGGCGGATGCCTCTTCGCCTTGTCGCCTTTCCCTCTGCAGTTCGCACCTGGGGTTTTTCTTTCTTTTTCTACACCCAACACTGTCCCAACCGTTCCTGCAGAGACAGAAATGCAAACGTTCTCATGACCGAGACTGTTCGTGCGGTAACTGGCATGGTCAGAGTGGCCGTATGATAGTCCAGGATGTTGAGGATGTTCAGGATGTTCAGGATGGTCAAGATGGTCAAGATGTTCATATCCCCCCGCCGCTCTCCCCCTCCTCGACATCGTTTGCCATGTTGTGCTGCCTCTGGCCCATCCCCAATGAGAGCCCTGTCCTATCTTTCGGCGAACCACCACGTTTCCTCCTTCAACTGCCTGCCACTCGGAGAGCCGCGGGAGAATCCGTTCATGCTGCCCAAGCCTTTTTAACCCAATCCGCAACCTATCAACCTATCGATCTTTACCCTCCCAAACAGCCTCACCTCGAGAGGTATGTGGCCAGGACCAACGAGCTGTGGGTCTATGTAGGCTGATCTCGACCATCTCGTGCTGAGGGTTGAGCCTTTGAGGGACATGATTACTTAGTTCGTAATTCGTAATTGCTTCCTCCATCCTTCGTACAACGTACAACGTACAACGTACATACATACCCCTGCCTTTGGGCTTCCGATCTGCTCTTCTGCTGTCGCATCTCACCATCTGGTCTCCCCTGTTATGCACGTCAAAGCCTGCTGCCTTACCCCTGTTCCCCTCTGCCCTGTCCCTGTCCCTGTCCCGTCCTGTCCCTCTGGTTCCGCCTCGATGGGCCACACACAACTCACAGAACCACGCTCTTTCCATCGACTTCCCTCGGGTGACACCCCGTTCTATTGGTCTGACCATGTCGCCCTGACCGAAATTTCCCCTAACCCCATACCGCTCTTTTCGTTGACGAGATTCAACATGACGTTGCCGCTTCGAGACACGACAGCGGGGCTTGCGTCTTGCCTCTTGGCTGGTGTTGGTTGTCCCACTGTCACCGTTGTCCCCCTTCTCTTGCGTGCGTCTCTTGTTGCGGCTCTAAGGCGTCTGCCTTACAAGAGCAAGGGGCGGGGGGAGGGGCGCGGGAGCAGAAGGACATCGATCCTCGAATAGGGTGCGAGCCTTCCGCTCTATCGAATCTGGCATCTGCCATGCCATGACCACAATGTGCAACTGGTTTGCCTCTAGCCCTCCATCACCACATCACCAATCCATGGCCTGCTTTGCTTTTGACTACATGCCTGGTACTCTACTGGGAGTCGTGCTGGACGTGTAAAGCGAGGTATTACTTGAGCAACCCTCCATCCATCCACCCCCTCCCCTCCCCCTTGGCCCTTGGCCCTTGGCCCTTGGCTCTTGGTTACCCCCCCTGGCTCGCTCGCTTCCTCATTTGGGCCGACGCGGTTCTATTCCCACCCGCCTCACTGATAGAAGTACGTGCTATGCTATGTATCCTACCCTTCTGCGTGTAGGTGAGGTGGTGTGATGTAGGTGAATGGGGAGGTCTTGCTTGACTCCTTTTTGATGAACGCGGTTTGGCATCTTGTCGAACATATATACCCGGGAAGGGAAGCAAACTCGGAGTCCTCGTCTAACCCCATTCGAGTCCATTGTAAATGAAGTCAACTTTCTTCCCCTTCTAGCAGTCTCATACATATCTCGTCATCTCAAAAGACATCCATCATACTTTCCCCTTGGACAGATTCATCATTTCCTCTCTTTCCCCCAAGTTCTACCTCTGACTTGTCAACTCGAAAAAGGAATTAACTCAGAGAATCAACCCGGAGAGACAGTAGCCGCCAACAAGACCAGTCAGTCATGACTTACTACCACGGCTCCCGCTACCCTATGAGTCCCGTCAGCACCGGTTCCCCCGTCATCCCGACGAGGTACCCAGTCTACCCAGGGGAGGCTTCGTCCCCTTCCGAGGCGCCAGCTCTGGTGCGGGAACCGTCCGATGCCAGTTCCTTTGGCCCTACAACGCCCATGTCGCCCCGGTCCCCCGCCATGTCCTCCCGCACCCCTAGATCCGTGAACCAGACGTCCGGCACCGGCTATCGAACATCTGCTTGTTACGACCAGCTTCAGCTTCAGCATCAGCATCAGCATCAGCCTCAGTCCACGGCCACGGCCACTACCACTGCCGTAGACTGGAACAAGTACAGCTACATCGCCTCCGACGACGGGGGGTACTGGGAGCTCAAACCACAGTATGCTTACCAGGGCTGTGGTCCCGCCAGGATACCCCACTGCAAGCCGGCCGACAGCCACAACCCGAGCCAGCACCCGAGCCAGCACCGACACCCGGCCGCAACCGCCATAACAGGCGACGCCGCGGAAACCCGCTACACCTGCCTCTCGCCCGGGTGCCCCGCAAAGCCCTTCAAGCGCCACGCCGACCTCCAGCGACACTACGCCCAGGTGCACCTCGACTCGTCGTCGCGGGACTCCCACACCTGCGACTACGCCAGGTGCGCGCGCTCGACCGAGCCCTTCGGCCGGCTCGACCACTTCCGCGACCACCTGCGGGACTACCACCAGGAGGACATTTGCAAGCGCGGCAGCCAGGTCGACGAGAAGTGGCTCAAGGGCCGCAAAGTGTCCAGCCGCTGGTGGCGCTGCACCAAGTGCCTGACCCGCGTCGACGTCGCCAAGGCCCCCGATCACGTTTGTCCCCGGTGTAAGATGGTCTGCGAGGATAAGAGGAAGCGCGTGCGTGGGTGGCGCTGAACAAACTCTAGCAGCACGGGAAGACACCACAGCCCCCCCCGTTCAGGAACGACAGCATCGCATCAACCCACCATCAGCGGTGATCGGCCTCCCCCCGTGGAACGCAAGAAATTCATTGGGCGGGTTTTTTCGTCCGCCTAGGCTCTTCAGCAGGCAAAGCGGCGGCCATGACGCAGCCATGATATGCCAGAATGTGTGTGTGGCATCACTGCATCACTGCATCGCTGCATCACCGCCTCGCGCGCCCCCAGGTACATGGACCATATGGCTCTCTATTTCTCATCTGAAACATCGCGCTCTGCTGTGAGGAAATGCCAATCAAAAATCGAATCTTTCGGCTGAAGATACAAACGGCAACGCTTATTCGCTTGAGATGCGCTTTTCCAAGTCCGCCGAGGCACACACACACGCGGACACAGCCCCTGGATCCCCCGCCTTCCTTCTGCATGGAAGGCTTCCAGAAGGATGCGCCAAGCCTCTACCCTAGCCCTTCTTTCTCACCCACCCCCCTCACCCGCTCACTACACTACCCTCACCAGCTCTACGGCCGGCACGCTCATAGCTTGTCGTGCTAGTGCCTGCCACCTCGAGTTTAGTGTCCCATCCAGTTGCGCCTCGTTTCTTACCTTCTTACCTTACCAGACGCCGAGACGAGACCAACAGCTGGAAAAGAGGGGCAGGTCGATGAGATGATAGCGGGTAGCCTTTTCCGACTTTTTTTTTTTTTGTGTTACATTTCTGCATCGCGGTTTACACCTGCGCTTCACTTTTTGTTTTATCTACCCTTCATCCCCGCTTCGACTGTCTTTTTTGTCGTATCTTGGTTTGGTTAGGTATTCTGGCCTCGTGTACGATAGGTACGGTGGGATAGTGAGGGACACCCCGAGAGAGACCCTTCGTCCTTCGGCGCCGTCTCCGGTGAGATGGCGCTGTCTTGGCGGTTGTTATGTGGACGGGACGAATTTCGGTGACTGATTTCGGTTCTGAGGCGAGGCTGTGCCCATGTTCTTTATTAGTGTACTATATGGTGTCCGATGTATGATATTGTTATTACTTTGCCCAGTGTAGGGATGGACTCGATTTGTGTACGTATGGTTTCTTTTTTCTTCTTCTTTCTTTTCTTCTTCCTTTTTTTTTTTCATTTCTTTTCATGCCATCCACAGTGGCTTGCGACATGAGAGCTTTGTATGGTAACAGTGAATTCGATAGAGATGTTTAGGATTTACGTCTCCTCGACACCAATGTCCTTATTTACCTTAAGTGAGGAGAGAGAGAGAGAGAGGAGAGACAGAATAATCGTAAAGGGGATACACCCTGATGTTTGACCCCATTTGCTGCAACTGTATATTCTATACCTACAAAATATTCTTCGAAATCCTCTTCGAATCTTTCGTCCCCTCCAGCGCGCATAGTGCAAGACAACAGAGCAGAGAGATGGCGACATCCCGGCCCCCTTACTCCGAAGAACCGGGAACGGGGAACGGGAAACGGGGAATAAACCTAAACCCGAGAAAACGTGAGGCAAGACCTAGGTAATGCACTGAATTTGCAATGCCAGCAACCAATGCTTGCAAAAAAAAGAACCCCAATTCAAGCTCGCCACCCTCCTATCTGCCGAGCGAAGATCGCTTTTCGCTAGCATACTGTGGATATTTGTCCTTTACCCGAATGCGAAAATGACGGGAAAGGCGGGCGAAAAAACACCATTTAGCGTCTGCCTGGTCGGGTGAATACCAACGCAATATAAACCGCGGGACATATTATAAAGGCCCGCCGCACTCGGTGCTACGAGTGCTCCCTCTTTACAGCTTCTCCTTGAGGATCTGCTTCATCCTCCTCTCGACAGCGTTGAGGTACTCGGTGGTGGTGACGTAGTCGCTGCGGGCGGTCTTGCCGCAGGCGAGGGCAAGGTCCTTGGTCATGATGCCGTCAACATCGACGGTGTCGATGCAGGCCTTCTCAAGCGACTCGGCAAAGGCGACGACCTCGGGGGTGTCGTCGAGCTTGCCACGCTGGATCAGGCCACGGGTCCAGGCGAAGATGGAGGCGATGGGGTTGGTGGAGGTCTCGTTGCCCTTCTGGTGCTCGCGGTAGTGGCGGGTGACGGTGCCGTGGGCGGCCTCGGACTCGAAGGTCTTGCCGTCGGGGGTGATGAGAACGGAGGTCATGAGGCCGAGAGAGCCGAAGCCCTGAGCGACGACATCGGACTGGACGTCACCGTCGTAGTCTGGATGCAGGAAGAACGTTAGGTTTTTTTTTTTTCTCTTTCGGGAATAAAAGGAGAGAAAAAGAAAGGAGAAAAAAAAAGGAGAAGAAAAAAAGGAGAAAAAAAAAAGAAAGTTGAACGCACTCTTCAGAGCCATAATGTAGCCACCCGAGCTCTTGACCATCTGGGCGACCATGTCGTCGATGAGGCGGTGCTCATACCAGATGCCCTTGGCCTCGAATTCCTTCTTGTACTGGGTGTCGTAGAGCTCCTGGAAGATGTCCTTGAAGCGGCCGTCGTACTTCTTGAGGATGGTGTTCTTGGTGCTCATGTAGAGGGGGAGGCCCTTGTCGAGGGCGAGCTTGAAGGAGGCGTGGGCGAAGCCGGTGATGGACTCGTCCGTGTTGTACTGGGTCTGGGCGACGCCGCCGCCGTTCTTGAACTCGAAGACCTCGATCTCCTCGGGCTGGCCGCCCTTGGGGGTGAAGACCATCTTCAGCGTGCCCTCGCCGGGGATGACGCGGTCCTTGGCGCGGTACTGGTCGCCGAAGGCGTGGCGGCCGATGATGATGGGCTTCTTCCACCCGGGCACGAGGCGGGGCACGCGGGGGATGACGATGGGCTCGCGGAAGACGGTGCCGCCGAGAATGTTGCGGATGGTGCCGTTGGGCGAGAGCCACATCTGCTTCAGCTTGAACTCCTCCACGCGCGCCTCGTCCGGGGTGATGGTGGCGCACTTGACGCCGACGCTGTACTTCTTGATGGCCTCGGCGGCGTCGAGGGTGACCTGGTCGTTGGTCTGGTCGCGGTACTCGAGGCCGAGGTCATAGTACTTGAGGTTGATGTCGAGGTACGGGTAGATGAACTTGTCCTTGATGTCCTGCCAGATGACGCGGGTCATCTCGTCGCCGTCGAGCTCGACGACGGGGTTCTTGACCTTGATCTTGTTGACGGAGGACGACATGGTTCTAGATTGGATGAAGGCGGATCGAGGGAAGGTCGAAGTTCGGGAGGAGCCAGCGGAAGGGACCGAGATTGTAGATGTGAATGAGAAAACAGCAGCACGACGCGCGAGAGACGAGGCTGAGGAAGAGGAAGAAGATCTGGTGGCGGCGGATATGGAAGCACACGGGCGAAGGGAGAACCGGAGGGAGTTCATGATGGAGAAAGAACCCCAAGCGGGGAGGGGAAGGCCCGGAAAAAAAAAGAAAAAAAGGAAAAAAAAATAGGGAGGGGTGTGGAGAGGGGCACGGGGCCAAAGAGAAAAAGCAATGGACGAGACTGTCGATACCGGCACTGGACGGCGGCAGGCGGGGTGGCTAGGGACGATCGAGGGGCAACTTTCGAGGGGTTGAAGCCAAAGAGCCGAGGATACTGCTGGCCGGTTAGCGTAATCCGGGCGTAAGGTACGAGTCGCACGGCCGTTAAGCCGAATAGATCAAGTAAGCAAGGAACAGAAAAGGTAAAAAGGGGAAGCCAAATGAGCTAAAACAATTTCGCGTGGGCTGCGTGTAAGGTAAGAAGGTATGGAGCAGGAGAAGGAAGCGATAAGATGGTCAATCTTCCTAGGTACTCCGTACGTCTTGGAAATATGTCGTCACACCGCGACGGGGAGCTGCGAACAGCTACTGCAGTGAGAAGGTGCGACCGAGAAAAGGACAGAGTGAAACAGATGACGTGACGTGGGACTTACTCAGAGGGAAAAAGCTGGCCTTTTCTTTCCTTTCCTTTTTTCTTCTTTCTTTTCTTTTCCTTTCTTTTCTTCTTCTCTCCTCTTGGACGAGTCTTCCCTTCTTATTGAAGAGCAGCAAGTAGGACAAGACACGACTCGCAGCAACGGAAGACGAGCAGAGATGAAGCAGAGGGGAAGGTAACGAAGAAGTGGATTAGGGAAAAAAGTATGGCTGTGCTGTCCCTGTTTATTATTATGTGACCACGAAGATGGTATTAGGTGTCCAATGGGCAGATCTGGCAGCTTGTTGGTGCTTCACGCTGTGGTCTGTGTGAAGGCGCATCATTCTTTATTACAACCTTTTTTTCTTCTTCACTTTAGGCGAGCACGAGATCTTCGTATGGTGCCGAAGTCGCACCTGATCTGGCCCCGCAGACCCAGAAAAGCTCTGCAAGTGGGCTACACTAGTGCGGAGCCACCACGCCCCCCTGTACCACCCGTACCGCTACTTCGTACGAATACCTTAAGGTACATACCTTAACTTCTTCTGTCAGATACCCCCCTGAAGTACCACGAACTTCACTTAGATGAATACATATATAATTCCGCGTACCTTATTTTGTGTTCTGACATCTTCCGTCCTCTCTCTAATACTCTTTTGCATGTATCCATATATAAACTAGCCCCTGTTGCAGAGTTATTGCGGCGTGGCGGCATCTGCAATGTACCGTACCGTTGTACACTAATTACCAACTGGAAACGGTGGGATGGAACAGGACAAAAGCCAGCACAGCGACCCTGAACTCAATGCGGGGAAACGCAAGTTGATGACCCCAAACCAAGCATGAAATAAGGTAACATACGGATAGGATGTACATGGTACGCACTTGTATTCATATCATATGTCGTGCTCCTCAAAATCCACCAGTAACACGAAATACGATGCTGCGCTGCACGAAAAGTTCTCCGCTTCTCCGACATCCGAGACGTCGGGGCCAAAAGATTCTCCGAGCCACCTCATAAGGTAGATCATGTATCTTACGTCGTTCCTTTTATCCATCAGTTCCCACGACTCGTCTACTACCTTACTCCGTAAGAGTTATTACAAACAAGAAACCAGTCAACCCCCTCACTACGGCTCTTTTCTTTTTCTCTTTTTATTACATACCAGACATTGAAGGTGGGGCTTCAGAACCGATCTCGGCGTTGGTTATACCGGAAGCAATACGGACATGGAAGTGCGTACGGAGGATGGACTGTTTATTACCTAAACGAACCAAAAGAACGGCTTGGCCCGTCACTAGCCGCGAACCCAACCTCCTTCCATTAATAACAATTACAATACCATGTAAATTACGGAGTACGGATACAGTTGTCTGCCGATTTTATTTTATTTTATTTTTGTTCGTTTCAACCTCCCATTCCAGAATCTCAAAGGACCATTCCCTTGTTGGCTATTAAGAACATTTCATGGTGACATTCCTGTTCGAAGATTAGGTTTGTTACGCAAGGAAGCTTCCGTCTTCTTGTCGGGATAGTCATCCGATTCGGAATAGATATCGGACCCGAGCCCACTCCATATCTCCGGCGTCCGACCCTATTCTCCGAGCTCCAAGTCTACGGAGCTCGGTCAAGAGGGTTTCTCTTTCAAGAAGGTTTCTCTTTTCCCCCTTACATTGTCAAGAATGAAAGCAGTACTCAGGGGCGTCCATTACATTTTTTATTTTCTTCCGGTGCGAGAAATACGAGACCCGTACTGTGACTGGGCCACGGTTAAGCGTACATGGTGCTCCAAGAACTCCGTAAGCCAGGGAGACCGGGAAGTTCAGTACCTTAAGCTTCCCTCCCTCTTAACCTAAAAATTCCCAGTCCTAAAATCCCCAACGGCGCCTTGCGTTCCATTACACTGCCTCGGACATATAAGGGGATGAAAAGCAACAATGCAAGGCACATCCTCCCATTCTGTCGACCGTCGGTAACCAAATGGGAGCACTGCTCCCCCCAAGAGCTCAGTAGAACTCGCAGTCCCACGGTGCGTTGATATCTCACCCAAAAGTACAATTCTTTTTTTAAAAAGAATTCCCCGGAACAACAGAGTGCATGCAGGAGAACAGACAGTTTTCCCTTCAGTGTAGTTCCCTGAATGCCATCGGAAGCCAGCTTAGAATGCTGGCATGTCAAAACTCCGGATCTTCCTCGCGGTACTTCAGTCATCAGCCTTTTCCGCCTTCGCTTTCGGCACGTCCGACGCCCGGCTCTTAGCTGACCGCCGCGCCGACGAGCCACCCTTGTTCGCTGTCGGTGTAGGAACCTCACCGCCGTCGCCAGCGCTCTTCCGCTTCTTCTTTGCAGGCCGGGTACCCGAGCCCCCCTTGGGGCGGTAACCAGGGTCCTCATCGCGCTTTCGCTTCCCGCCGCCCCGTGCCGAGGCCGGGACGGGTGTAGATAAGGAAGAAATGTCCAAGTCATCGTCCATGCTGACATCCCAGGCGTCTGACTCCTTTTGCTGGACGCTCAGCCGGTCCGCCGCCGTGCGCCGTTTCCCGCCCCTAGCGGCCTTACCGCCGCGGGCCGACTTGGAGGCGCTGTCGGTGCCGATAGCCGGACGCCTTTTCCGCTTGGTATCGGCAGGAGTCTCGTCGCCGTGTGTCTCGTCAGCTGCGGGCGTCTCGGTATCCTGGAGAAATGTCTTGGGTGCGTGTTTCCGGAGCCAGTTATACACGCTCACCGGGTTGCGGAGTGCGATGTTCTGGCTGGTGTAGGGGTTGATGTGGGAGGAGCCGGCGTTCGGGCGGGCAGAGGGGGCTAGTGTAGGGAGAAGTTTTGTGTCGTCAATTCGCCGATCGATGCTGTACAGGTAGTCGTCCATGTCGTCCGAAGTGAGAAACGTCGGCGGATGGGATTCTCCGGGAAACGGTTCGAGGTCGGCCACGGCCGCGGGGAAACGGTCTTTTGCTTGATCGTACGACGTGTGGGGAACCTCTTTGAGAAGCTCTCCCAAAGACTTTGTGGGCTTTGCGAAAGCTGATAAAGAAGCGTTTTCGGCATCAGGGATAGTATCGTCCGAATCAGGTGTTGTTAGAGTAATGTTGATACGTTTATCAACGGGAATCTGATCCGACTCATTCATGTCGAGAAGCAGGTCAAGCATGCGGCTGGGCACGACCATGTTAGCAAGTGCGCCTCCTCCCCGCGTCTGCGTCTCTCTCTCTCTCTCTCTCTCTCTCTCTCTCTCTCTGCGAGTCTCCAGGAAGATCAAGAGCGTGCTTTTCTCAGAACATCCAAACATACTCATTCTCAATAGCAATGCGCTTTGCCACGGCAAGAGCCCTTTGTTCTTCCCTGTGCAGTTGCTCGCATTCCTGCATTTTTTGGTCGAAGCTAATGCGCATCTTCCGGTATTTTTTCTTCCATGACTTGTAGGTAGGTTTGGCATCGGTCATGGCCATGTCTTTGGAGGTTTGGTGTTCGTGTTTGACGTCGCGATCGACGGAGGCTGTACTTTGGCCGTCGTCATCCATCGTGACGTTACGATGATTGAGTGACCGGGTTGTTGAAAATGAATGCAGAAAATCGTGCAGAGAATAGAATTAATCGTATTTCTTCTTTCCTTTCTTCTTCTTCCCCGTATCTGGTCGACGGGTCGATGATGACAATGCTGTGTTGGCGATGATGGGAAGAAGAAAGTTGGAAAGAGCCAAGAAAACTCGGGGTTTTGGCAAGTGGTGATCGAAAACCGGGCGCACGCGTAAGGCAAATACCGTAGTTGTTCACTCTCCAGATGGATCAGACGAGGCTCAGGTACGAAATAGTGGATGGATTAAATTTAGCAGTTGCCCCAAGGGAGCTCTTGCTTCAAGGGAGCCGTTGACCAACCACAAGTGGTTTACGGATACAGAGTACGGGATACTGAGCGTCGCGAGTTTGCAGTCCAGACCGGGGATAGGTTCACCCCATCGCGAAAATAGCACCTACTTGCGAATAGTGACTTTCTGTTTGGTGGGGAGTCATACGAGGATGAGTGTACCACGTGTAGCGCCGCGGGGGGGTGTGTGTGTCTCTACCTTACTCTTCATAGGTATAGTGGGTGAGTAATAATTTCGGTATATTTTAAAGATCCAGTGATTCGTTACTTTTGTGACATGATATGGTTTTGCCACTGATAGAAAAGTGTTCCCCAAAAGCTTCGAAGCATTCTACTTTAGGTTATCCCGAAACTTTTGCTCACTCACTGTACTCCAGTGCTTCCCATAGGTACGTACCTATGTAGGTGCTCCATATCAAGATTCATCACAAGATTGGTATACCAGAAACCTCTCATAGGACAAGTCGACAAGGAGATGAGAATAGGATAAGAAATTAAAAAAGAAGAAGGAGACCCCGTATTATACTCGCACTGGAGTTATACTAAGCAAAGGCCTGTCATAGTCTGCATGCTTCGAGTCTCCAAAGCCCTACGAATGGCCGAAAACGCAGCAAAGAGAATCAAGATGTCGTCGCCCGTCACCATCGGCACCCACAACGGCCACTTCCACGCCGACGAGGCCCTGGCCGTGCACATGCTGCGCCAGCTTCCCACCTACCAGGGCGCCAAACTCGTCCGCACCCGCGACCCGGCCGTCCTGGCGACCTGCCACACCGTCGTCGACGTGGGCGGCGAGTACGATCCCGCCCGCAACCGCTTCGACCACCACCAGCGCGGCTTCGCGACCACCTTCCCCGGCCGGCCCACCAAGCTCTCCAGCGCCGGCCTCGTCTTCCTGCACTTCGGCCGCGCCCTGATCGCCCAGAAGACCGGCGCGTCGCCCGAGGCCGCCGAGACGGACCCGGACGTCGCCCTCCTGCACCACAAGCTGTACGAGTCCTTCGTCGAGGCCATGGACGCCCACGACAACGGCATCTCGGCCTACGACGCGGCCGCCCTCGCCGCCGCCGGCATCGAGAAGCGATTTGCCAACGGCGGCTTCTCGCTCGCCTCCGTCGTGGCCCGCCTCAACCCCAACTGGAACGACCCCGTCCCCTCCGACCCGGACGAGGCCCAGCGCGCCGAGGACGCCCGCTTCGAGCTCGCCAGCGCCCGCATCGGCGAGGAGTTCGACCGCGACCTCGACTACTACGTCCGCGCCTGGCTGCCCGCCCGTGCCGTCGTCAAGGCCGCCTTCGACAAGCGCGCCGAGCACGACCCCGAGGGCCGCGTCCTCGTCTTCGAGGGCACCAGCGCCCCCTGGAAGGACCACCTGTACTCCCTCGAAGAGGGAAAGCCCGGCGTCCTCTACGTCCTGTACCCGGAGAACCCCGGCCCCGGGGCCAAATGGAGGGTCCAGTGCGTCCCCGTCTCCAAGGACTCCTTCGAGAGCCGCAAGCCCCTCCCGGAAGCCTGGAGGGGATTCCGTGACCAGGAGTTGGACGGCATCACAGGTATCTCCGGCTGCGTGTTTGTTCACGCTGCTGGGTTCATCGGCGGGAATGCTACTTTTGAAGGCGCCAAGGCCATGGCTCTCAAGGCGCTGGAATCCTAGATCGTCGTTGCAAATGGGTCGGCTAGGCTTCGTATGCTTGGGATTTATGATGATGGGAAAAACGATCATTTTCCTTTATGCGCAAACTAGACGTTTTCACGTTTTCACGGGGGGGCACAGGGAGCGGCGTTTGGCTTCCAGTAAGGAAAAAGATGGGAGATGAATGAACAAATTCCTATTTTGCATCAGAAGAAGAGTTTTGGTCCTTTTGTCCCTAGGTAAAAGACATAAAAGCGAACATGTGGAAGTGTTGCCCGACACTAACGATCAGAGTCGGAACATCCACGCCGGGTCGGCTTTGTGCAACAACTGTGCTTTTCTCTCTCCCTGCCTTCGGACCAATCTGGGCTTCCATTGCCTTTGGGAGAGTCGCCGAGTGAGAAGAGCAACGGGTACTGGAGCAAATGAGACTCGCGGATAGAAGCAGCAACAACCAACCACAAGACCACGTACAAGGGCACAGAGGAGGCACATGGACCATATCATCCTGCGTATGGCCTCCTAAAACATGAGATACAGACATCAGACACACGCATACACACGTACACCCACAAAAATAACACACCACGCATCCCCCCAGTAACAGATAGTCGGGCACGGTTTGCGCGTCCACATCATCAAAAGCCGACTTGCTTTCCTCTCCTTCCTAAGTATACCGTGCCTCCTAACGAACCCAAACGCCAGAATACAGGAATGAAGCGCAAGTAGAACCATCGTAGAAAATCATCAGGCAGAAGCGAACCCCAAGTCCCTCTCGCCTCCCCATTCACCATCCCGGGGGGAAGCAGACTAGCCAGCAAGTATTTTTTTTTTCTGTCCCCCAGAGTAGCAGCAAACCATTCGCCATCGGTACATGGCCGAGAGCCATTCATGTTCAGACAGGAACTGCTCTCAGCCTGTTATGATTTATGTGCCTTCTGTGTGGGCTGGAGTCGGTGTGGCAAAAGAGGTAGGCCCTGCGACCAAACTCATTGACTCATTGTCTGTCGTTCGGGTTCTCGTTCTCATTCTCGTTCTCCATATCGGCGGCGCTGGTCTCGCGGTGGAGGAAGCTGGACTCCTTAACGGGGCTGCCGGACTGGGTGGCGGCAGAGATGCTGCTGTGGTGATGTTTGGCGATGCCGTTGGAACCGACGGGGGCGCCCGAGCCGTTGATGGGGCTGGAGAGGTGGGGGATCTTCTCGGGAACGGGGTGCTGGGAGCCGACGGACCCGGCGTCGACGCTGTCGCCCTTTCCGGCCTTCGACATGGCGTAGTCGCCCGAGTCGAAGTACTTGCGGTCTTTCAAGTGTTTGGCAAAGTGATCGGAGCGGGAGGGCAGTTTTCCGTAGAGACGGAAGAGGCGCTGCTCCTCCGGAGAAAGGGACTGTGGAAAGAAAAGGAAAAAGGGCATGTTAGTGAGACGACGTCACGAGTTTTCAAGGGCAAGGTGCGCGCCAAGGTTGATTGTGGCCATGGGCGGCGGAAGTGAAGAAAGTAAAATAAAAGAAGAAATGACACGGACGGGGCAAAAGTAAGGGTAGACGAGACGACTTACAGAGACATCGATCTTGTTCTTCTGGTGGGGGTTCATTGTGACAACGTCTGGTGGGGTCTTGGCCGGTAGACGGGTCGCTTTAGGTGAGGGTAGGTTGCGATGAGGTGAAGATCGTTAATGAGCGCAGGGACGAAGGCGTGTACGTAGTCTGGTGGGATAGGGAAGTTGGTTTGTTGAAGAGAGGTCGTTTTCTTTTTTCTTTCGTCTGGTTTTTTTTCTTCTTCGGCAACGGTCGATTAAAGTAAGGTAGTGGAAGGAGACGGAGTTGGGAAGTGGGAGTGATGTGACGAGATGGGAAGTCGGATCGAATGTTTGGCCAGTCACAGTGAAGTTACAGGGTCGAAAGTACAAAGTAATTGGTTAGATGCTATTAGTGGGGATCCATCCCCTCACGAAGGTTTGGCGGCAGGACCATCCCGCAATCCATGTGCTATCCCCGCTTACGTACTCTTGTGTTTACGATATGGTCCGCTTTATAAGACTCGTACCTAGAGAGAGGACCCGTCAGGCATCAACAAGGCGAACTAATTAATTACGAGATGAGGAAATATCCAGACAGAAAGGAAAAGAAAGGCTCCTCTCTCGTTTGGTCTCTATGGTGATGATTAAGGGGTACAGAGTGGCCCAAGAAATAAATAACATCAAACGTGACAGTTTGATCCTGCCGGCAGTTATACGAAGTAGCACCGGGATATAGTCGGTTACGTCGTCCCATAACGTACTTGTACATAAGGTACCTATAATTTTGTAAGTTACCGACACAACGTTCAACGTGTACGAATACTGGACCATGAACTAAGTTCACTTATGGGCGTAAGGTAGACTTCCCAGGCCAGCCACCCTTTCAGGGACAAACAAAGATCTCGGGGGCGTCTTCCTCTTTGCAAATTAATCGTTTATTTGTTTATGCTACAACGTACAAGCATTATGCCGAGCCGAGGGTCGTCTCTTGCCGTTACATCTGCACATCTTTTCTCTACCTTACCTATCCTAAGGTACCTTAAACAATAAACAAACCTACAGAGTACAGTACCTACCGTCACTCTGAAGTCGATCCAGCAACCCTCCTCCGAATTGATGCTCCCTTCATCACCCCTCCCCGGTTCTCACGGTCCCCGTCTCCGAGAAGACCGTCGCATGCTGCTCTGATCGTCTCCCTGCCTATCAACTGACCGGATTACGTATGCATACCGGGTTCGATCCTGGCCATTTCCGGAAGATTCTGTTATCACCAGACCCTTCATGGCCCCGGGGGTCATCGTCGTTGCCCCTGGTCATACTTCGTACAAGTAGGTTAAGTTGAATTCGTATCGATTATATCCGTACAACGAACCATGCTGCATCGATCTCAATGCATCACCCTCAACGGCACAGATCGTCAGTTTTTAGCTTGCCCTTTGGTTTTGCGAGACAACGGAACTGGGCATGTCCTTCTTGGGTCTTTCTTTTGCGAGTCAGTCAACCCACTTCGCCGTTGCTAGTTCTTACTTCGGTGGGCGTCTCGTGTCATTCTCGTGTGTTTTGGTAAGAGAAGCCACAAGTCGTGCTAGCAGTTGTAGGGTGACAGATTGAATCCATGAGAATGAGAACATGTCTCCGAGCCGACGAGATCCTTTTCACATTACGCGTGCTTAGACTGGATAATGTTAGGTATTCTGCAGTAGGGCAGCAATTAGCTGGTTGAATAAAGTAGAACAGAGCGCATATGGCATACATGTACTGCGTTGTGTTTCTCGGGTCGGTGCAATGTCTTTTGCAAATTTATCTGCCTGTCACCACGGACACTCACTGAGGTACCTTACGTTATTCCGTCATGACATCGCAAAACGTCCATGTACTTCGTAAATTCACCCGTACATTGCCAGTTGGAGTTGTACGTACCTAAGGTATAGTGTGAAAAGACGAGATTCATTATCCGCACGGAGTCCTGAGTACCGTGGAAGTACCTGGGTTGTGTTATCTTATCAGAATGCCCGCCTTGACAAGTCGGGTTTAGCGCATTGAAGAAATTCTGAATTTCTGCAACGTCTGAACTTCTGGACTTCTCACCTTGGACGTGAGACGCCCCCGAATCATCACCACAACTCCAAACGGGCCAAGCTCCCCCTTCACACACATCCGTCTCGATCGCCGTCGCCCGCCTTCAACCATGGCAGCCCCCGTGGGACCTCTCGCCCAGGTCAAGCTGCCCTCGGGCCCCTCGCCAGTGACGGCCGAGCAGCGCTACTGGATGTCCTTCAAGAACCAGCTGCAGATCCCCTCGCCTACCTCCTACCCAGTGACCCATATCAGCGCCGCTTCCAACGACGGCCACTTCGCCGTGACCACCGGCACTCGCGTGCAGATCTACTCGTCTCGCACCAGGAAGCTGGAGAAGACCGTCACGCGCTTCGCCGATGTCGCTCGAAGTGGCGACCTGCGTCGTGATGGCAAGGTCCTCGTCGCCGGCGAGGACACCGGCCGCCTACAGGTCTTCGACATCAACTCGAGAGCCGTTCTCCGGACCTGGATGACCCATAAGCAGCCCGTCTGGGCTACCCGCTTTTCCCGCACCCATCTCACAACCCTCCTCAGCGCCTCCGACGATAAGACCGTTCGTCTCTGGGACCTCCCCAGCAATGACCCGACCCACACCTTCGTCGGCCACCAGGACTACGTCCGCAGCGCCGACTTCATCCCCGGCTCTTCCGCCAGTCTCATCGTCTCGGGAAGTTACGATGCCACCGTGCGCCTCTGGGACCCTCGTGTCCCGCCAGACCAACCCGTCATGACCTTCAAACACGCCGCGCCCGTCGAGCACGTCCTCCCCTTGCTCTCCGGTACCACCCTCCTGGCCGCCGCCGGCCCGGCCATCTCCGTTCTCGACCTCGTAGCCGCCCGCCCCGTCCAGCAGATCACCAACCACCAAAAGACGGTCACCTCCCTCTGCCTCGCCTCCGGCGGCACGCGTCTCGTCTCCGGCGGTCTCGATGGCCACGTCAAGGTCTTCGAGACGACGGGATGGAACGTCGTCTCCACCACGAAATACCAGTCCCCCATCCTCACCGTGCGGGTGCTCGGCGCCTCGTCAGAGAGTCCCACCACGACCGGCGACTCTTCCTCCTCTTCCACGTCCGCGTCCGACCGCCACCTCCTCGTGGGCATGCAATCCGGCGTCCTGAGCATCCGCACCCGCCTCACCGGCACCGAAGCCATCCGCCAACGCGACCGCGACCGCGAGATGGCCGCCCTCCTAGCCGGCACCCTCGGCGCCCACGACGCCCGCGTCGACAAGCGCAAGCGCCGCATCGCCGCCTCCCGCCGCCTCGACATGGCCGGCGAGGGCGCCGACGTCGTCATCGCCGACGAGCCCCGCGACGGCGCACGACGCCGCCACAAGTCCGAGGCCCTCTGGCAGCGCGACCTCCGCCACGGCCGCTACGCCCTAGCCCTCGACCGGCTCCTCGACCCGGCCTCGGTGGCCGAGCAAGACGCGAGGAAGAAAGGCGGCCACAAGAAGAAAAGCAAGAGCAAGAACGACGCCGCCGGGGGTCAGCCCACGGAGCCTGCGCCCCCGCTGGAGGTTCTGACGCTATTGTTGGCGCTTCGTCACCGCAGTGCCGTGCGGGCCGCGGTCGAGGGCCGTGATGAGCGGACGGTGCAGCCCGTGCTGCGGTGGGTCAGCGCGCATATCGTTGACCCGCGGTACGTCGGCGTCTGTGTCGAGGTTGCCATGCACCTTATCGAGCTGTACGCCGAGTATGCCAGTGGCAGTGCCGAGCTGGCCGCTGGCTTCCGAACGTTGAGAAGACGAGTCACGGGCGAGGTGGAAAAAGCAAAGGTTGCCTGTGAAACCGGTGGCATGGTAGAGGGACTGGTATTAGGGGCAGTATGAAGAGTTTTTGGTGTTTTTTTGCTGATCTGTGTTCCTGCCGCATGATAATTCACCGTTCTGCCGCTCCCAAAAGAACCATAGGGGGGATTTGTACGAGGTAGCGAGTCGGTTGAAGACGGAGAGATACCATGGAATGGCGGCGGGTCTTTCGAGAAGCGGACGGATTTTCCTGTTTGCATTGCGATGGCGTTCAGGGCAAGGCCGGCGAAAATAAGGGGTAAGAATAAGGACAAGATGAAAAAGAAACTACCAAAAAAGAAGAATAAACAAAGACCACAGAATTTATCTAAACTGCCGTCTCCGGTCCCGTAAGATCACACTTGTTTCATAATTCTATTCTAGCGTCACATACAGATGGCCTCAACCAAGGCCAGAAAGAAGTTGAGAGAGATAAAAAACTGTTTCGCCGTTTCGTCATGTCTGAAACAAAGATGTGTGTACAAGATGGATGGCTGCGCTGTACGTGTGGATGTGGATGTGGCCCCGAGTCACCCGCTCAAGACGTGGTTCGAGATCCGCTTCCGCCCGGCACTCCGGAGGCCCTCTCTTTCCGTTTTGAGTCGTCGTCATCGTCATCGTCGTCGTCGTCGTCGTCGTCGCTGTCCCCGCCGACAGCGTACGCGTCCTTATCCGGGCCGTCCGTCGGCGTGGCAACGTGCAGATCACCCAGCCGGCTCTCGTCGAAATCTCCAGCTTCGACATCCCGGTCGCCTCCACGGCCCAAGAGCCGGTCCGCGGCACGAGAACGCGACCGGGTGGATAGGCCGACGCCTTCGCCACCGGCCAGCCCATGGTAGTCCTTCCTCCTACGACGTTCGCGCCAGATGTACCAGCCCCAAGCGCCCGCAGCGATGATGACGATGACCAGCACGACCTGGCCGGAACGGTAGTACACCTTCCATTTCGCCTCATCGGCCTGCTTCTTCGTCTCCTCGTCCGTCCCGGCATGGCCACCACCACTAGCCCCACTGCCGGCGGCATCACCATCGACATGGGAGTCGAAACCAAGGCCACTGGCGGCACGGACATCGATTTCCATGACGCGGTCGAGCATGTCGCGCGAACGCAGAGGCCAATCGAAAGGCACCATGTGGGAGGCCTCGTTGAATAGAACGTAGGTGAGGTTACGGGCCTTCTGCCAATATCCGGCGTCCTCGCCGTCAAAGGTCCAGTTCAGGCGCGGCGTCGACTGGAAGCCCAAGGCGCCGTTCCATTCCATCCTTTCGATGAGCATCTCGGTGCCGATATGGTTGCAGATGAGGTCTTCCGCGCCGGAAAAGAGGGTGATGGACACTTGTTCGAGCAGAGCCGGAAGGAGCTGGCGGGCTGGTTCTGAATGTTGTGCCCGAAAAGAGGCACCTACGGCACCGTTGCACTCCTTCCAACCGGTGGTCTTGCCCGAATTGATGTGTAGCGCCTCAACGACCTCCTTCTTCCGTAGGTAGGGGGTCACATCAGTGAGATCGGGCGGCCAATTCATTCCGCATGAAGGGTATGTATCCTTGAGCCGGACATCGTACATATTATAGCACTCGCGTTTGCCGCTGAGGTTGAGGGCGGAGGTCATCTCGAGGAGCTTTTGGAGGATGTCCTCGCATCCGGGCATGTCGACCTTGACTTCGACGGCGAGACTTTTCCTGCAAATTCTCCACAATTGCTCCAGTTGCTTCGCATTGGGAGAACCCCTCTGGATAAGGTTCTTTTCATAGGCAAACTTGAGGTAGGCGTCGTATTGTTCCATCGGCGAAATCCAACCGTTTCCAATCACGAGCTCTTTCAGATTCCACTGCAGCTCGGGTTGAAACTGTTTATTCCTTTCGAGGATGTGCTTCGCAATGTACGGGATGTGCTGACCAGCGTATGACTCGCCTGCGATGTATAGCTGTCTAGAGTCAGCAAAAAGAAGAGGAAGAAAAGTGCACAATGGCAGGGCGATCAACTGTGCCCATGTTCGGGAAAGAAAGGCGAAGGTGGACGTCATCTCACCTCATCGGACTGGTACTGAGGGAACAATTCGAAGAACTTTTCAAGGAAAATGATGAAGTGCTCGGCCATCTCGTCGAGCTCGTGGAGGTAGGCGTTGGTGTCGACATAGCTGTAGCCGGTTCCGACAGGGTTATCGACGAAGAGAAGGTTGGCGAACTGATTCCACGAGCCGTTGTTATAGACAAGGTTGTCGCCGCTGACACGGTACGGACCGATCTCCATCAATGCGCCATCCTCGGAGCTGCAGCCGGGCCCGCCGTTCAACCAGATGACGGTACGTTGCTTATCGAGAATCTGCCGGCTCTGGAAATGCCAGAAGAAGAGGTTGCCATTATGTTCGGAGTCGACCTCAATATGCCTGTAAGGGTGGAAGGCAGGGCGCGTGTCAGAAAAGCGATGCGACGGGCACTCAAGAAGGCTACAGAAGAAGAAGAAGAAGAAGAAGAAGGGGGGAGGGTCGGGGGGACATGGGAGTCTCGGGATGTCACGTACCCAGCATGCATCTTGATCTCGGGGGAGCTAGGGGCGCCCGGCAGCTTGCGGACATAATAGTCGGCGGCGCTGAGGGCACTCGTCATTCGCATCCATGGCAATGCTAGAAGGATGCCGCTGGCGATGCGCATCGGAGACGGGAAGAAGAAGAGAGGTGCCATGATGGGAATCGCCTTGCTAGACGAACCCTGGGCAAGAGATGGGAGATCGTGGGATGAGAAAAGAAAACTGACCCGGTCAGATTGTATTCATGGGAATATACTGGGCCAGAAGTCACCAGAGAAAACTGTGTCGAAAATTGAATGGGGTGAAGGGGGTTTGAAATGGGACACAGGATTCCCCCAAGTTGGTCGTGAATTTACGGAGCAATAATTACTACCGAGTAGGCAGCTCGGATTCAGAGTGCAAGGTGTCCGCTGTGCAAAGTGATGACGGGAACTCCGCGAATAGAGTGGAGGCAGGTACGTAGCCCGCTAGTGTCAGCGTTGGTTGGTAACAACGGCACTGTACGAAGTACCTCGACTTGTTTCGGCGGCTGGATAAGGCTAAGCTTTTCTCGGAACAACCCTTTCCCGGTTAGAGATATCATACTTAAGCCACAGCGATGTTCAGGAAAAACTGTTTCGTGAACCGTTAGACCCAGAACTGTCGTGAACTCCGTACTGCCTCACACGGTGTCAACGGGTTCAGGTGCAGGGAGGTCCAGAAAGTACAGCAATCATATACAAACCTAACCCAGAAACAGACATGAATAAAGTACATACAGTGACCTGGCAGAAGGACTGAAGTACTTTACATGATGATTTGCGTGTAAAGTGCTTCGGTCCTTTTGATACCTGACAGGATATACGGATTCGGGTTTTAGTACCGTTTATCGTCGCTTCAAGTCTCTTTACCTAAACTAAAGTACCTTACCTTAGGTATGAACTTGGCAAACGCTCCTCTCTTTCAAGAGCCTACATAGGTTTAATTAAACCTTTCGGGCGTTTTCCTGACAACGGCTTTGTTAAACGTACCTAGCTACAGTGGGTGAGCAATAATTTCGGTACATTTTAAAGATCCAGTGATTCGATACTTTTGCAATATAATATGGTTTTTGCCCTAATAGAAGCAAGTGTTCCCCAAAAGGTTCGAAGCATTCTACTTTGGGTTATCCCGAAACTTTTGCTCACTCACTGTACGTAGATACTGTTTCTCTGTTTTTGGATAGCTCTGCCCCGAGTACCTTACCTTAGTTTTCCGTATCCGTACTCCCACCCTTCATGCATGTACCTCTCCTCTCCTCTTTGAGAGCATCACCATCTCCACCAAAAATTAGCAGGCCTTAATTAGCAGCCGAAAATTAATCGAAATTCGACCAAGCCTGTTGCCCGACGAGTTCTGCCAGCAGAAACGCGAACTACCATGTCGAACCCAAAAGGCAAGACGTACATCGTCGAGCACCTTGATCCCGAGCTCGGGCAGTGGTCAGAGCTCGAATATGTTGCCATCGCGAAGGAAACGCAGGTCGCTCAGGGGACCTTTCTCCTTTCCAGTCTCCCTGAAGCCTTCAACGTGCCCCCGGCTCTCAGTCAGGTCCCCGCCTTCAAACCTGAGCGCCGTGGCGTGGAGGAACTCTATGCCAATGATAAATCGCGCGTTTGCCTCCTCGACCCTTCGGCGTCCAGCGACCTTGGCCCGGACGATGGTGACAAGTTTGACGCTTTTCTTTTCGGTGGCATTCTCGGTAAACCTCTCACTCTTGTTTTTTTTTCTTTTTCCTTTTTTTTCTTCTTGAACGTCTATCCCCCAGCAAGACCCTTTAAATTTGAAAACCCAAGTCTCATTGCAACGACCTCGACAACTGACTTCATAAATACGTTAAATTCCTGAAGGTGATGACCCCCCGAGAGGTAAGTATCCCATCCACCTACCCGAGAACAAGTCAGTGAGCATCATAAGCTGATGACACGACAGACCGCACTTCTGAGCTGAGGAAGAAAGGGTTTGAAGGGAGGAGACTCGGACCAAAGCAGATGACTACGGATACCGCCGTCCGTGTCACCAGGATGGTAGTTGAGGATAAGAGTGAGCCAAAGACATTTGGAAATCTCATCTCGCATGGAAAATTCGCTAAGTTTGGCATAGTCCCTCTCGATGAGATCTCCTATCTCGATTTTCCCGAGCTCAAGTTCAACGATCATGAGAGCACTCAAATGCCTTTCCGCTACGTCAAGGGGCAAGATGGGAAGCCGATGATGCCCGAGGTACGTTGGACTATCTAAGGCCTCCTGTTTCCCATGGCCGAAAAGCTAACTTTGACCCAGGGCATGATTCAGTTGATAGAAAAAGATGCAGACAAGAGCATCGATGATTTGTTTTAAACTCCGGTCATATTTCTTGCGAAACAAGGAGACAAGGGTCGGAAAGTTGACGGTCCACACCCGTCGCATCCCGAAGACGGTAAGCCGTAGTGTTATTTGGGCTCTCTAAAGAACTAGGTATTACCGTCGTCTGTCAAATCTGCTTTATAGCGGCTTGATATAAGTAAGGAAATTGCTGGACTAGGCGCCATTTAACAGAGAGTCATAATATGAACTAAGAATGGACAAGCAAAAGATATAGGATACAGTGCTATGTTATTCAATCGAGCAACAGAGGTATACGAGAACACATCATGTCCATGACGGACTTTCCAGGTATAAGGCATAGTGAGTAAGCAAAAGTTCCGGGACGATTCAACGTAAACTGGCTTTGGACCCTTTGTAGAAATTCGTTAGCTGGACCACAACAATCTGGGGAATCATCTAGTCGTTGCGCAAAGGTACCGAAACACTTGATGTGTCTGAAATATCTCGAAATGAATGCTCACCCACCCACTGTAGACAGTTCTAGAACGTATCTCGAGCGTATTTCCATGTTCCTTCGGGGATATATCACGACACTGCACTGCAACTCCGTTCTACATAAAACGGTTCGATAATCTGCGCGAAGAGGGCTCCAATCGGCGTCAATGATTGAACAGAGACGTGAAAGGAAGAAAAAAAAACCCCTTGCCCAGCTGTATCATGCATACTGAGTAAACACTTCGTACAAAAACCCGAGGGACACGTTTAGGACCCACGGGTGACTTCAGACGACATAGTCGACGAATCGGGTCGTGTACCCTGCGGACATGCCTTATGGGGCTTGCATGGGGCAGCTGTTCCAGCCCAGTGGAGTGGGGAAGAAAGGGAGGGAGCACGCACCACGACGCGGGACGCGGAGGCTGTGCGTGCAGGGGCTAAATTCTTAGTGGTTCTCCAATTTCTGACCTCACCTCAACCTCAACCTTAACATCAAACCTCGTGAACTCGAACCACGTTCTCATCCCCTAGCCGAGACCGCCGCGCAGACACAGCAAACGACACCGCATTCGCAAGGCTGCCTACGGCTCAGCGATCGACATTTTCACGAGAAGCTCACCAAGTATAGCAGGACTGTCCTTCATCTGCCCTCGGCACGGAGTTGCTTCTCCATACCGTTCTTGGTCACTGCATCAACCCATCCCCGCCCGCTTCCTCTCCGAGATGTCGTCCGAAGACGAGCAGCAGCCGCAGCAGCCCCCTGCGATTAACTACGCTGCTGGGTTCCTTCTCGTTGGTCTGGCCTGGGGCCTCACCACACCGTTTATCCGCCGCGCCGCCAAAGATCATCGCCCACCACCACACCCGCTCCTCGACTCGGACGGCGTCAAGCGCAGCTGGCTCAAGAGCCGTCTCTACGGGGCCTTCTTTGCCGTAATCGATCTTCTCAGGAATCCGCGCTATGCGGTGCCCCTTCTCATTAACCTCACCGGAAGCGTGTGGTTTTTCTTGCTCATAGGGCAGGCCGGTCTGTTTTCTCCATTCTCTCCCGGAATCCGTCGTAACGTCCAATTTATAAAAAAAAAAAACCATCCATCTCATCTCAGTCTCCATCACCATGTCGTTTTTCTTGCATATATGTTATGTCTGCATTTATGAGTGGCTTCGTCGAGGGCCATAACATAAGTGGCGAGGCTGACGGGATTTTGTCCTCGTAGAACTGAGCTTAACTGTTCCCATTGTGAACACCCTGGCCTTTATATTCACGGTCATCGGTGACTGGTGGGTGGAAAAGAAAGTGATCAGTCGAGGTGAGCCTTTCCGGGTGGCTTACTCTGCGGGATCAGGCAGGACCCCCGTGAACAACTCACAGCGCTAACGAGTATGCAGAGACGGCGATTGGCATGATCCTCTCGCTTTGTGGAATAGGGCTTTGCGTTCAGAGCAAGACTGGTTGATAGGTCTCGTACATTGATAGGACTCGCACACGAATCCCGGTCCCAATTCCTGTTTTCCCCTACCCAAGTTGCTATTTCCCTTTCAGACGCCCTTAGACCAAATTAAGCCGACTTCTGAAGAGTGTGGTGTCTTGTTCTGCGGCGCATACAAGGCCATCTTGAAATAATAGATACAAGAAGAGATGAAATCTGAAATATGGTCCGACAAAATCCTGCGCCGGGCAGTTTCGTCTGTCCCACCATGGTCCTATTTTCTGTATGCGCCTTTTATCCCGATTCCCTGACCCGCTTCACGCATCGCTGTATTTACAAAAGAGAAGCGTATCCAGTCGCCAGATAATTCGAAAAGAAAAAAGAAGAAAAAAGAAGAAGAAGAAAAGTCGCATGCAATGTGCTCTCCAAAGCCCTCACTGTCGAGAGTGCCATCGTCAAGATGCTCGCTCATCGAAAGTCGAAGGTATGTGCTCATATAACATGGGGGCCGTTTCTCATTAGAGATTAGAGGATCAATATTAGCGTCGTCGTGCGCGAAGCCAGCGCTGCACGCTGCGCAAGCTGGGATCTTCGTCCGTCCAGCGGCCCATGGTCTGATCCGAGATTTGGAGTTCGTGGTAGACAACCTCGTCCGTGATCATTGAAAGCTCCTAGGATAAAGAATGTCAACTTCTGTCGGTCTTTCTTTCGGAAAGGCCGAGGTGGGCCAGGTCGAACCAGGAGAAGGGGTAAGAGTCGTGCAGGGTCATTTTTGCTCAAACGTACAGCTCGCAACTGTTGATCACAGGCCCTTAGGAGCGACCGATTACCGGTATGTGGCCGTCCGCCCTGCAGAATGGCTTCCCGGTTCTCAATCCAGCGCTGCGCCGCAGCTTGTCGGAGATAGATCTTCTGAGCTTCGTGTCTCCTGGCATACGAGTCCAAAAGGATTCTAGGCCGGACGCGCGTTAGCGACCTCCCATTTGCGCGGGAGGAGAAAGTAGGAACTAACTGCTTCAGCTCGGCCTTCTCCTGTTCCGCTTCTCCATCCGCCTCCGGGACCCTCGTGTCGGCAGCGCATTCCAGAATGTGGTGCCCGTCGATGGCGCATTGCCGCAGGGCCGCCCAGCCTTCGGTGTAGTAGTCTTCCACGTTGAGGGGTTCCGTGGGCGCAGCGGCAATGTGGTACTGGAGAGTCCGGAAGTCCGAGAGGACGTCGGCGACTCGCACCGTGCGGCGGTGGTTCACTGGTTCCCGGTTCGCGTTAGACTCGTCTGGCTCTCCACGATACCCCATACCCCATGCCCCGGGTCGCCATCGGCATCGGCATCGGCATCGGCATCGCCACCACCAACCACCCTTTCCCTTGACAACTTGCCACTGGCTGGGCCCACTTACATCCGTCCATGGCAGCGAGTGATATGGCCAAGAAAGAGATCGTATCGGAAAATTAAAAGTCGAAAATGTCAAGACGCAATGGTAATATAATACAGTTTGATATGAAGAACGATTGGAACGAGTGAGAGAAAAAGACGACCGCTGGACCAGCAAAAAGAATGACAAGGCGGTATGTGATAGTCGGCGAGATATTAACCCACTTGACGATCTCGCAGCCCTACTCCCATCAGAGCACCAGGCTGGAGAGGGGGAGATGGAGATGCCTTTTGTATATGGCGGTCCGAAGGCCTCCCAAAGGTCTCGTAACCGGCACATAGTCTTGAAATGAGTATAGGAAAAGGGGCCCTTTCCCCCCAGCCTTGTTCTCTTCGAGGAGAAACTCAACCGAATCTGGCCCAGGGGACCGCGCCATGGAATGGAGCATCACAGATGGCAAGACGGAAGATGCCCCATAGGGTTGCATGAGCCCAGGAAGACCTGTCGCCAGTCGAAAGGCTGCAATGGCCAAAGAGTACCAGACACAACACCGAATCGGGAAAGACATGATGCTCCTCACGTACCTGGGATGAAGAGGCTCTTGACAAGCTGCGAGCTAGCCTGCACGTTGACATGTCGTCCGACCCCCCGTCTCGTGCTGTCAATGGTTGACCGGCGTCCGGGAGGCCTGGCGCCTTCATGGCACTGACGCAGGAGAATAATCACTCGTGTCCCGCACAAGGCGGGCCGGGGTCATGGCTACGAGAGATAGGGAAAAGGGGAAGGGATTGTTCTGAGGGTGGAGATATGATAGATGGGCCGGGTCACATTGGACAGACAAGTCGGCGGGTATGACATGTTCAGATGGTTGGGGAAGGGGGGGGAGGAGGGCGGTGGAGTTAGACCAAGGTAGACAAGGGGTTTGAACGTAGACGGTTGACGGCCGAGGGGGTTGTGTAGTTGTACGGGTAGAAGGAGTGCAGAAGGGAGTGCGATGGGGGTTCATGAACCAAAAAGCTTATGGAATTCTTACTCGCGGAGATGACTTTGACTGGGGATTCTCAATGAATGGGGGGGGGGGCATTGGATGAAACACGAATACGTATCCGTACAAGGTAAAGTAAAGGTACATGCGGTGAGCAATATAGGGCATGCCCATCATCAAAATGGGGGACCGCAAGGATTTGGCTCATTCTTTGACAACCTAAAGACCTACGAAGTACAACAACGTAAGACCGCTGGACTTTCCGGAAGAACCAGCGCCCCGCAATCCCGCCAAGTACCCCGATTCGGTAGGGGGCTGGGGCCTTGCATGCATCGGAAAGACCACACTGGTGTGTCCCTCCCAGCAGAACGTGAACCAATCGCCGAGCGGTCAAGCCCAGGACCGGCACCGGGAACCTGGACCAGCTGAAGGCCAGCGATTTAAACGAGTGATTTTTGGGGGACACCATGCATTGGGATGCAGTATCATAAATTAAGTTACCTATGTGTCCAGACGATATCGCTCTTATGACTGGCTTGCGGATTTGTTTGCGGTTTCACTCCTTTCTCTTTCTCTATTTCTCTCTTTCTCTCTTTCTCTCGTTCTCTCGTTCTCTCGTTCTTTCGTTTACCTTGTCTCTTGCTCCCTCCGTTCCGGCCATGGCTGACGCATGCCCAGCTGGTTCCCCTTGCACTGTCTCGATCGGACCCGACCCCTTATCTTGTCTTATCCCAAGGATCACGGCGATCACCACGAGGAGAGCAGGGGAGCAAGAAGGATTATACGACAGTAATAGGCCCGAGGATCATCAACAAATCTCATGTTTCTCCTCCTCTGCATGTCCCTTTTTATTAACCACTCGCCAATCCGTCGCCATTTCCGGGCCTCCAACAGGATCATTGCTTTACTCTCGTTGCGAATGAGATAATCCGCTCCTTCTCACTGAACCAGAATTATTGCCACCTCCCGTATGCTGCAGATGCCTTGCCCCCAGACGGAAATATCTCCTTGCATAGTGACTGGCTGCCCTGTGAACCCTCTCGTAATCAATCCTATTGCGCACTTTCCTTTCCCTTCGCCTGACATCTGCCGTGGAACGCGAAAGCAGCCTTAACAGGCGCACTCTATTCGTTTTGAATTCACGTTTCATCCTCCCCAACCTGCAACCCCTCTCATAATACGAGACGACAAAAGCAGCCCGCCCTGCAACAAACCAAAATCAAGTCTCCTGGTCCGAGACTCGGGGTAAGCAGCTACAGTCAGCCGAGCCAAAATTTGCCTCAGCCATTCATTTTGGCTTGGTGCTTGCTCAACAAAAGTTAACAGTTACACGACAGGGAGACCATAATGCACAGGGGGGTTGGAAAGTCATTGATTCTTTCATCTAAACCGCTCATCATGTACGGCTAGTAGTACAGCACCGAATCCCTACGCCTGGACCGTCCGAGACAGAGGCCCTGACTTTGCCCAGCTGCTCGGTTTGCATGGCGCTTCATTCAGTTCACCTCACCGAGCCTCCAAGGGGCACCCCAAGGACACCTCCAATGCGAAGACAAGAAAAGAGCTTTCACCTGAGATAGGCTCCCTCCGCTCAATCCTTCTCCGCAATCGCCTGAAGCCGCTCTTCAATCTCGTCCTCGCTCAGTGTCCTGAACGTGGTATCTGTTCCCTCCTTGCCGTCTGCTCGAGGTCCGCCGACGATGCCAATCTCGATCTCGTTCTTCTTAAAGTCCACGCTGAGAACGTTGCTAAGCGTGGTGATGGCGAGTTCCACAACATCTTCCCACGTCCCAGGGGCGCAGTCCTTGCTGCGAAGCTTCTTCTCCAGATGGTTGAGGGCCTCTTGCTGTTTGGGGCCCGCAGCCGTGCCCTTATAGCCGATGTAGTAGCCGGCCGGGTCCGTCTTGTACAGTTGGGGCCCGAACTCCGAGTCCACCGAGATAAGAGTCGTCGCTACTCCGTAGGGTCTCATGTAGGCCTACAATTTTTTTTTAAAATACCCGTCAGTACGGTCCGCTGAGGCGCCGAACTTTTCCTCCCGGCTCTCCGCATCTCTTCCCAACCCGTGTCTTGACTCACCCGTTGTGTGTAGACTTGGCTGATGTTGGCCAGCCGCTTGGCCAAAGCGTCGCAGGGCATTTCATACCCATACTTGTACCGGAAATCCGCGGCCTCCGACTGGGCACGCTGTGCGAAAGCGCGAGCATCGGCGATGGAACCTGTCATGACGCATCCCACCGAGGGGGAGAGACGGAAAATGTGGGAGACTGAGGAGGGATCGATGAGTTTATCCTTGGTATGTTTGTCAGTTTACTGATCCTTGTCGAAGACGACCCCACGATGGCTTGTGCGGCGACGTACCGGAACCTTCTTCTGGGAGAGAACAACAGCACAGTCCTTGCCCCTAATACCTATGGACATGATATTCGCGGCTGTAATTGCCTTGAAGGCATATTCTGTCGCATTCGGTCGTCAGCTCCCACTTTGTTCGTCGGTTTCGAGCAGATCAGGTCAAGTGGTAGTCGCTTATTCCGGCTGGCTCGCAAGCACAAAATAAGGTCGCGGGGTAAAGGTAGAGATGGGTAGCCATACCGACTTGGTACAATCTCCCCTGCTCGGAGAAGATCGTGATGTGTCGGTCGTAAGCTGAGCCGCCTATGAGAAAGATGAGGCTGTTAGCAACAATGCCAGATCAAGACCAGCCGAGTTGACATGACGAACCCGACATGGTGAATGTATTTCAACGGACAAGCCGATCGCTGAAGGTGTATAGTTTCTTTGGATTTATGGGCAGTCGCTTAATGTGGAGGAGTGCTGCGGGTATCGGTCGAGCGATGGATGTCGGATGTCGGTTGACGTTGTGGGAGAGAGCTTGGATGAGCTCCAGCATCGACGCGTTGGCTAGCTTGCCTGGAGCACAGGTTAGTCGTTCAGTTTGCGTGCCAACTTCCCTGTCCAATAAGATCTCAGTATATGGACATCCTAACGTTCATTATGTAATCAGCCCACTACTTTGTACTTCTTGATATCCCGAACTGTCAATTCTTTTTCTTCTTTTTTTAACCTATTTTTCTTCTTCTTTTACTTTCGTACTTATATTTCTCCTAGTAAGGTAACATGGAAATAGAAGTTATATGCGTATCCGTGGATTTCCAATTGGGTAGACTGAGCCTGCGAGAACTGGTACTTGAATCCCTACCTTATAATTAAGGTACTCTGCTTCCAAAGGCACCTACCTTAAGGTAAGGTACCTACAGACAGGAAATATCCCACCGAAGATTCTCCGCCAGCTACGAGCAAGACTGTACAACGTACTCTGTACAGCTACGCCAAACACGGCCCCACCCTTACCCATGCCCAGCAAATTCTGTTTGTGTGGAGTGGAAGCATACAATTGGGAGGAATCAGAAGGCGGCTTTCCATGCCAGCGACATAACGGCATTCCACATATTAGCTGCAGCTAAAAGCACTTGGCTACAAATTTCTTCCGCCTGTCTTCTCAGCCAGGAACGCACATAACTGCCCCTCCATTCCGATATTGTCAATCAGAACTCGGCAGAAGCGTGTCGGAGGGAACCAGCGTGGCCGCTATCAACAAGAACATGTCGTCCTCCACGAATAGCACCCAGCGGGTGCCGGCCTGGAAGCGATTGGGCCTCAAACTTAAGCAACAGCCTGCAGCAGCAGGAGGTACAGACATTGGAAGCAGTGGGCCCCCCTCTTCCACACCAGGAGGATCGCGGCCCAACTGGGCAGGAACTCAGAATCTGGGCGTCAACGCCTCGGCTGTGACCACCAAACGAAAATTGCCTGAAAATTCCACGGATTCCCCTCCTGCGGCGGCTTCACCTTACAAAAAGGCCCGCACGAGCGACGCGGCCTCCTCTGCCACTCCCACTCTAAAGAAACAAAAGTCCGTCTCCTTCGCCGAAGACACGAAACCCGGCCTCCCTGCCCTGGCGGAGCGCAACGGCATCAAGACGCCGTCGAAGAAACAGGCCGTGAAGGCGTCGGCGCCGAAGAAACAAAAGAAATCTCAGCCAGAAGCGGATATCAAGCCGGCCCTAGCCTACCTCAAGGCGTGGAAGACGTCCCGGGACAGCTGGAAGTTCAACAAGAACCACCAGACTCTGTTGGTGAAGCGGGCCTTCCGGCCCGACGCTATCCCGTCCGAAGACATCGAGACGTTCTACGAGTACATTCGAGACTTGAAAGGGTACACGCGACAGCGACTGAGGGAGGTGGCGATGGAGGTCCGGAAAGAAGACGATGCCGCGCGGGGCAAGGAAGGGTTTCCGGAGGGGACTGCAGACCCCGATTCCAAGCAGGCCGAGTATGAAGCTCTCGTCGAAAGCTTTAAGAGGCTAGACACCGGAGCTGGGGGGTCAAAGAGGAAGAGGTTCGACGAGGTCGAGTTCGTGTCTCGAAATCTGGACAACGCTGTCACCCAGAGGGTCGTGAAGCGGATGCGGGCCGAATTGATACTGGAGGATTTGTCAGAAAGCGAGGACAGCACAGACAGCGATGCTGAAACGACGACCACCACGGAAACCTCCAAGACCACGGCCACCAGCGAGTCGTCGACGCCGGCGCCGCCGCCGCAAAATGTCGCCCGGGTGGACGAGCGGCAGCGGCTGCCGAAACTGGAGAATGAGACTCTGCCCCTGCCACGCGCGCGGCGGCGCAAGGTGCGCGTCATGGCTGATGACACGAGTTCGGACGAGTCGTCGTCGGATTCTGATTCTGATTCCGATTCCGAGAGCGATTCGGGGTCCGATGCCAGCGGCAGTGGAAGCGGCACAGACGGCAGTTCGTCGGACGAGGACGGCGGCGATTCCGCGGACGACGATGATACATCGAGCAGTGATTCCGCCGACTCGTCGGATGAGGAGACCGAAGCCGAATCGTCGGAGGATTCGTCGGATAGTGAAGATGAGCTGCCTAGCAAAGCGAGAGGGGCTCAGTTGAAGAAGGCGAGGTGAAAGGTTCTCGATCCAAAGATCAGGAACTGATGAACAGTTAATTGGACTTCGGATGGTGGAAACTCATTAATTGTAGAGTTAGACCTTTAGACACCACCTTGTAGGTGGGCAATTTCTAGCAATGGACAGATAAGGATACCCCCTTCCCCTAACGACGAGTTCCCAGGTCCCCAGAAAGCAGCTCGGTTTGTCGTGAAAGTCTTACGACGAAGCGTATAATCTTGTGAATCCCTGCTCCGGAGGCTGCAACCAGTTCCACTCGTCGTACTTTGTGCCGTCCTGCTCGATGGCATGGAAGGTGTATATGATTCTTCCCTTCTGGCTCGTGTTCTTCTCGCTCTTGTGCAACAGATTGCCGTGTATTAAGACGAGATCGCCAGCCTTCACCTCGCCAGGGACATACGCCGTTTCTGTGCCTTCGCCGCCCTTCTCGGCGTACTCGTCTCCGGGAGGAAACCGCGTGCCCTCGTTGGCGACCATATCGGTCCCGACGGCGACGCCCCCTTGCTCGCGACGCACGAGGCGCTGGCGGATAGGCGCCCCGCGGTGCGAGCCGGGCAGGAAGCTAAGGCAGCCGTTCGCGAGCGTGGCGTCCTCGAGGGCGTACCAGAAGCCGACGGCGGAGGGAGGGTCGGTGTAGAGGAATGTCGAGTCCTGATGCGGGGGCACGGCGCCGCCTATCTCGGGCTGCTTGCAGATGACCATGCTCTGGAGGCAACGGGGGTCGCGAAACCCGAGTGCGCGGGCGACGGCGGCGGGACGGACGGGCTGCGAGGTTTCCCCGGCGGCGGGGTCCGGGCGGGTGATGGCGCGGAAGGGAGCGGAGAGTTCGTGCAGGTAGTGGCCGATCTTGTTGACGGCGCGGGCTTTGGGCTTAATCAAACTGCCGTCCGGGCCGAAGGCATCCTCCTCGAAGAAGAAGCGGACCTTGTCGCCCGAGCTGAGGAAATAATCGTCACCTACGTGCTCCGCGCCCTCCTGGCCCGTTGAGAAGCGGGTCATGGGGTGGTCTTCGAGGGAGAAGGAGTCGAGTAGGCGGTGCGTCTCAGCCAGACAAGCGGCAACGGTGGAAGGTGTCAGGGCTTGTGGAATGATGAGATAGCCGTCGCGATAGAAGGTCTCGACCTGTTCCGGGGTCAAGCCCCCCGTCTCGTGGCGCTGCGCCGTAGCCATTGCGAGGGGCTAACGTGGGTGGTATACCGTAGCTAAATGAGTCCCGAGCAGTAAGAATCTTACTTTGACCGAGCGAAACGGAACCTATTGTATAGACAGGCGTTGAAGCTTTGTTGAGGTCAAATGTGCGTGTGGATGTCAGAGCTCAGGTTACACTGTACATACGGTAATTACCTGCTCCGTACTCCGCACGTTTTAGACCCCAGGCGGGCGCGGGGTGATCCAAACGGATAGCGCCGGCAAGGAACGGTGCACCTAGGGTACCTGGGGACCACATCTTGTACTCCGTACGGGAGTGACCTCTCATTCGCAACATCAGCACCAGTAAAAACGAGGAGCTAAGCCGGAGGCAGAACTCTCTCGGGATGAGGTAGGTACTCCCTCGAGAATTCCAGGTTGGGAGGAAGTGACAGTCGGTTTGATGGTCCCTGACGTCATTCGGGAGAGAAGGCACAGATATCGGAACGCGACGAACGGGTGGCATATGCTAACTGCTGCACTGCCCTTCCTCTTGCGCACCCTCGCACCTAATCAGAATTATCATGGTCCCGTCTGATATGCACCAGCCAGGAACCTCAGAAAATACTTGGGAAAGGACAAATACAAGCATATGAATGAAGATCGCTACCAGGGCTGTATTGAACGTCCCATCAATACCGAGTAGTAAAGGGAGAAGAAAAGGAAAAGGAGAAGAAAAAAAAAAGCCCCCCCCCCCCGGAAGATAAAGACTACGTTCGACCATTCCCATTGAAACGCCATGTGGTGGCATCTGAAGGCGATTAGATCAGGCGCCGCATAATAGGATGCAGCCCTGAAAGACAGACGCCCGCCAACGCCACGATCGTTGTCTCATATGAAACGGTGCAAATTGCAAAGCAATGGGCCCTGCCCACCAGAGAAAATGGAAGATGTTGGTAGAAAATCTAGGACCTCGGCGGACAGAGCCTAGGATACAGGGTCCTGCAGGAACTCGTAGTCGTCCTCGGGCGGAAGCAGGTAGGCCGAAAGGAGCAGGCCTACTGAGCAGAGCACCGCAATGGAGGCGCTAACAGTGCAGAGGAACCAAGACGTATCTAGGCCCCAGCCGGGAACGGTGAACTGATCGTCATTGTTGTAAATGTAGACCTGGCGGCGGAAAGGCGGCAGATGTATTGATTAGCTCGCTGGCGACACAAATAACAGGGAAATACCGAAGGAACGTCGTACCACGACACCCATGATGACAAATTCGACAAGAGCGGCCAGGAGAAGCAGGGGGCTCAGCACTTTCCAGCCAACCTCGCGCTTGAACTTGCCTCCTGCCATGACCACCACAAAGGAGACGATGCCGGCGAGATAGATGACGGTAGCGAAGGATGCAAGGAAGCCCATGGTGCGCCAGACGCCACAGAAATAGCGTTCGTCGCCCTGGCATTGGTCCTCGGTCGGGAAGACGCGGCATGGCGGATCGTTGAGATCTGAGCAGGTTTTGTGTAGACCGATGTGCTTCGAGTATGTCTCGCCGTCGACCGAAGTGGATGAGTAAGAAATCCAATTCGGAATCGCAATGGACGCGATGGTCATGGCCGTCGCTGCAGCGATATATTGGTGTTAGCCCATTTTCCTATTCAGATTCCTCGCTGGACATAAGTAGCCGGCGGTGATTCCCAAATAGAGGGGTCAAGGGTTCTGCGTAGTCAGATTGTTGGTCCTACAATACCCATGACGGCACCGAGCGGACGTGTATTGCTGCGACAAAAAGGAGGGGAAAACCCCAGGAGAAATAGGGGGCCTACCAGCAACGAAAGCCACAAGAGCAGAGTAGTAAACGTAAGGCCGGGTCATTTTGCCGTTGTTTTCAAATGGTAACTGAAGTCGATTCGGGACCTAATTATCTGATTCCTCCCAGTGATTTGAACTCGGCGAGGATGAATTAAAGAGTGGTGGAGATGGGAAAAAGGAAAATAAGAGTCTGCTGGTCGCTTCATCTTCACCAGGCGCAACCTTGGATATGCACATGAGAACTAACAAGCTGCTTATCACTCCCAAATAGGGAAGCTTCGCACCCAGCAGAGGTTGAGTGTGGAGACATGACGGTCCGCAATCCAAGAAGTACACTGTATAAGGGGAATAAAACAGCATGTGATTGGTGTCTCTCTTAATTGTGGGCCACATTGTCTAATAACAGGGATGACTATTGAACGGACCGTAGCTTTTACGGTTACGTAAAGGGCACGGACTGTCGGATACAGCGTAACCGTACGGTAGCCTCCGACTAGGGGAACCAGTTCCTGTGCATCACTCCACCCGCACCGTCTCAAGCGCAATCGGGCGATCCTTTGCATAGCGACATGAGAACCTTGGAAAGGCAACACTACGAAATCCGGGTTACCTTGCATGGTAACTGGTAGGAAGGGAGACAGAGACGACAGATACTCCACAGTGTTCTTAGGACCCCTTGTTGGTATTATTGGTCGGTGGAAACTTGTTCCTCGGCATCGAACTATCACACGCGCTAGCTTAATTCTCTGTAGCCGTATGGGCGGCGTGTCCTCGTATCTGCCGTTAGTGGTGATCTGGGGAGGGATTCTTATCCTCACCAACTTTTCTTGGCCACGCTGAAATGGTGTCTGCCTTGATACTCTGCTTCCCTCTTCTGATTCTCTACTAAGCACCATCTGGCTCTAGCAACAATGGCCCCTCCTCCTTTTATTGTTTCTATGTCCCAGGCCATTCTTCCGTTCGTTAACCTAGGAAGCCGAGCACGAGGGCAGCGGACACTCCGACGAGCAGATAACTCGTCTGGGGTTTGGAGAGAGCACCTTGGTTCGGGTCCGTGGTCCTAGCAGTTCTGTTGAATCGTTAGCAACGAGTGTCCCTGCCGCAGAGCCGCGGCCCCCATGGCGGAACTCAAGATGGAGCCAACAGGAGAAACCTACATCTGTCCGTCGCAGTCGACGAAACCGTTGCCACTCGCGCCTGTGTGGGTGATCTGGCCGGCCAGCTCACAGTCCTCGGTAATGATAACCCGGTCGGGGCCAGGGCGACCTGATGAAATCTCCGGCGTCAGCACGCGCGCCGTCGAAGGAGCACTTCCCCCTAGCACTCGTCTCCCCTCTCCTCCTCCTCCTCCTCCTCTTGAACCTGTCCTTGTCCTATCCTCCCCGGGTGCAACTCACCTCCGGTGTAGACGCGGCCAGAGCTAAGGAGAGGGAATCCTTGGTAGGGTCCATCAATGCCGTCGAACTCGAAACCCTCGAAGTTGCGGTAGGCGTGCGGATAGGTAGACCGGCCGGCGGTCGTGCCGCTCTCAAAATGTTCGCAGGCTGCGTCGGCAGCGGCCTGGATTTCCTCGCGACTGTATTCGTTCCTGCCACAGACGACGTCTTGGGCGACGACGTGGGCGCACAGGGCGAGAGCCGCAACGGCGAAGCTGAAATACTGCATCTTCGTCGAAAAGAAGGAGGAGGTCGGAGGGCGGATATTAACTTTCACAAAGACGGATATCCGTATCGTCCTTCAGAATGATCGATCGCTCCCTCTTAAGACCTGTCTGTAGATTGAGGGAGCCGTCTTGTGTCCGCCAAGAGGACGCAAAACACGCGGAGATGTTTGGTTGGCGGACGCCGACGGGAGAAATTACGGATACACTTGGCTCGTCATTCACTCAGGGTCCGTGTCCTTGTTGAGTCCCTTGAAGGGTCCTTCCTCAGCCAAACATTCCAGCTTAACAGTGACTCGGTGTCCCTGTGCTATGACTAAGGTATTGGCACCTTATCTTGTTGTATAAGGTGCCTTAAGGTAATGTAACCTTTGTACTTCGTGATTCATTGTACGGCGTTTTCGTACCTGCGTACGATCCGTATCCGTACCATTCTCCAGATTGCCCCACGATTATTAAGGATTGTTTGGCTGGGCCTGAGGTCTGCCCCCTACGTTGTACAGCATCTTTATTACTGGCTTACGCGGCCCAGGGAAGGAACGGGCAAATCTTGGCATAGTTCTTGACTCCATTGGACGCATGCGCCGGCCACATCACACAGCTCATCCAGGTATCAGTGTACGTATCCGTACTGTATATAAGGTACCTACCTTTAGGTACGGTACTTGGAGGTAAGTCATAAGGTACCTTATTAATACATCGACCCCGTAATTACGTTGTACATGAAAACGTGATAGCCACGATGGGATTTTCCCCGGGGCGCTCAACCCTCCCCGGGCTGTTCTGAAGGGGCAGGTAGTTGATCGGTCGGAGATCTCGGCTCGATTATCGACTCCATGCCACCAACTCCCTCGGACCAGCGACTCTTCCGTGCTCTCTACCTAACAACTTACCCCGCTATTTCAACTAGGACCCTTCCAATTCCACCAAGCCCTTCGATTCCCAGGGCAGCAGATAGATCTGCATATCAGAGAATCCAACGCAGCGGAACCAAATCTAGATAGGCCCATGGCGTCAATGACTGGCTGTATGGGCGGTCACGCCAGAGACTAGCTATGTTTGAGCAATCCTTCCGATGCATGACACGCTTTAAAACGCGCGACAGTACGAATAACTAGTCCAAAAAGGAGATACCAAAAAAAAAAAAAAAAAAAAAAAAAAGACGTTCGCGGGACTAGATAGAGAACCGGAACACTACCAGTTAGACTCTTGTCGCTGGGGACCAGCCATCGGCCATTCTTCTTGCTTCTCCGCTCTCGCTTGTTCAAGTCGATGATACCCATCAAAGTCTGATGCGCGTCCCGTTTTCATCTCCCCTAACATTTCTGCCACCCATCTATTACCATGGACATCGCTGAGAATCTGGTTTGCGCCTTCCCGTCCATCCCGAGCTTTGTTTGAGGAGTTCACGGTTCCTATCGGTTGCCCCCCTCCAAAAAGTGGATCGAACATGCCGATTCGCCATTTTTGAGTGTTCGCCCCCCAAGCCCCGTCACCCCCCGAGTCTCCTCGATATCTCGAGAGGATTAACAATCAAAAGCGCCACACGGAGTTTCCAAAGGCAACGACGCCTTTCCCTCCAATTTAATAGAGAGGAAATAAACGCAGAAATGGGAGACCATCGCTGTGGTGAACACCGACCCGTACAGACGAGCGCTGTTGTAGTTCTCGGGGCCTCGAGAAAGAACACAGCCCCGCCTCCATCGCCCCCATCACCACCTGGAGATATCGGCGACCCGGTGGCCTCGCTTTGCCTGGATGCCCTCGACAACGACCTGGCCAAGGAGGAGGCCCTCAAGACCGCTTCGCGGCTTCGAATGGCAGTCCACGTCCTGGATACGGAGGCTGCGGCACTACGGTCCGTGACACGCCTGTACGAGACGGACCCGATCGCGCGGGATGGCTTTCACCGGACGGTTGAGTCGATTGCGCGCCATAAAGACGGGCGGGGGAAGCTGGTGATGACAGGGGTGGGGAAGTCGGGTCACATCGCGAAGAAGCTCGCCGCAACCTTCAACAGCTTGTCGCTCCCTACGGTGTTTCTCAACCCCACAGACGCCCTGCACGGCGACATCGGCATGGTCGGACCGGACGACACCCTCCTTTTCATCACGTTCTCGGGAAAGACGCCGGAGCTTCTGGGTCTCCTGCCCCATCTGAACCGGTCGTCGACGCTCGTCTTGCTGACGGGCCATTCTCGGCCCCGTACCTGCGACTTCGTCAAGCTCCGTCCGGATACCATCCTGCTCCCGGCCCCGGTGCACGAAAAGGAGACGACGTCGTTCGGCGTCGCGGCGCCGACAACGTCGACGACGGTAGCGCTGGCCGTGGGCGACGCGCTGGCCATCGCCACGGCGCAGGAGCTGCATTCGAGCGTGGCGAGCGTTTTCACGCAGAACCATCCGGGAGGCGCTATCGGGGCGGCGTTTCGCCAGGACCTCGAGGAGACGCTCAGGGACGTGGCCATCCAGTGGGAGGAGATCCCGGACGTCCTGGGTCCCGAGAGCCTCGCTGCCGACGTCCTCCGGGAGGGTTTCGATTCAGCCACGAAGTGGGTCCGGGCCGGGAATGAGGTCGCCTCGCCCAGCAGGATCAGGCGGCTGTGCCGGGCGGGAGCGGGCGAAAACTTACAGAAGCGGATCGGAGATGTCGAGGGGCTCATGGTGCCGCGGCATGAGATGCTCTCTATCTGCGCCGGCACGAGCATTCGGAGAGCGGTGGAGTTTGTGAGGAACGCGAGAGGGGCCGCGGCCGATGAGGAGGAAAGGATGATATGTGGACCCGAGTCGATACTGGCAGTCTTAGATCGAGGGACTATTGTGGGCGTGCTCGAGGTTGGAGATCTCTTGGATCGGCCAGAGGGCTTATGAGCGGTTGAAGCAAGGGATAATTCTTGGGCTCATTGATAGAATGCGTCTCTTTTCACTCCCTTTCTCTTTTTCTTTTTACCTTTCCTTTCCTTTCATTTCCGTTTTTTTTTTTTTTTTTTTTTTTTTACTTCTCCTCCTGCCACGAAGTTACGAAAGTTGTTTCTAGTCGATACGTTAGAGCAATGGGAGCCGGGATCAATGATATTGCCGGATGCGCAACTGCATGGCAAGATGAAACGAATACAATACACTAGACCGCAATAGTCCAATGGCAACCTGAAGAGATCTGGTGCGTTAACACGACGTCGCTTGTTGCGAATACCGGTAATTTACCTATAGGTTGATTTCCTGTTCAGTTCTCCGAAGGTTCAGCAAAACTTTGGGATACTTTGGCAACGGGATCCAGTGGATGGAGGTTGTTGCGTGCGAGGCCGGTATTCCTCCATCCTCCGCCAATCGCGGAGACGTCTCGGACATCCACCTCGAGACAAGGCCAGGATCCGTACGTTGTACAGCGGAAGACCGCATTTTCTCACTCGTCAACCTCAGGTCCCTGCGTACGAATAGTGTGCAATAGGATAGGGCAAACCATTAGCGGTCTAGGAACAAGACACGGCCGAATCCAAATTGGGATGCATGATCAGGCGTTCATAATACGCATCTACACTATATACCATGACTTTGGTCCATTCTTTTGCTCGTCCCCTTTTTAAGGGATTTGCGACTGATCCAAGTCCCTAATTGGTGATAGTTAAGGCATAAATAGAGGTTGGGGATGATACATACAACGTATGTATGAGAAAAGGAACAGGATTGGATAAGGTTTCTCACTAATAAGGTACCTAATAATTACGTTGTACCTTTTGGACGGACGGAGTTCCGACGATGCATCGCGTCTACCGTCTGCCAGGGACAAGCTCATCGCTACCTAAGGTAGTCTCTCCCCCTTGTCGCGTACCCCTGGGGTTCCGGGTGTTACGCATGTCAGCACAGCCAAACAGAAGGCGAGGACCAGCTCCAGCCTCCTGCATTTCTCGTCTTGGGGCGGGCTTGAACCTGGTAACCAGCCACAATAATTCCCGGATTCTTAGGGCTGTCATTGGTGGGGTAGATCCCCCAACCACGCGCATTGATCGGAGGATGTACCGTTTCCCCCTCCCTTCGTACCCGTCTTACAACGTAGGTACCTTAGGTACAACGTACAGGATGACGGGAGGCGGGGGGTTCCTGCTGACTGGGGAGATCTGGGCGCGTGTTCGAGCAATTGGAACCGAGCAACAGTGACGAATAGTGCCAATGAGTAAATAAGGTACCTTCCTTCCCTGAGCCCGAGGTCATCATCTCTGCATTCCCCGGAAACCTCGACTTCTCAGCCTTCTTTCTTATCGTCCACACTTCTTTGCCATTTTCTTTTCCTCCCTCCTACACCTCTACTCAAACTTTTCTCCTTACATTCTTTTCCTACCTTTTTACCCTTCTACCCTTCTACCGCTTCATCGTCATTGAAGCTGGTATGTTGGTGACGATCACTGCCTTTGGCTTTTCTGTCTAATTTCTCACCCCGCCAACACCAATTGTTCATCGTCTTTCATCTCGGGGTGTTTCTTTCTTTCTTTTTCTTCTCTCTTTCTTGTTTTGTTTTGTTTCACCTCCACGTCGCTGTTTCCATGATAACCGGCCCTTTACAACATCCCCCGTCTGCCGTTGCCCATGTAACAGTCAATGGTGTCTTACATTAGCAAAGTCACGACGACACGATATCCTCAGATCCAAACTCCAACAACACGACCCGTCGAGCGCCCTCCAGGGTGCTCACCCGAAGCGTAGAGCTTGTCGAAGCCCATTCCTCTCACCACCACCGTCAACGCTACCTTCATCGTTATCTACACCAACTTACAACCGCTGTGAAGCCCGACGCCGAGGAAGACGAGGAACAACACTGGCCATCATGTCGAACAAGCCAAAGACCTTCCTTCAAAACGGCATGCATACAGCCGGCATCTTCTCGGACCTCAGTGTCGATGGTCCCGAAATTGGCACCGTCGTTGCTGTGGTCGATCGAGCCAAGAACCTGCCGAATCGGAAGACCATTGGCAAGCAGGATCCTTATTGTGCTGCTCGTCTGGGGAAAGAAGCTAAGAAGACCACGACCGACATCCGAGGCGGCCAAACCCCAAAATGGTAAAGTCCTACTCCCATCCCTTGTTCCGTCCCTGATGCGTTGGCTGATCAACTCCTCGAATGCTCCAGGGACCAGGAGCTCCGTTTCGTCGCGTACGACTCGCCCGACTACTACCAACTGAAGGTGTCCGTCTTCAATGACGACAAGAGAACCGACTTGATTGGAGAAACCTGGATAGACCTGCGAGACATCATCGTACCCGGCGGAGGGCTGAGCGATCTCTGGCATAGCCTATCGTACAAGGGCAAGTACGCCGGCGAAGTCCGCATGGAGATCACCTATTACGACTCCCGCCCCAAGCCCGAAAAGCCTGCAGCGAAGCCCAAGCCTGTTGCTGCCGACCAGCAGGACGGTCCAAAGCCGACAACCACATCCCGGACACCCGTTAAAAGGCGACCCCTTCCTTCCGATCCTGTCACCGGAGAAGTGGCGGAGCCAGCCGCTGTTACACCTGTGAGGGCTCACCCTATGCAGCCGTCGGCCTATGTCTCGAACCAATCCCCGGTGCAGGCTGCAGAGTACAACACCCCGCCTCCTGGTGCCCCTCGTCAGTACCAGCTGGAACCATACGGCCATTCCCCGCATGCAGCCCCTAATCCCCATCCCAACTCGTACGGGACACCTCCAGCTCGCATGGACGTGTCCCAGCCGCACACCCCGACCTCGGGTAATCGCCAGGACGTTTATCTCAGTCGGGCCGAAGAAAGAGACTATAGCCCCCGGCACCATAGTCACACTCAGCTGTCTTATCCTCAGAGAGATTCTCTCGGGTTCTACAGCCCGCGTTCCGACCGATACGATGCTCCTCCGCCTATCGATAACTACCGACAAGAGCTTCCGGCTGGCGATGATCGGCCTCCTCCGCCACCCGTCCACAGAAGCAGGCACAATAGCAGCGTGGGTTCCCAAGACATGGTGGTCCGCAGCTCCTTCGAAACGCCTCCCAAGGGGACGTCGCCCATGCGCCACGACGTTTTGAAGCACGAGGCCCACCGCCGAGCACCGTCGTATCCTGGACGGCCGGCTTACAGGCCCTACGACTCGTCACCCGCGGCGCCGAACCCCATGTCATCTCCGCCGGCTGACAACGCCTTGACCCATCAGCCGTCGCCGTCCCATCGTCGTTCGCACGAAAACGGCCATGATGCGTACAGGTCGATGCAGCCCACGGTGGAAGATGTCCCCGAGTCTCCCACACCAGCTCGGAAAATCAGCCAGGGCCACCCATGGACGCCGCAGCGCGATGAGCCGACCTATGACCAGCACGTGTCACCAGCGCCGGTGAACACGACTGACAGGGGAAACGCGGCTCCCGTGCCATACAGCAGGTCTCCGCAGTATGAAACCATACAGTATGACCAGTCCGCCTCCCCGGCGCCATTGAACCTGAGTGGGAAGGGGAATGCGATGCCACCCCAGTACAATACCTTGCCGCAGTCCAACCATCCCAGCCAGGACGACTATAGGCACCAGCAACCCTCGGTCTCCCCATTGTCTCAGGACAGGCACCGGCAGCCTTCGGTGTCGCCATTGTCTCACGGAGAATACGACTTTGTCTCAACCGAAGCCTCTCACCATACGCATAACAGCCTGGAGCAGCACGCACCCCAAGCGAACGAGCTCCAAGGCAATGAACTCCAGCTTTATGGGATGCCATCTGTACCTCCATCACTGGTCCCTGGCGTCGATCCCATGTCAGCGCAGGAGGTCGCCGATCGAATGCATCAGGAAAGGCGACAGGAGAGGCGTTACACGTCCCAGGATATAGATACTCCACCTCGTGGAAGGTACCATCCGGAGCATGCAAACTACGCAAACTACGCCCGGGAGGGCTCGCACGGCTCGCCACAAACCTACACGTCGCAGTCGTACGACGATCGGTCGGTCATGACCTACTCGAACGTCGCTCCGGCTCAGAATTATCAGCTGGTCAAGGCAAGTTCGGTTTCCCCGCAGCCGATGCCGAATCCGATGCCCAACCCTCAACATACGATCAAGCGAAAGTCGGTGAGCCCAGCACCGCCACCGCGAGATGATCCCTCGGAGGGCCGCAGGCTCTCTGGCGTCCCTTTTGGTCCAGATTCTTATGATGCTCTCAACCCTGTCTTGTCATCTGGCAAGGACGCAAACGAGCCAGACTCAAACGGGAAGATCATCACTCATGACGGTCGAGAGATCGACCCTTCGGACCACTTGCCCATGGAGACCTGGGCCCCCGAGCCCGAACCCAGGCCGGCCAAAGCCCCGACGCCGGAGACGCGACCACGGCCAAATGGTGCGCAGCCAATGCCTCCCTCTGGTCGCCGCCCTCTTCGTGTGGCTGGTCGCCCGCACTCGCAGTCCGCGGCTGCCCTACCACCTCCTTCCTACGGTCTATCCGATGGATCTTCCGCCGTTGCCCCGCTAAGCGGCAACCGAAACCGTCTGCAGAAGAAAGCCCAGCGTGTCTCCGCACTTCCGGCACCACCTGCTGCCGACTCTGGGCCCCTGGCCCCCATCTCATCGCACAACTACCAGGAGGGCCCGGGCAACGGCTTCACTCCGCCCCAGCGCTTGCCCCGTGCGAGTACATGGGATTATCCCAGCGAGAACCGCGCGCCTCAATACGGTAGCTCCCCAGGAAGCCGTGCCATGACGGGGCCTCCCCTTCCGGCCAAGGTCCCTCTGCCAGTGATGAGCGGTGCGTTGGTTCGCAGTGGGGGCGAACCAACCGGTGAGGACTGGGCTTTGATGCAGGAGATGAGCCGCATTGACATTGGCACCGGTAGGTCCCGGCGGCATGGCGGATACTAAAAGGTGGTACGTAGACTATGCCGTCTGAATAGTTGAGTATGTATGACGTTGATGTTGTATTATGATCTTTTTTTTTTCGTCTTCTTTTTTTTTTCTTCCTTTTTTTTGTTCCTTCTCTATCATCTCCATGATTCGGCGGCGTTACGGCTCTCAGTCTACTTCATATTTGCCCGGCTCTTTGTTAATCGGGTATTGCTCGGCGGCGAGAATGTCTGTACGCATGAACGGAAAGCATAATCCGAGGAACAGGATGGGAATGGATGGGTAGGGTTGAAAGGAAAGCCGAGAAGGCAGCGAACGACTAGGTATAGTATAGATAGACCAGGGCCAGGGAAAGGCGGCCCTTTTGACAGAAACAAAAGCCTGTCAATCATTACGTTTGCTTTCTTTCTTCTTTGCCACCAGTTTTGTCGTTTGCCGACGCAAGCAGACACAGGATACGAGTGATGAATTTACTCTTGTTAGTCTTGACCATAGAGATTAAATAGACAGAATCACCGACACCAAATGTGTTCAGACCGTAATCAGGGGATATCCTGGAGGCAACCTGACCCCTTGAAGGTGGATGTATCCTAAATGCTAGGTCTCCTTCCGTATGGGAACGCATTGAAACTGATATAATCATTTAAATACAGACATATATTCGAGGCGGAGAGCTCACGTGAGACAAGTATCCGTAGTTCAATTGGACCTGGAACAAAGTAAAGGAGGATTCTGCCACTATGGAGGGAAAACGGGGCCGTGTGCATCTTGATTGCGCTTCACTACAACTTAAAGCCGGTACTCGACATCTTAGCCTCGGGCTTGGCCTTGTTGCCCGCCATGTCCACCACCTCGCCCTTGCGATTGATGACCTTGACGCCGCCTTTCTTGAGGTCCGCCAGGGTCTCCTTCTGCATCTTCGCCCGCCGGCTCATGGGCCTCTTGCCAGCATCGCCGGCGCCTGTGCCTGTGCCTGCAGCGGCGGCCGCTGCGCCATCCACCCCGCCGGCCCTGCGGACGCGCTCCTTCTCCCGGCGACGCAGCCGACGCTTCTCCTCGCGCGTCATCTCGGCCCGCGCCACGGGCAGCCCGCTCTTGGCGACGACCTCGCCCTTCTCGACGGCGTCCTTGTCGGCGCCCGCCTTGTAGACCTCCTGCGGCGCGAGGCTGCTCTCGGCCCCGGCGACGCCCTGGGCGGTGGCCGGCTGGGCGTCCTCCATGGAGATGGTGGCGGCGTCGGTGACGACGGTGAGGCCCGGCTCGGCGGGGCGGGGGCGGTAGTGCCAGCTGCTGAGGGCGTCGAGGGTGGCGCTCAGGTCCTTCCACATGCGGGCGATCTCGGCCTCCTCCTTGCGCATCTGCTCGTCGGCCTTGCTGACGTAGCCCTCCGGGTCGGCGCGCTTGTTGTAGTCCTCCTCGTACAGGTCGGCGAGGCCCTTGCTGCTCTTGGTGTCCTCGAGCTCGACGAGCCCGCGGCGCGTCCCGGACGAGAGGGCGGGGGCGTCAGGGCGGCGGCGCAGGACCTCGTCGAAGTCTTGGGCTAGGATGCGCCGCTTGATCAGGTCCTCGATGCTGTCGGTCACCTCGGTCGTGATGACGGGCACGGGTTTCCCGCCGTGTTCGAAGTCGAGGTCCTGCTGGAGCAGCGAGTTGACGGGGCGGTCGACGGCGCTGGCCTCGCCGCTGAGGGTCCACTCGCGCTTGGCCACGGCGGCGGCCTCGAGCTGGCGGATCTCCTCGGCGAGCTTCGCCTGGCGCCGTTCGTGGGCCGAGCGGCGGGAGCGCGGGTCGCTGGCGGATACTTCGGACAGTGCGTCGTCCGAGTCTTCGCCGTGGTCCGAGTCGTCGTCGAAAAGATCTCGGCGCACGTCGTCCATGGCCCGCTCGACGTCCTCGTCGGCAATCGGTTTCGGCTTGAAACTGACCGACTTCTTCTGCTTGTCTTTTGAGACTTTCCTGGGTGGCGGGGCGAAAAAGTCTTTGTAGTGGATGTCGTTCGCGTTGAATTCGGTATCCTCGGGCACGTCGTCATCCATATCCTCGTCCTCGCTCTCTCCCTCTGGGGCGTATAGATCCATGTCTCCGAAGGTAGGACCGCCTTCCTCGTCGTCGCTGCCATCGTCACCGGCTTCGTCCTCCCAATCGTCTTCCTCCGCGCCTGCACCTTGCTTCTTCCCTTTAGTTGCAGTAGCGGTCAGGGGGTCGGCAGTCCAATCGATTTCCTCCTCCTCGCTGACGGCATCAGTGTTGGGATCGCCTCTGGCGTCCTGTTCTTCAAACCACTGGGTCTGTCTGTTGAAATCGTCTATCGAGAAGAAGCCGTCGTTGAGTCCGTGAGGGTCCTCGACGTAGACGTCGGCTGGTCCATCAGAGCCGTCGTCATCGTCATCCTCCTCTCCTTCCCTCATTTCGTCGCCATCTTCCCCGATATCATCCATCATTTCTTCCTCCGCCACGTCGTCTTCCAAACCGTCCTCGTCCAACTCGAGGTCTTCCTCGGAACCATCGGATAGGGAGTGGCCATCCTCCTCCCCTTCGCTCCCCAACTCTTCTTGTTCATCTGAGTTGAGGTCGGAGACATCCTCATCGGAGTCCAGAGCCTCTTCCTCGCCCTGGACACCGTTTACCACCACGACCTCGTCATTTTCCTCGAGTTCCTGGAGCGTGGCCTCGGAATGGTCCAGGGCGCTCTGAATAATTTTCCTGGCCTGCTGCCACACCTGACCTGTCTCAAACCCGTCCAGATAGACCTTACGGATCTTCAAGACCTCGATGGGAGCAGCAGCCGCCCCATCTCGTTTCCTCTTCTTGTTCTTGTTCGCGTCTTTGAGTCTCTGGAGCTGCTCGTCGCTCACCTGCCCGGCGAAGGCATCGAGTGTTTCCTTGACGATTTGCAGGGACGCCGTAGGGATGGCTGGCGGCGGCTGGAGGAAGACGTGCTGGTTGGCCGGGGCGAGGTTGTCGAGCAGAGCGGCGACGTCGACGAGGCCGTTCTGTCGGGGCATTTGGGCGGCCATTCCCGGGGCGAAGCTGAGGGTGTGGGAGCTGGATGTCAATGAGGAGGTGGTACTGCCCGCGGCCATTGTCCCGCTGCTTTGCCGCCCGTTTTACCTAAGGAAATGGAGATGAAAGTCGCCAGTGGGCGGATCTCGGCGAAGTCCAGTCCAAGGCAATGGTTCCAAAGAAAAGAAGAAAAAAAAATTGGACCCCGCTAAAGTCCCAAAGTTGGGTCCTGTGGGTCCGTGTTTTGCTTGCAATTGTGGCTTATGCACATATGGTGTAAAATACAGGTACGTATTGCATAAGGTATACTAGTGTCTGTACGAATATGTCACTTACCAAAGCCATGTATCCGTACCCGCAATGCTTCTACATTACCTAGGTAGCGATGCAATTACCTAATACACATTGGATAAGGTAGTTGAGCATCGAGTTCTTTGATTTCCCACGCAAGCAAGACCGACCGCATGGGAAGCGACGGACCTTGCGCAATGAGATTCAAATCTGGACCCTCTATCTATGTACAATGTTAGTCATCCTTCTTGGTAAATAATCACTCCGCGAATCTATCCGCAGAATTTTCAGCGTGCCTAGATCTGCGCGGTGTTGCTCATTGGTTATGGTCCCGAATGCCAAAATGCGGATGCTAGCCGTAGCATTTCAACTAGCCCACGCCGATACCGGTCTTGTGGGGAAGGGAGCTCGGCTGCCCTCTCCGGGACTTATCTGGAATGGTGAAAGGTAAGAATAAGGTAGAGATAAAAGAACGTGTTTCGTTTCGCGCGCCGGTATCCCTACTGTCTAGAACCTGCCGTAGTGTTATTTAACGTCGTGGAATTTCGGAAAAGAGCAAAAGCGCAGTTGAAAAAATAAAAATAAAAAGGTAAGGTATGAGCATGTGAGTTCGGATCCGAAGTCGTTTGGCACTTGAATTTTATACAAAGTACGAAGTAGCAGATTAGGCCAATGACCATCCCACATCATGTCAACCCGGAATAGGTGCTAGAATATTCTTCCCAGTATTATGTACGAAGATCAGGGATGGTGGGTTTTTGGAGCCTTTTGCTTTGGGATCCCTGGACCCTTGTTTCTTTTCCGCCCAGGTGCCTTCTCTCCTGTACGTGTAGACTGTTCTTCGTAGCAGACATTGCTGTGTATTATCCGTGTCCGTATCTGTGCGGTTATTCGTACTCGGATACTTGGCACTTAATTATATTCATTCGTAATACTCCAATTGGTCAGTCTGTCGACAGTCTTAGAACTTCATGTTGACAGAAATATCTCTGTCCAGGCTCTGGCCAGCGCAAAATTCCCTGTTCGAGCTCTGACCTCGTAAAGCCCTATTTTTCACATGTAAAGGGTTAGGGACTGCTTAGCATGGATTGCGCAGGTCCATCTAGCTAGGTACAGTACCCTTGCCAACTTCGCAGTCTTCTTTGGCGGGTCCAGGACCCCAGTTCTCTCCGGATGCACATGCTTCGTACTTGGGTAGATACGCACTGACGCCACGAGACGATGGAGGGAGAATGCAACTACTGGATGGGTCAGGTGAGTGCGGGTTGCAATGGCCTCCCCCCACGCCCGTGCTCTTAAACGGTCAATACTTCATGATTCATATATAAAATGGGAGCATTGGGCCATGGTTACAACAGTGAAGCGGGGACACGAAGCGGCATTTATTTGTCGTGATACTCGGTGTGGAAGGATGTCGCACCCCAGCCGCTGCCTTCGCGTCCAGGAACGAGCCTATGATAGCAAAGATTCTCGGTATGAGAGACAGGGACCGACGGGACGTGATCCCTTGCAGAATTATCAAATCCGTCCTTGCGTACGAAGTACGGATACCTTGCACAGATCCTTCTGCAGACTGCAGTCCGCAGACCGCGGACCGCAGACCGGAAGACCTGCAGTGCAAAGTAAAGTTTAGGCAGGGTGCTGAGTGTGGGCGTTCTGGTTTCAACCATTGTCCAATCACCTTGCCCGATACGCTTCGTACTACGCGATAACACAAAGCCGCTCTGCCCGCCCTCAACGAAGACCTCATAACCACTACCCACATTGCGTACAACGTTCCACGCTAATGAGCTGTGGGAGGGGCGGAGTCGGCGCCAGCGCCAGCGCCAAGTCAAGGGTACCCATCGTTTCGTCCCAGTCCAGGCCTTTCCCCTCGCCCCTCCGGAATAAATGGTCGGAAGAAAACAAGAACTTGCCTCCTCGGTTTAGGGACGAAGTATCAACGACTTTTATGTTTCTTTCGCTCGTCACCTTCACCCTCACCCTCACCCTCGCCCTCACCCTCACTCTTTACAAGACATTGCGCATCGCGATCTACGACGTTATATAGCTTCATCTACCTCATAGTTACTTAATCAGTCCCTCGTTCCTGCTTTCGGCCTTTTTCCTCCACCCTCTCTTTCTCTCCCCCGTCTTAACCTACCCGTCGTTGCGTCACCCCGCTAGCGGAGAGTCCCATAGAAGGGGATACGATAACTCATCAGCCCAGCCACCCAACAGCGTTCTCGGTCAAATTGTACAAAGACGACAAAGCCACCTTCCAAAGTCGTATTACGGCTCACCGAAGATTTCTGCCATTGCCGAACTTTGTCACTCGCTCCGAGATCACGAGCAAACCGAGAACAGGAGCACGATAGACGAGTTTTGTCGAATCATTCCGGTTTCCTCTCGATATCCGTGGACTACCTTAGTCCAGAAGGGCTTCCGTGTTCTTCTTCTACAGCCATCCTCTCTATATATATCAGACAGAGCACGCACGCATCATCGAGGACGAACAAGTGCACAACTCAAGGGGTTGCGCATTCGAACCGTATCCACCGACGGCCTGTATGTTTGAGCGGCAGCCGAGCAAAACAACGACAACGTTTATACATACGTGCGTGGAAGTAGGCCGAGACGATAGTCTAGGTGTTAGGTATGAAGTTCGGCGAGAAGCTTGAGCAGGAATCCGTTCCCGAATGGAGCCTTTGTATGTGTTCTCCCGCTTCCCTTTCCGGCGCTCACTTCTGCCTTTCTCCTCTCCTCCCCTCTCCCGGCTTCCTTGCGCAATGCATGCATCCCAACGTCGTCACATGTCGCACAGACCACATACTACCGCATCGAGCTCCATCTTAAACTAACGTGCATCTTGCCCCTTTAGATAATGTCGACTACAATTCCCTAAAGCACGAGATCAAGGTCCATACATCGCGTCACCAGGCCACCGCCGTCACCATCCCGGGTCAGCGCGATTCACCGCTAGAAAAATTCGAGGAAAAGCTGTACTTGGAGCTATGCAATCAGCACGACCGGGTCGATCTCTTCGTTAATAGCAAGGCGGGCGAAATCTCCAGGCGACTCGGTACGTCAACCTTTACCACTCCACCATGTCGCCATCATAGGCTTTTCCAATGGAATGGCCTTTTTGGCTAACAACTAATCGGCAGACTCGGTTTCTGGGCAGATTCAACGCTTGGTGGCCAGATGTAACAGACATGGTACCTCAGGGATAACCCTCAAGAGGCAACGCAGGCTTGCCAAGTATGAGCGTGAGCTTCTGCGCTGCGAGGAGGATATTCTCGCCGTTTCGCGCTTCATCAACGCGCAGGTAACCGCTTTTAGAAAAATTACCAAGAAATACAGGGTACGGGTGGGGGGGGGTTTTTTCTTTCTCTCCCTCTTTTTCCCCGTCAACTACTTCATTATCGGCTCACGGCACTAATACCTGTCTGTTCCCCTTGCTTAGAAATGGACGGGATCCGCCACTCTCGGCTCTCGCTTTCGTCAAAACGTCCTCTCGAACCCGAAAAGCTTTACCCGTCGCGATTTAACCCCCTTGCAGCGCAGATACGACGACATCCTAGCTACAATGCGCAACGCAACCAGTCATCTCAGCGAGCCGAGCTCCCCGTCTTGCGTATCACCCCAGCTCTCATCGCGGCAGAGCCCTCAGTGGCAAGGCGACGCCGAGACACAGGACGAGGACAGGAGGCCAAACTTCGGGGCCCTACCGGAGCCGGACCACGCACCACAGCAGCCAGCGCCAACACACTACTGGAACGAATATGACGACGGGAGTGACGCCGAGCAAGGCGCGGAGGGTGAGGAATATGCCATCTACATCAACCCGGACGCCGACGAAGGGATACCGGGCCTGCGTTCCGTGAGAAAGATCCTACAGCGGCCGCTCATGATGGCCAATTTGTGGTTCTCTCGCAGGCATCGTGATGATGGCGCCGCGGAACCGGCGCGCGGATCGCTCCTTCCGCATCGACGCTACCAGGATGAGGATGATAGCTCAGACGATAACCGGGGCCCGCGACGAGGATACGGTGGGATTTCTCCGTTCGGCGCTGAGGCGGATGACGAAGAATACGCCACCTCCGAGGACAACCTCCCGCTGTTTGGCTACAACGGGTATTACGCGGCGTTGCCAAGCCTCAACGATCAACGGGCGGCACGGTACAGGGAGCGGGCGCTGGCGTGGGGCACCCTGGGGTCTTTCGCCGCGTCATTCGTCCTGCTGGCGGTGGCCGGCGTGCTCATTGCCACGGGCCGCCACCGGCTCCGCGTCGAGGTGGACGCCGGTGTCACGGTGGGCGCGGTGGCGAGCCTGTTCTGCGCCTGCCTGGCGCTCGGCATGGCGCTCTACCGCAACGACCGGCTGGGCTTGGTGTACCAGTTTGCCGTGTGGATCGGTTTCACGACCGCATGTGTCCTGAATGGTACACTGCTGGTATTGGTGGTGAGCAACTAATAAACGTTTACAGGTAAGTGTGTATTGCTGTATCGCTTGGACTTTTGTCGTTTTACTTTCACTCTTCTTTTTCGCCTTTTTCCTTTCCGTTCGTCTTTCGTCTTGGTCCAGGCATTATGCATTGGGAGGCGAGGTTGTCTGGGGGGGTTTTTTTTTTGTTCTTTGTTTTATGATACCTCATGAACTCTTGGGATGCCTTTGATCAAGCAAATAGGTCCGACATCGGTAGTATGATGGAATGTCAGGTGCAATAATAGTATACTAGATTACCAGAATATCTTCGTCACGTATAAATAGAGACGTTTGTTGTGTGTATCGTTTGTGTTTATATCGAGTCAACGTCGTGAATAGCCAGAACCAGGGGAGGTGCAAGCGATCGATTGTCTCTATTTTGGGACTTGCGGAAAATCAGAGCCAAGCTCATAGGTTCCACGCAGGTAATGCCTCCAACAAATGAAACGGTCCGGTGGTGTAGTTGGTTATCACGTCAGTCTAACACACTGAAGGTCGGGAGATCGAGCCTCCCCTGGATCACATTTTTTTTTTGCTTTTTTTTTCTATTCCTTTTTTGCCAACACCAACTTCCATCATATTACGCCTATTATTCTTTGTCCTGTCAAATTTTGATTCCCCTTGCTTCTTGGTGCCTTCACTCCCCTTTTATCCATTAATCATAAGACAAAACTTCCCGCGATGCATACTTTGGGACTACTTTCGCAGTGTACTGCTGCATGAGAGCCTGTACCCCCGTAGGCTCGAGTCTGCAACTCGTCATATCTAGGACATGCTGGCACGGTGCACCTCCATAAAACGTTGTGCTTTTGTTGCATTCATTAGGCTGAGCTATCTAAGCCATCAAAGCCTTCGGGTCATTGAGAAAGGGAAAGTACAGAAAAGATCGCAGCGCAATGACAGGCATCCCTCCCGAGGGTGAACGTGATACAAAGCCTTTAAGGATCAACTTCCATGCCCCGAGCTTGCTCCCGTCCGCGTCTCTCCGCTGCTGTGGTATCCGGACCAGTTTTTTTATTTATTCCTCCCCCCTGTTCGCCTCCCTGGCGCCTATCCCTCTCATCCAGGAGAGCAAGGAAAGCAAACCCACGTCGCCCAGAATAATACAGAAGATCAAAACAGAAAGAAAAAAAGGAAAGACGTAGTCATGTAGGAATCCTTACGGGTTTTTGGCGATGTTCGGTCATCATTCGTCTCCACTTCCTCCCCGATATGTCCCTTGACCCATTCGCATTCGTATCCCACTCCTCTTCTCGCCATGTGGCGATGCCGAGTCAACTGAGACTACAAGGCAAAGACACGGAAAGGGAAAGGAAGAAATAAAAAAGAAAAGAAATAAAAAAGAGGGAGAGTGTTTGGGTGCATGTGTGAGAGAAAAGAGGAAGAAAGAAAAATTGAAAGAAAAAAGAAAGAAGGGCGAAAGAAATGAGATCCCGAGTTCCCCCATTCGAAAATATGTTGGTATGTTGGTTTGTTGTTGACCTTTTGGTATTATTCCACCGAGAATCTCGCGAACCAGACTCGATTGGCATGTGTCATATACTTCAGGATAACAAAAGGATCATTCTTTGACTGTGAGCTCGGAAATCATTAATCTGCCCGTGATGAGGGAAATCATGGCACTCTGGCCATACGGATAGGTATTGTGGCAGGTGTGTTCGGTCAGCCGGAATCATCGACGAGTACTAGTAAGATGCCTCGCCGACTCGTCCTCGACGAGGTAGCGGTGAGGCGGGCCGGAAGCCCCGTACGAGTGTTTCTGCTGGTCGGCAGCAGTCTGCTCATAGGGCTGCTCGTGCGACGGCTCGTATCGTGGCGGCAGGCTGGTCATAGGGGAGTAGGTATATCCCTGCGGCGGCGTCGCGGCCTGTGTCAATGCGCGAGCCATGCTCGGGCTGCTCGGGCTGCTCGGGCTGCTCGGATGACGGACATGGCGGCTTGCGGTGGTTGTTGGAGGCGGCATGCGGGAAGGAGCGACGGCGGCGCTCGAGTCGTAAGGCGACGCGGTGTAATGATACTGGCGCGAATCGTGGTAGTAAGCAGCCGTCGGAGGTTGACCGACGGGAGGGGCCGTTCCAGCAAGATCGCCATCGTCGACACGAGAGTAGCCCTGTCTCGGGCCGTAGGGGTGCTCGTACCCGACGGAATTAGTGTCGTAGCTGTACCCAGCCGGAGCGGAATCCGTGACCGACGAAGCGGGAGGGTACCGGCTGTGCAAGCCAGAAGCGGCACGAATGACCTCGCTCTGGGATCGCTGATGGTACGGGGCAGGGCGGAGTGGATCAGTGTATCCCGAGACAGAAGCTGGCGCCTCAAACTGCGAGGCGGTGAGTTGGTGGGTTCTTCGCTGGTAGTTGGGAGCAGGCAACGGGCCGCGTGGGGAAGCAGAAGTGGAACCCAGCGTGCCGGCAGTGCCCCTGAAGACGTAGGGGGGGAAGGAGTCGAGTCCCTGCCGGGCCGAACCGAGGCTGTAGTAGTAATCTTCCTGCGAGAAATGATCGCGGGCGTCGTGGCCGTAAGCCGGACGGTGAGCGAGTGACATATGCCGCGCGTTCGAGATATCGCCTTCGGAAGCGCGCGGCAAGACCGGCTGCGGCTGTGTAGGACGATCGGCAAAGTAAGGGGCGTCCAGCTCGGAGGTCCGCTGCCTCTTTTCCATGGGATGCTCGAAGTTATCGTGGTCCCAAGGCCCACCAGGCTGGCTGGTACGACGGACCATAAGCTGTGACTGCTCGGTCGGACGAAGAGCGACACCCATAGACTGGGACCGTTTGTGAGTGCTACCGGTTCCAGTCGCATGCCCACTGGTCTTGCGCTTCTGTGAAGCTTTGGGCTTGCCTTCAGTGCCGTCACTGCTTATGCAGGGCAGAATTTCAATGTCGGGAATCTGGTTCAGATGGTTGCCGTGGATCTCTGTCTTGAGCTGCCCGACGATGGCCAGGATGTCCTCGGTGCTGTATCCTGTGCCGCATTTCTGGAGCAGCCAGGCGGGCACGGCAGTCCCACTGGCGACGGCATCATCAGCGCCATCATCGTCGGACTCGTCATAGAATGCCCGCTTCCTGGAGTCCTGCTTGTCTTCCAGGCGCTTCTGCTCGCGCTTGCGGATGGCAAGAGACCAGCTTGTCACAACACGAGGGGCGCCAGCCTCCTTGTTCTGGTCACTCCACTTCTGAACACGCTCGATTTGCTGCTCGACGAGATCGATCTGGAGCTTGGCATACTCGTGACCGTTGCGATAACGGCTGCGCTGGTAATGCTTCCGGCAGTAATGGACCCAGACATGGGCGGGGATCATACGGGTGCAGAGCTTGTTCCGGCCGAAAATGTGCGAGATGGCCTTGCGAGGTTGAGAGCCCGTGTCGCAGTTCTCAATGTACATGCACTTGATCTCCGGCTGCGGGGCCGTGTTGGCAGCCGGCGTGGCAGACTCGGATTCGGTTTGACTGGGCATGGTGTAGGCTTGTTGAGGCGCCGCAAAGGCTGAGGTGTCGGATACTGAAGGAAAGGGGTTGAAGGTGGCGGGGGCTGATAGTGCGGCAAAGTCGGGGGCAGACACCGTTCTTTTGTGAAGGCGGGAATGAGCTTGAACTTGAGCTTGATGTGGGCTGAGAAAGCTCGGATTGTTTGTCTCCCGTTGTGCAGAGATATGTTGAGGGCTGAAAGAGAAGGATTAGCCAACGCCGAGGACTGGATATTGTAAATAAGTACGGGCGAGGCAGAGGGAAACACTGGATCGGGTTGGTGATGGGATACAATGATCATGAGTAACTCCTCAAGAACCGAATAAGCTGAATGGTTTCTTGGGAGATGGAAGTCAAATGGCAACAATTATGGCAATGGGTATAATTGACTCGAGGTGGGCTGAATAGGGGAACAATAGCACTAGAACAATAGGCTCCGTGGATAACACCAGCACACGGCGTGGTGTAATCGTTCACGGGACCGAATGGTTCAGGTAGTAAGGAAAGTGACCCATTCTTTGGTGATTAGGTGAAGAGCACGGGAGTCCCATCGAAAGGAAGGTGCACACAAGAGTGGACCGTGAAGAGGGCAACGAGGACAGCGGTGAAGGTAATCAGTCCTAGACATGGCAATGTTTTGTCGCTAGAAGGCAGTCGAATAAACCGGACGTCTGGCCAGTGCCCATGATCCGACTAGCTCTTGTTGTCAAGGACATCGAACGTCCCCGGAGGTGACGTGACAACGGTTCCGATGCACGGCCTCCTAGTCTTTGGAATGGCAGATAGAGAGAAACGCCTTGTGGTGTTGGCGTTGGGGGGTGGGAGAAGGAGTCTTTTAGAACATCATGTCGCATCAGGTTGCACTCGCAAACCCTACCATAACTTCTCCAAGTTAGAGCACCTTGGACGACACGGGTTTAGGGAATGGAGCCCTCTCCCAGAGTACCATGAAACAAAGGAACGAGGGAATTCATATGACAAGAGAACTCAGTCAACTCCTACCTTAAGGCATCGCTAGGGCTGGATCGATTGCTTCCAGCAGTACGGGTGATGAGAATCGCGTCGGACGGGCTCCCGGCCCTCTCTGGGTTGCTGATACCATCATCGAATGTAGCGGGAGATATAATCTGAGGTTGGGATATCGAAGTCCGAGGTGATGCGGGACGCAGAGCCCTGGGCTCTTGTCCGACTACCGCTGGACTCAGTTGCTCATGCTCCGCCAGTTTGGTTTCGAAAGATGGCATCTCATTCACCGGCTGGGTGAACGGCTGGGTGCCGCCGCTGACGGTCGAAAACGACGATATTCTGGAATGACATCCCGAGGTCAAGTTGGAGGAAGCGTATGACGAGAGGCTGCTGTGACTGTCGGAGCACTTGTGCTTCGGCGACTGGGGCAGACCAGTCGAACCATTTGCGGTAGGATCCCGAATGGGGTTTTGCCTGAATGATGCTTCCTGTCAGGCACATCATGAAACAACCCAGACAAACTGGAAAAGCTGGTTCCGTTCTCGAATCTGATGCAAACACCGGGGGGTTTATCGTGAGGTGAGCGAAACTTACCAAACAGGGGTGTGCAGTTCAGCGTCGCTGGCAAGACTTGAGCTAGACAGAAGTTAATGCGGAGTCCAGGCCTGTTGCATCTCATCTCATTTCAAGCAGCTCTCGACTAGGAGAGCTTCGTGATTCAAGGAGGAGTGAAGTGCAATGCATTGAATGCAGAGTGCGGCCCAGGGAGCGATGTCTACCTCCCCACTTCCCCGACACACGGCCCCACATCGACCCTCTTCCGGATACCGATGCCACCCAGGAGCCCCGGGTACCGCATACAAGCGCAGCCGAGGGCAAGAGCAAAGGTAGAAGTATGCAAGGGGATATGATGGCAACAAAATCTATACTATACATATTAAGCAAAAATGACTTACCGGCGAGGGCTCGTGCTCGACAACGGGGTTGCTCCTGAGGAATGGGCCATGTCGAAGCTGATAAAACTGGGAGTAGTGTTCCTGGAATCGGATCCGCACGATGAGAAGTCGCTAATCTCCACCGTTGTCGGTATCTCCGTTGTACATTCGCTGTCCAGAGCAGGTTGCCAAGGCAGCGTGCAAAGTTTGGCCGAGTCAAGGGATAGTGGAAGCGAATAGCCTCCTGCGTCCCATGGCGTTCGTCGGCGAGGAGCGCGGCCGTCGATCTTGCCCTTAGAATGGCCACTTGACGGTGGGGGTGGGGAGGGTGTAGAAGGAATTGTTGATGAAGCTGTTGGACCGTCTGTCCCCGATGGTGTTGGGGTCGATTCGAGTGAGTCTGTCAGTTGAGATGGACGACGTGTAACTGGTGCTAGATTGAGTAAAGACGTCACATCCATCGCTCTCTCTGTCTCTCAATATTCCGAAAAGTCCTTGCCGAATGAAACTCTTCAGTCCTCACCCCGTGATTGCCGGGGATACCTCTGGACCGGCGAAGATGGGTTACGAAAAGGAGCCCTGCAGGTATCTTGCCATGAAGGAAGAGAGATGGAAGAACCGTCGACGGGAATTCTTTGCTCCGAAGTCCTTCGGATTCCTTTTGGAAGAACGTAGTTGTACAATGTTCTGGTGGAGTTGAGAATAAGTTGAGCCGGAAGCAGAAGAATGCACAGACGAGGAGCGATGTCAAAGTCGAGGGTGTTGTCTGTCAAGTAAATGTGTGTGTGTGTGTGTGTGTGTGTGTGTGTGTGTGTGTGTGTGTGTGTGTGTGTGTGTGTGTGTGTGAGAACTAGGTGGCAAAGGCGACTGCCGGGCTATGGATAAAAATAAATTGAATAAATAAAAAAAAAGGTAGAGCGGGAGGGAATGTTGATAGGTAGTAATAAAATGTAAAGTGCTGTTGCGTGGCAGTTGTATAAGGTTGTTTATACTCCCCCGTCCGGCCCCGTCGTTGCACTGACCCGGTCGCAGCGGGTTGAAACGGCCGAAACGCCCGAGGGCCCAGCCGGGCGTGTCGCTAAGTGAGCCACCCAAAAGCGTCCGAACTTGCTTGGTCGCTATCTGCGCCTCACGGATCGATGACGAACCGAGAAACCAGAAAGAAACAAATCGTTTAACTGGTCTGCAACAAGGCTGCCCGAAACGGATAGTGTGAATACTTATTTCCCTTCTCCCACCTGGCGACGGGCTGTAAAGACGGGGCAGCTTGTCGCTTCTCGACTCGATAGTGATCGATTTGAGCCTCAAGTGAGCCCGCTCTGTCAATAAAGAGACCTCCTCAGCGCCACACCAAAGGCACTAAAGGTTTCGCTTTCGGTTCGAACATAGGAACGGCAAAGGAAGAAAGGGCGACTCTGCTCGTCTAGCTCGGAGCAAGCATCCTGTGGGAAACAAAGATAGAATGGGGCATGGATAGGGCACTGGAAGTAAGGGTAGGGGACGGGGCACAAATCAGACCTGTCCGGGGGCTGGTGTCGAGGAGAGGAGAGGCTGTGCTAGAAATGCATAAAGAGTAGGTAGGTACGCATTGAAAGACTGTGCCCTTCTGAGATCTACAGATTGGGGAAGGTGCCCAAGATAGATGGGCTGAGGAGACCTTGGAGGAAAGATGAAAAAGGGGAGGGTGGTCGGTAGATTAAAAAAAAAAAAAAAAGAGAGACTTGGGTGCCAGGATGTGGGCGTGGATGTAAACATGAGAGACAGGAAGACAGGCTTGTGCTAGTCTCGTTTAGTCCCAAGCGACGGTCATCGGTCATAACAACCACCCATCCATCTCAACCTAGTTACGGGCTCGACCAAAGCCAAAGGACGGGTATCGGTGTCGGGTGAAGGTGGGAAGCGGCGGGTAAGAGGGTCAACTGCGGGAGTCAGCATAATCACCCGTGTAAGCCACCGTCTAGGTAGTTAGTTCATGGAACCCAGTCAGATATTCCGCTTATAGTATCGTGAAGATGCCGGGCATGGTGATTTCGATGTGAGATGCCGACGTTCACAGCGTCAGCGTCGTGGGGCCCCCCCACTCCACAGCCGTGTCGCTTGGTGTTGAGCTATAATAAGGAGATGGGGGAAAGAGTGCCGCAAATGCCAAATGTATGTTCCCAAAGACGCACCTCATGGCGAGTTCGGACAGGGGCTAAGGTTTCAGAGGAGTATTCTTAGTGCATTGTGAACTTGACAGGGACGGGAGTTAACCCGAAAGTGATTACGAGATGTTGACAAGTCGAGAACGACGAGAGTAGAGTAGGGCAATGAAAGGGTACTCCATTCTCCGGGGCTGGGACCCTGGTGAAATGCCGGTCCTAGTCGCGTACGTCCCCTTTTGCATCAGATTTGGGGGGTTCCGTCGCAAATCATGGCGTTAACCCCGTCGTCTGATCCACGATCTCCGCAAGGGGAAACTCCACCTCCACCGGGTGGGCACTGCAACAAGACATAAACACAAGAGACATGGCCAAATAAATACCTGTGCGTTGTTCATCCGGAGGAGAGAGGGGGAAAAAATAGAAACAGATAAAACATGAAGACAAAAGACGAGGGTGTTTCTTTCTACGAGGATGAAACGCAACCCAGATTTTAGTCGAGCCGTCAACGACGGTACCTGACCATTCTTTGGGTCATCCGGAGAAGCGCATAGAGAGAAAGAGACGGGAAATACACCGACCTAAGATGGGCCGAGACATGTGCAGGTGGACCAGCCAAATTTGGGGCTCGAGGTGGGGAGATCGAAGGGCTAGGCCAGACGCAACCTCTCTCGAGAACCTTGCTTCGTATAAGGAAGAATTCGAAATAGTTTGGGTAACTGATCGAGTCGATCGGGGGAAGAGAGAAAGGAGAGAATCCGATGGAGGATGGATTGTCCGTCGTGGATGGCGGCCCCCAAGTCGGTCGTGACCCGTGCTTCCCATATTGCCTTTCTGCAGGCATGCGGACGACGGTTGGTTGACATGGGTAGGCACGAAGGCGGTAGCCGGTTTCCGGCCCAACACGAGGCCACGCCGAGCCAGCACTATGGTCGTGCGACTCTCGAGCGGTAAGGTTGAAAACTGGCTGGCCAAAGTCTCAGATGGGGGGGCTGCCATTGCAGAATCTACCTACCACGTGCGTTCGAGGCTTGCTAGCCCCAATGCGGCCAGGGCATGAACCGTAGTACTTGCTACAGAGGGCAACTGTTGCGCTTCGTACCATCTGAAACTTTTCGGTCGAAACTGTCTGTTTGGGGAGGGTTGACCAGAGACAAAAAGGGGCAGGCCATGGTGAGCTACGTTGGACCCCCGTCTGTTGTCTGTCGAGAACACACACATAAGAAGGCAGCCTGAACACAATCGGGAAATCGGGAAATCTTGGTCGCAAGCCAATGTCGTCCGGTTCGCTAGTGTCAATGGTTGCTTCACCAGCCTTGGTGTGTCCGGACATGTGAAATCTGAACACGTCATACGCAATCCATGGGCATAGGCGTATCATAGATTTATCGTGGACGACGTCAAAGGGACATGGTCGCTCTTGGGGTCTGGTCTCAAGCTCGCCTCAATGATGGCTGGGTCTGGCAAAACAAACATTAGTCGATTTCCCTCTGGAAGCCGAGATCACCAAGTCGGTCAAAGCATGCGTTGCAGAGTGAAGAGGCATGTTAATTCGAGATGACGGAGATGGGATGCGAATTAGGGACGAGCTGACCAAAGGATGCATCTGAGACGAGATGATGCTCCCCGGGAGGCTGTACAAGCATCAAAACGTCTCTTGGTGTAATACCTCGTGGTAGGTATGGATACTGCAGATACTGATTCGCTGCTTGATGGAACCAACCCTCTTCTCCCAGATAAGACGACTTGTCTGACTCGACTGATGCGCATGGTTGTGTAACGGAGAGGCCCCAACTTTGAAGGGGTGTGATTGGGGTTCTCCACGTTTCATAACGGACGGGGGACCAACGGTGCCGATGTCGATGCTAAGGTTAGATGTGGTGGGGGGGAGGGGTGGTAAGGTTTCGAACCTAAGGTACATACCTCGGTACCAACGCTTCCTCTTTGGAAGGAATGACTGCATGTACGCCGTAGCTTGCGAAGATCCGCACATTGATGCATTGTACGGAGCAGCAGAGTGGTGACCGGGTGCACTTCATACGAAGTATTCGTACATAATAGGCGGCTTGTCGTTAAAGAACGGTGGGCTACTACCGTACAGTGGACAGCCGGTGCTTATGGCTCGAAAAGACGGAAAGCCAGGCTCGTTCATGCTCGAGCGATCGACGCAACGGACGATGTGATATCCCGTTACACATGTTCCCCTCTCCCGGCGTCTCCTGAGATATTGAAAAAGCTGTGTGGAAGTACACCCAGACACCCAGACACCCAGACACCAGAAAGCCGGCAAACGTTTCAGCTGAATTCGAGGCGCATGAGGCTAAAGGACTGTGGGTCCGAGCCCACACTGTCGTGGTTTCTGAACCATCTCGAGAATGTTTTATGTTTCTTCAAACTATCGGCGCCATTTATTAGGTGAAGATGGCGCTGTCCGATAATCGAACAAACGGACTGCGTGGGCGGCATTGTAGCAAGTTGAACGGTGATTTTTCGGGGTACGGGGCGGGAGGGGAATGGGAGCCAGTCGACATGAAAGTGCAGTCAGTGGTCGTAATAAAATTTTCGAGTGGGCGTTAATAAACTCCGAAGGTACGAGGTACGTACCCGAGGGTTCGTGTCTCTTTTAGCCAATGAGGAACGGTTTAGGTAGCCTCTCCCTGTGTACCTATACATAACTGCCTAACTCCACGTCGTAATTGGTATAAAAAGCACTTAAGCTGGTATCCGTAGTTAAGGTAGGGAAGCACCCGACTGCCAATTTTCGCTTTTCCACTGTCAGATGCCTACAGCCACCTTATCGGGGTGTGACTTGCGCCATTTCTGTAGACGGATAGGGTACTTCCGACCGATGTATCTACATCAATTTCCCCTCCTTTTACTTCATAGTTAGACATTTCCGCAGAGTATCTTTTTACTCTTCTTTAATACACACACATATCTTTTACGTACCTTATTTATATGCTGATAGTTATAAGCCCGGCGTTCTAATAAACGAAGCTATTCCAGAAGATCCTGCAACTTAGAAGACGATTAATAGCTTTAAGTCTATAGCGGGTAGTTTAGTAGTATTAGCTACGTCCGCCTGCTTTCTTCTTAATTAAACGATTAAGTAATTAATCGCTTAATCGCTCCTTTTTAATCGATTAAGCACTTAATCACTTAATCGCTCTATTTAATCGTTCCTTGTTTAATCGCTTAAGCGCCCGTTCTCTTATAGTCGGTTTCGATAGTTTATTTCCCTATAGTCCTAGTTAGTTAGACGATAGCCTTAGTTACGGTGATGCCCACGATAGGCTATACGATCCTTACCTTACTAAAATAGTAGCGTTAGTAGATCGAGGCTATTATATAGATAGCCTACGCTAACCAGGTATCTAACCGTATTAATCTAGACTTCGAGGAATCTAAACGTCCTCGAAGACTCGAATCCTCGGAACCTCTAGAGCTAACGGAAGAAGATAATAATACCTGGGATCGTAAGTTTAAGCCATAGAACGTAAAAGAAAACAGATATCAGTAATAGTAATAAGGTCTAGCTGCTCTTCACGACTATATCGCGAAGATAGTTAATCCTAACCTTAAAGATTAGTACGTAGGGAAGAAGGAGGTTAAAGATATCCTAATCGCCTTAAAGGACTATCTTAAATCTACTAACGCTACCTAGAAGTCACTAATTAAACGATAATAGGAAGGATATATATAAATATACGGAGGATACCCTATAAGCGTTAGCTTCAGGACTTTATATCGCTATACCGAGATTCGAAGACCTATAGCGTTAGATCCTCTAATAGTAAAGAGGACTAGCTTAATACGTTTTTTAGGGCTATAGACACTATAGCTCTGGAGTAGTCAGAACCGCGCTTTACAGAGATCTTAAGGGAAGATAAGGAAGACTAACCTACTATCGTGGAGGTTATAAACGAATATACGGTTTAGTTATGCTATAGGTATCCCTATAGGCTTAATATAAAGCCCACTGCATTATCGTTTTATACGGCGACGTTCTTAGGAAAGGATAAAGATAGTAGATAGTAGCCTGCTGGTTAGAGAGGTTAGTAGTAATAAGGAAAGGAGGCTTCTTCTTTAATAACAGTAACGTAGGAATAGATCTGCGATTATGTTAAGATAGGAAGGAACGCTCGTTACTACGCTCCGTGGTAGAACTGCCCGAACGTTAACCCCACGCGCCGCTAGGAGGGCTTTACGCCTTCGAAGGAGGTAGTAGAACGCTACGACCGTATTATTAAGTCCTAGGATAAAGGTCGCTAAAAGAAATTCTGGGAGGATATTAAAAAGGACATCGATAAGGCGAAAAAGCAGGTAAAAGCTAAGTTATAAGAGAAGGATTAGTTAAAGGAAGTATCTAATTTTACTGTCGAATAGTCTAAGGATTCTGATAATAATACTTACGATATATATTTTACCTCTTATTTTATAGGCGAAGAGGTGGTATTAAATGCCTTAAATTTTATAAGTGAAGAGGTAGCCTCTTTAACTAAGGGTTTACTTTAAAGCCTACGGCAGTAGCTAGAGTAATAGAACTCCACGATAAAGGCTTTATAAGAGGAAAGGCGTTATTAATAGCGTTAATAATAACCTTAATCGTCGATATCTAGGGGGGTAGTGGATAGTAGAAGATTAAAAACCACCGAAAACGCCTCTGAAAACTAATAGGTTATTAACTAAGAGGCATCACGTGGAACGGCTGCTACGGCCGCGGCAGGTATAGTGCCTGCCGTTATGCCTGCCGTTAATTTACCCTCTTTAACTATTAATAATACGCCTCTAGCGAGGATAGCGTAAGCACTATCCGCTCTATAGCTAAGCAGATAGCGCGGGCGCTATTCGCGCGGATAGAGGACGTATAGCTCCGGCACTATCCGTACGGATAGGGAACGTATAGCGCCCGGACCACGCGCGGGAATAACGTAGTATAGATACTCGGGTTATAGTTAGACCGGACCGGCTAAGGGATATACCCTCGGCGCGGTTCCCCGTTTATTTAGTAGAAGATATCTTTATTCTACCCTTATATACTAGAGTAAAGGTCGCCCTTTTAAACCCTAGAAGCCCTAGGTCTAATAGTACTGGCTAGCCAGGGGATATACCGGATAGGTATATTAAATAGTAGTAACTAAGCTTTTAGGCAAGGTTCGCATACCGCCGCCCGGCGCGGACTACGTATACTAAGACTAAACAGGCACGTAGTATACTAGTAGTTATAAACTACGTATACTAAGACTAAATAGGCACGTGGTTTACTAAGCGAATGCTAGCGTGCTAGGCGTAGCCGCCCTTAACGATGCGAACTACGTATACTAAAACTAAATAGGTATATAGTATACTAATAGTCGTTATCGCGAACTACGTATACTGAAACTAAACAGGCACGCAGTATACCGATAAAACTATTATAACCGCTAGCGCGCTAGGCGAAAACGCCTCTCCTTCGCTAGACTAAGGCGTAGAGTATATAAGGACTATAATCTACTACTCGCACGTAGGCTCGGCGACTATACCGACCTCGCTAATAAAAACCTAACGTAGAACCCACGCTCCGCTATTATAACCGACGTAAACCTCCCCGACGATTCCCCTTATCCGCGAAATGCTAAAAGCGCGAAAACCCTTATTAAGTTCTTAGACGATTACCTGGAGCTTATCGCTAATCTCCTCACGGCCGAAGATATAGCTTTACTTAATATAGCTAGGAGGGCTATACACGCTCCTAGAACCGCCGGCGTAAATAGCCTAACCTTAAGAGGAAGAATTTCGCGATCGGAGTCTATATCCGACGTATCCTACCTAAAAAAATAGGTCTAAACACCGGACGATATCGTGGACGCATTCTAAAAATAGCTTAATAAAGAACCTGCTTATAGGGAGATCCTAGCGATAATAGGAGAACTCCGCGACTTTAAGGGGAAGTAGCCTATCCGACTATTCACCGCTAGTCCTACTCCCTAAACTAGGTTCGAAGCTAACCTAATTAAACTTAGCCGTATCGTAGAGAGCTCCGCCGGGCCTAGCCTTACCTAGCTTACTATAGGGCTTAGGATATAAAAGCTAGGTAGTCTACGTCGTCTTAAGATTACAAGAGAGCTAGGGGAACCGTTATTCACTATAATAAAACCCACTATACTCCTGATCCGTCCCACTATAAAGATAACGGATAAAGAACCGGTAATTAAGGAGGAGGAACTAATATACTCCCTAAGTAAATCCTCCTTATACTAATCGCCCGTATCCTATATATCTCCTACTAAGACTATTACCCACTATTCGATCGCTATAAAACGCTAAACGTCTAACGCCCTTAGCCGTGCCTTTTCGGCTAACTATCCGGTTAACTCCGAGGGCATAGTATCTAGCACGGGCGTACCCGGACCTAGCCGATAAGACGCTCGCTATAGCGGCGGATAGCAGGATAAGACGCCTTCTCCTCCTCCTCCGCCGCTAATATAGCCGCCGAATTAGCCGCCTCCCACGGGCGGAGATTAAATATATATACGCTAATTCGACTTACTCGCTATTATCGGGGAGCTCTAGCGCGGGGCGTAGCCGTAATAGCTTTAGCACCGCTTTAAGGCGGATGACCTCGGATATTTTAACCCGCCGATATACTTTACCGTAAGCTAGGATATCCGTACCGAAGGAACTAAGCTTATCTTCCTAGACGTGTTTCGTTTTACGGACGCTATAAAGCAGTACGCCGGCCTAAGCGCCGGGCATCGCGAGGCCCTTCCGCGCGGTATCGCCTAATACCTTTTAGGTAAGGCCTCTAAATAGTTTATAAGTCTAGATAGCGGTAACCGCACGTTCTATAACTAATAAGCCACCCTAAAAAACTAGAAGGACGCTCTTAAAAGACGGTTCTGACTCCCGCGCGAAGAAGCCGAATATAAGCTACGCCGAGAAAAGTATACCCTGGAAGACGTTATTAACCGCCGTGACCTCCGTGTATTTACTAATAAAGTAATCTAATTAGCTAAGGTAGCCGATAAACCGAAGGGGAAGTACCTATCTATCATTTAGGATAAGCTAGACGCTAACCTAATAGCGATAATAGTTCGCCTAAGACCCGAAATAAAGCAGGCCGACTTTATAGATAACCTACCTAGTCTAATACCGGGATAGTATCAGAATTATACGCAGGGAATCTAGCGCTAGCTTATTAACCGATATAACCTTACTAAGACCGACCGCGGAACGTATAGCGCTCCGCTACCGGTTATAGTAATTTAGTAGTCTACTCCACGGTATTATAACTAACGCTCTAGCCTAACGCCCGAGCGTCGCCGCACGCCTTAGCCTAACCGTCGCTCCCCGGGACTAAGCTAATTCTGTCGCTAAAGCGAAAATCGTGCGCTACTAGTACTAAACGCTAATTATTTTACTAATAATAAGGGTTAGCGACTCCTAACTAATAACGCTAATAAGTAGTCCGACTATCGGTATAGGGACTATCGCCGGGACTAACCCCGAGACTAGGTTAAC